AAAATATTGAATGAACACCGAAAATAATTCTTAGCCTTTAAATTAAGGGCAACCAAAATTCATTCATCAAGTTAGCCCCTTTAATGCCTTTCGTTTTTTGAACGTTGGTGGCGTTTGTTGATATCGGGAAATAATAATGCCCGCATCATTATTCCACGAAAGGCACGTAGGATTGGTTTCCTGGAACTTTTTCGTAACCTCAATTCATAGTTTATGATAATTGTAATTTTTGAGCGATCATATTGTCGTGATCTGTTCTTTGATCTGTGTGATTAATAATTGTTGATTTTCATTGGAAAGTGTTTGTTTTATTTCCATGACAGAACGTGCTGCTGTCATGCTCATGGCTGTGAGTGTGACTGTCTCACTTTTTTGTGTATGTTTTGATGTACCGGTATTCGAAGGAAAAAAAGGATTAAAATGATTTTTTTTTATTTTAGTCAAATTCTGCCTTACTACAGCGTGTGAGAACGGCATCAGCACTTTTCATATGTGGTATCCTGATTTGAAAGAACATTGTTATAATTTAAAAAGTGGCAAATTTTCAACCTGTTTTCAAACATCATCCAAATTAAAAAATAATATATCTGATCTGTCTTTCCTGAAGGTTGAATTGTAATATTTCTTGATGTGAAAATTATACTTCTTTACCTGGACTGTACTAGTAGGATTTTGTGATATGGAACCTCATTCTTGAAATCACATCTTCATTAACAAGGACATCCATATTTTTTTATTCCTCTATGATAGCTATTGATAGACGAATATCTCTGAAGAGTGAAGATGGCATCCACCGACAAACCATCCCAAGCCCAGCCCAATGAGATCATCATTGACAGCGACTCAACATCTTCACTAGGCTCCAGTCCAGACATCATCGAAATGAACTCACCCTTCTTGCTTCCGCCACAAGCAGCCGAAGCAGCACTGCCGCAAACCCAATGCAAAGCACCCCCATGGCCATGCAAACGCTGTACACTCCTCAACCCACCAGAGGCACCTGTTTGTGCCGTGTGCGGAACCCGCCGCGTTACTTCTTCTCCAACCGTGGATGCAATGGAGGTTGACAGTGCATTCACATATCCGGAGCCTTTGAAGGAACGAGACGAGACTTCCCAAGGAGCATCCTCCTCGGAGGCAGTTGCGACCGAAGAGGCCGAAGTTTGCGACCCTCCTAAACCGCCGGGAGTTACGAACAGGAACTCGTTTATCGATTCAGCAAAGCAAAGTGTTGGACAGTTCATATCCTCCCTGATGGCAGGCATCAAGCCGTTGTCGCCTGAGCCATCAACCTCAGATGCAGTTGCCAAGCAACCAGGCAGTTCATCAGCCGCAGAGAATGGTCCAGAGTCTAGTCCAGTGGGTGGGTGGTCCTGTCAGCGTTGTACCTTTGTGAATCCTGCCAAGTCTAGCTCTTGCCAAATGTGCGAGTTTACACCCATAGGGAAACAGGATGCTAGATCTACAGGCAAAAACTGGAATGTTGATCCTGACTATTTCCAATTTCCTAGAGACCCACCTGTAGATGGGTCAGGGACATCGAGGATCCCAGGTAGTCAGGAAACCCAACACAGCATGTCTGATGAAACAGACTCTAAAGTTAACAAAACAGGAGAAACAGATTCCTCCCAACCCATGGATGAGGAAGTTGTTGATTTAACTGCTGAAGCTGGAAGGCAGAGCCCTGAGAATCAAACAGTTTGTAAAATTTGTGGTAACATGAGCACATCAGTAAATTTAATATGTGAAACATGCAGTATTGTATGTCAGGGAAGTCCCAGTGACCAAGGTACTGGTAAGTCTTTTCCCCAAACTACTGACAAAGTCATTCGCCTAAGCTTGGGTCAATCACAAGCAACAGACACAGATCAGCCCCCAACCAATTTACCGAAGGAGCGATCGCAACGTGTTGCACTGAGACGCAAACGCTGGACTTGCGCCAAGTGCACACTTGTGAACGATGAATCCAACGACAAGTGCAAAGCGTGCAAGGAGCCCAAGGAGGTTCCAGCCCGGGCCGACAAAACCCCGAGTCAGTTTGTCCCCTCCGAGAACGAGTGGTCCTGTCCGCAGTGCACCTTTGCAAACCCAAAGGTCCTCAAGTCGTGTTCCATTTGCGGGACCTGGAGGCTAAAGTCTGGCACCGTGGCTGCCAAGCAGGTAGAACACTGGCTCTGTCCCAAGTGCACCCTAGAGAACAGTCTGCAGTTGGACCACTGTAGCGTCTGCGGACTGGAGAGGACAGAGGTTGAGAAGGGACAACTGGAGGCAACAACTGGCAGAATGAAACGGCAGAAGAGCCAGATGTCTGACACTAGACGGAAGGAGGATGAGGAAAATGCAAGGGAGCAGTTCCAGAGAATCAGCTTGTTCTGCAAACATGTAAGTAGTTGTAACCCTCCCTCATGCAAGTCCTTGTGGTCGTACAGAAGGCGACTAGACAGCTTCAGAATTCCATTCTTCATGTAAAAGGAGGTTTCATTACTGATGCCTTGGGAACTTTGAAAAAAAAATTCTTTACATTTTAATAATGATAAATCAGCTTGATATACATGTAGGTTGGGTTATGTTCAGTCCTGTGTCCATTTTGTGGTATCCAAGAAAACTTAATTGTTTTGCTTGTTTGCCAGCGACTCAAATAAATTCATATATGTATCATGGTTTCTTTCGCTTTTTCTATCCAGAACTCAATGCAATTTGTAGATGATTCCTTCCCTCCTGCTCCGAGATCGCTCTCCTTCAAGCCAGATGGCCCCGGAGTCCACACCAAGGTAGCAAAGTGGTTGCGACCCGAGCAGATAGCCCTCTCCAGCTCAGAGGGCCTGACCTCAGTCAAGTGGGAGGTCTTCCGCACCCCCCTGCCATCGGACATCTCCCAGGGGGTCTTGGGAAATTGCTGGTAGGTTAACCCTAAACCTGCCAGACACAACAGGTGTAGCAGGTGTAACAGTCTTGCATTGGGTAGCCAACAACAGCAGCTTAAACTGCCAATTATGAAACAATGGAAACTAGTTCCCAATGTCACCATTGGATCCAGTGGTGGCTGGCAGCCGCAAACTTTTAGATCTTGTTATACTGAGCGGGCTTCTCATTTGCTACTGTTGTAATTGCTGCATTGACTTTGAGCAGGGTTTCTGGCAAAAAAATGCCTTGGGGTTTGGGGTTCAAAGACTACAATACAAGATTATTGTTCTCACCGTTTATTCAAAGCAGTTGTCGGTACTCTCTGACTCTGCGTACAAAATTTGTGACATTGTATTGTAAGGCTGGGCTTGAGGTCACCTAGCAAGTCAATTCTGTCTCCCGATCTTGCCTTGCCAGAAATATTGACGAAGCCTTTTCATGTCATGTTTCAGCCCCATATGACAACATTTCTGCTAAGTTCTTATAGCAAAGTTGTATTGTAAAAATTATATTTATCTTCTCACTGTAGGTTTCTGAGTTCACTAGCTGTGATCGTGGAACGTCCGGAAATCCTAGAGCACATCATGATCACCAAGAATGTCAACAACGAGGGTGCTTATCAGGTCCGACTGTGCAGGGATGGCCAGTGGGAGACAGTTCTCATTGACGACCTGTTTCCGTGTGATGAGAGGGGAAGACTTGTCTTCTCAAAGGTAAATTCAGTCTCTTGCTGCACAAATGTTCCCTACAATCAAGTTGAGTTGGCATAGCATTTCCTTTGATGTCATTTTCTCTTTTTTGTACACAAATTTTTCTCTTTTTTTGTAAACAAAAATTTTTGGATTAAAATTTCGGCTCAACACTGATACATAACAGAGCATATGTAACTGCTGTCCACAAACCAAGCTATGACAATTGAAAGTCTGCCAAGAACACTGTGCACGAATTGCATATTATTGTATTGCTTTTGTTGCTCTTTTAACGAAGAGATAAATTTGGTACACATATAATGAGGAATGGGACTAAGCCTTTGTATTTGAGTTGTTTCTATCAACAACCCGAGTGGAGCAAATTAATTATTATGTACACTTGATCAATTTCTTCTATATTGTTTATTTTTCTTTTACCTAAAGGCCAAGAGGAAGCAGCTATGGGTTCCATTGATTGAGAAAGCCCTGGGCAAGATGAGTGGGTGCTACGAGGCCCTGATAGCTGGCAGGTGTTTGGAAGGCCTAGCTACCCTGACAGGTGCACCCTGCGAAAGCCTACAAATGCATGGTAAGGAAATCACGCTCGGTGTTGTGCTAATAGGCCTGAACACTGCCTCACCCTCTTCAATATAGAGTCTGAAAACGACCAGTGCATTGTTGTCCTGTTGACCTCTGACATAGGGGCAATGTAGTTGCAATAGTTAATATCGAAAGTGATAGTCACACGATTTCTCAATTTTCTGACCCAAGCATGACTTTTGTGTTTGATGCTGACGGGTCCGTTGCAGCACAAGCAAATCCCAGGTCGCATTGAGGCCGGCTTTATGTCAAATTATCGGTGTGCACTAAGGAGAGTTCCAGTATGTTTCCCCGTTTTTTTATATCTATAATTCTAATTTGACTTTTGTTGTTTCTGCGTCTCTCTGATTTTGTGTGTAAAGTACCTTTTTTGTAACTTGTTTAACAGCAAGCAGTGCCACACGTGGGGAAGTCATTGACAAGGATCTGGTCTGGGCTAAACTCCTCAGCTCCAAGGAAGCTGGGTAAGTCTCATAAAAAGGAGTTTGATGCTACAGTGTTCAACAAAAAAATGAAAAGCAAAACAAATATTTTGATGATTGTGTTCCTTTCTCAACCAATTGTTAATTTTAACAGTGTATTTTAGCATAATTTATAGCGCGCATAATTTAAAGCACGCTAGTAAAATACTCCATTCTTTTTGGCAATTCCAGAACGAACAGTTTTAGGAAGAATTAATATTAATGTTTTGTGCCACTTTAATACTCACCAGTTCATGTCCATTGTCACTTCTGGTAAAAACAGTCAAAATGTTATCTAATAGCTAAAAAAATAACCAAATTTACACAGTATATTTATCAAACTGACCTTAGAAAATGTCTTGTCTCCTTGTGATGCAGATTCTTGATGGGCGCATCCTGTGGAGGAGGTAATATGAAAGTGGACACTGAACTGTATGAAAAGGTTGGTCTGAGACCAAGACACTCCTACTCTGTGCTGGACGTACAGGATATATGCGGCAACAGGTGCGGTGGCAATATTTTTATGACTGGTCAAAGTGGTACATCCTAACAACACGTCTGAAAACTCTAAATTGATTGTGCTGGATTATTTTGTCTGAGCACTTTTTTGTGTCTAATCGCACCCCCTTGGAAGAATCTTGTGTAAATTTCCAGCAGATTCTTATATACAATGGTTTATATTACATAAATTCACAGGTGCACATTCATTTTTTTGCAGATTGATACGTCTTCGCAACCCCTGGGGGCGCTATTCATGGCGTGGCAATTGGTCTGACGAGTCTCAAGAGTGGACCCCAGATTTGAGGGAAGCCCTCATGGCTCACGGTGCCGGGGAAGGCGTGTTCTGGATGTCACTTAAAGACATGATGAGGTGATATATTAAATATATTGACTGCTCATTGGGGCAATAGTTGCAGTGTGGAAGTCATCTGTGTATGCGGAGCACCAATTAAGCAGATATGCCAGTCATGGAATATATTGACTGCTGGTACAGGGCAGTTGTTTCATATATTGACTGTTAGCAGGGGGAATAGTTGCAGTCTGGAAAACATCTGTGTATCTACAGTGTCATAAAGCAGATATTTGAGTCATATTGATTGCTGGTTAAGGTAATAGTTTCAAAATTCCCACAACTATTTCAGTCTGCAACATTGTTTGAACATTATGCTCGGCATGGGCCTTTTGCATGTTTTGATTGAAAGAAGGGCTATACAGGTAGTTTTAGACTACATTTATGTATATAAGAACGCAAATGAATATTAACTGTGTTCGCTTTCTTTTAGGTTCTTTGACTGTGTGGATATTTGCAAGCTGCACTCCAACTGGGCTGAGGTCAGAGTTCAAGGGGTCTTACCTAACTTTGCTGGGGGTCCCATGAAGGTGACAATGTTGACAGTAGACAAGCCAACAGAGATCGACTTCACACTCTATCAGACTTGGAGGTAAGAAGGGAAAAAAAAGAACTTTCATTTTCCAATTTTGTTCATTTTCGTGTCTGCCAAAATGACTGTAAGCTGATAATGAGGATTTGAGATAAAGAACTGGTTTAAGTGATGGCCATCTAGAAATTTGTGGTGTGCACGCGGGCTATTCAAATGACCCCCACTTTGTTCGGCCACTGTGCAATCGATTGGGGCCAATTACGGACATGTGTGGTTTACGCTTAGCAATTTCTCCTCGCGTAATCTTTTAAATTTGCAACTTTTCAAACTGCATCATTTTTTCGAAACGATTGTCAATCTTGGACGATTTACAGTCTTTGGTAGCAAACGGGGTATCAAAATGTAGCTAATAAAATTCCCCAAATGTCTTTATAAATGACGTCATCATAAGACGATCAGATTCAAAATTATGACCCCTTCAATGAGTAGGGACTTTCTTTCTTTTTTTGCAGTGTTTAGTTACACTAAGTTCTCATCGATAATCAAAGTTTGGTTAATATGTTTGTGATTTCTTCAGGAGATTGGAGAAATCCTGTCGGAATCCCCTGGACCTGACTATAGTGGTCCTGCGCGCCTGCGGCATGACGACCTCTGGCATGTCAAAGGTCATGACCTACTGCAAGCGTCAGCTCAGGGCATTTGTGGGCTGCAGTGCGTTCTTTGAGCCGGGCCTGTATGTGGTCGTGTGCATGGCTTTCAACCACTGGAACACTGGAGTCACTATGAGTGGTATGTTTCACAATTTAAACTGCTGTATTAAACAAAAAATACTCTACGCAATAAAATGTAGAGACTTTCTTTGGAATTAATAGGGGCCCCGTTTTGGAAGCCATTAAAAGGTATCAGTCTAAGTTCGCTGTAATAAAAGAGAAACCTGAGCCGTATCTTGAAATTCCTAGTAAAGTTTTTATTAAAATAATAACCTGTATTTTGAATACGCATATTTCTGAAACTGGAATAGAAAATAAATACTGTATGTTTGTGTAAAGTTACAGATTTAAATGTATCAAAAACTGTTTTTACATTTGATACTTTTTTTTCAGCAGCGCAATGTCTAACTGCTGGAGTAATGTTGAGATGTTGACTCAAATGTTTCGCAGGCATGCAAGGTTTTCTCTGATTAGCTGATTTCCTTGTTTTCTCTTCACACTTATGCCATTAAAAATTGAAAAACACTGTACAAAATCTTGAAAAGATTGGGATTTCCTCTTTTTTGTTACTTAAAACTTGCATGCCTGATTTGGGGAAGTATTCTTTGAGCATTGTCACTTAAAGATTGTCACTTGATGTACTGGCAAACTTTTCCCAAGTTGCATCTGTAATGCGTAATACTTACTATTTTGGGATCGAAGGTATCAGGAGTCCCACCAGAACCACGCCTCACCCTCCCTACGCCTTGGCCCTGCACAGTTCCCATCCAGTCAGCGTCTCCCAGATCAAACCCACAGAGCACGCCATCGCTGATGCACTGATCATGCTAGCTGTACAGAAAGGCAAACGACACGAGGTAGGGCACCAGACCAGGCTTTTTTTATTTTGTGCATGGCAGGAGGTTAATATATTACTGCAGGCAGATTCAAGACTGTTTTGCCCTAATATGAAATGTGATCTTGCTGGCTGTATTTCAAACTGGCCAGCTGACCCTGGCAAGCTCTGTGGTTGAGCCATGAGGACGTTGTAAACTAATAGTCAGGATTTTATGAAGTTTATACACAAGTATTTATCCTTGGATTGCTATAGATGAAACTGAATCCGAAACTGCACAAAATGAGGATTTTATCTGATATTCGAATTCCACTGCAATTCACTCTTATTTAAATGCCCCAGAATGAAGCATACCAATTTCAATTCAGCGATCTCACCAGTACACATGTTCACAGTGTCATTTTGACTTCCAGTTACAGTGACTTTAAAAACAGGATTTGGGAGATTTTAGACGTGTTGGTTCCTAAGTTGTCTATTTTTCCGTCATCCAGGGTCGTGAGGGCGTCACCTGTTACAATCTGGACCACGGTTGGTCAGGTTTCATCATCGTGGTAGAGAACAGGCACTCGGACTACAGCCTGCACATGAAGTGTGACTGCAACGGAAGCTTCAATGTGGTGTCCACGCGGGGCAACCTCATCACCGTAGACTGTATACCTCCGTTGCACAGGTCAGTTGGAGAAGAAACCAATGAGACGCCTTTCCCAGAGTGATTGTGCATGTATATCTTTGATATTATCTTTTTAAAGACAAATAATGGGCATCTGAGTTACACAATTTTAAACTGAGAATTGTTGAAAACAAAATCTCTATGCAACTGACTGTACATTGACCATCTCAGCTGGGCTTTAATTGTGTCTTTGTTCAATTTTTTGAATGCTTAAAATGTTGGTGGCTTATTCATTTTTACAAATTGCAACTAACTAACAAGTAACAGATCAGACAGATAGGTGAATGGTGGCCAATTCACAGTAACAAAAAATTAAGGAAAAGTTTGTTCAAAATATCTGTGACATAACATGTATCCAGAAAATTTTAAATATTAAACTGTATGTAATTAATTATGCAAAAATCTGAAGCTAGTTCTGGTGTTAAAGAATTAAAATCAAATGTAACTGGAAGTTATTAGAAAAGAGTTAATAATATGCAAAATTAGAAGACAGTTTTACAATTGTTTACTATAAGAAACTCGGTATAAAAGTTCAAGTTTTCTTCCTTATTACTCTTCCTCTCGTTTGTCAGACAAGTACTCACTGTCCTGACCCAAGTTGTGGAGTCTAGCTACACCATCTGCCACCTGACCACCCATCGTCTGTCTCTCAAGAGGGACCTACAGGATTGGGGGCCTCGTAGGGCTTGCCACATGCCCGAAATCACCCCAGACATCATGGGATTGCATCAGCCACGCCCCATTTGAGGTTTGCTCCAGGAGCACGCCTAAATCTGAATTGGACTGGCAACCTGTACATCTGAGATGGAACCAGCCACACCTCACTTGCATCCACCTTGCTTGAAACAAGAGGTTCATCAATCAACTGCATAGGCCACACCCTATTTGAGGTTTGCTCCAGCCACACCGTATCTGAAGATGGACCAGCAACGCCTTAATCTGAGGTAAAACTAGCAACACCTTTGGTCTTGCTGTAGTTTATTGTTAAGACTACTTCAAACACAGTTTATTGGTTGTATCAGCCACGCCCCATTTGAGGTTGCATCAACCACGCCTGATCTTAGGTTGGAACAGTCTCTCCTTAATCTGAGGTGACACCAGCCACACCTATCCAATGCGCTCCAATTATCAGCCACACCCTCACGTGAGACTGCATCAATGCTTAGTTGTGATCACATCATTGTGCTGTCATCAGTCACACTTTATTGAAGGTTCTGGCAACCATCGTGTCAGTTCCTTATTTCATAATGTGTGTATAAAACGAAATAATTTTGCCTTTGATTTAAAATCAATTCATGTGTGACATATCAGCAATATGAAAAAAGACGGTATCTTTTTGTAATTTTGCATTTTCAATGTATTTGGTTTTGTAATTTCGTGAAGTTGTATGAAAAAGTGCATTGAGATTAAGATAAGTTTTTGGGGGCGGGAGTTCATATTTGGCAAAGTTTTTGTATTTTCTTTAAGTTTTACAAAGATTTGTATTATGCAGTTGAAAAGTGTGAAGTCAGTGACTTGTCTGTAATTGTATGTGTGAAGGATAGTGCAGAATAAATTTCTGTATTTCGTAATTAGATATATTTACAATTTAATAGCTTGCTGAACAGTGTGGAAAGGCTTTTAACTGCAGTGATATTAGTCTTTTGACAGTATTTATAATGCAAATACGAACACAGAATTCTATATTTTTTCTAGTTGCATTTATCTACACGTATCCTTAGTCAATAAAATTTTATTTTGTTCCCCAGCTTCAGGTTTGTTCAGATGCAGATTTTTAATTTAGTTTGAGGAAAAACCTAGCAAGTAATTTTCGAAACACCAACACAATCCAGTGCTCATAAATGTCCATGTGAGATTCGAACCCATTTCACCAAAGTGTCGGGGGCAAGTGGCTGTATCAACTTTTTTGCAACATTGATTAAAAAATTTTTAAAATGGTATTTTGTTGATGCTCCATACAGCTCAATGTCAGGGATGTCAGTATTTTAGTTTGTAGTTTGATTCTCTTAATTTGTGGCCGGCTCAGCATCTTTGCACAGAGACTAGCTTCTGATGTTGCGGAGACATCATGTGGTTAACCGATACCCATGGTGCATGATGCTCTTGGCCTTGGGTCATATTACCTAGTCTTCTCTCAAGTTGGCATTTGTTGTAGTAGTTTAAGACTAGAGTGACCCCATTGATTGTATATTGCTGGGCCTATCCGCTCCGTTCACAAGTACCCCCTCACCGGCAAAGGAAGTACAGTTGGGGGTGCGCGGCTACTGCGTGTACATAGAACAAATCCCCTGGTGTACGCGCGTCACACACAAGGAACGGTGCGCGTCAACCAGCGAAATGTAACGCCCATGGGACGTCGTTGCTAGGTAAAAGGGCGCCCTCTTTTGGTAACGCACGGAGCTCATAAATGTACATTTTTAGGTCAAAGTTACTGCCCAGATGTATACTTCCTACATTCCATGTTAACGTTTTTCTCAGTTGTGCGTTAATAGTGCATACGGGAATCCAGAGGCCTGAGCAATCTGCAAACTCAGGGATAATTTTCACCGAGTACAAGTTTTGTGTGTACATGTGGATGAAACAAAACTCCTTTTAAGTGGCACATCTTTTACATTTCATGGGTTCCCAGGCGTATCATACTGGTTTCAGTCAGCTGGTGAACATGTACATAGTGGTGTGCATTTACGAACCGGGTAACCTATTGAAGTAAAAACATGGGTACTACTACCCACCCGTAAAAGAAACCCAGCCAAAATTCAAATCCCGGAAGCTGTGTTAAATGTGAAGTCTGTTTTGGTTTTCCATGTGGCTTTGTTTTCATGTTGAAAATTCCCCACAAATGGCATTCAAAACCTTTCTTTTGCATTGTCTGAGAAGTTATAAAGTAATTTGTAAAGTTGGTTACGGGTACCCGATCCCATAATCTGGAACTGGTTCCTGACATAACTGGTCCGGTACTCGGTTCCGATGCACATCCCTACATGTACGTACATAATGTGTGAACCAATAAGCCTCTGTACTGATGACGTCACACTTTGTTTACATGTGCACTTTCCTATGGAGCCAGTGGGGGCCCACGGTCCACTGAGCACCATAGGAAAGCACACACATAAACAAAGTGTGACGTCATCAGTACAGAGGCTTATTCTCAGTTGCATAATGGACACTAAAAATATTGCAAAGTATTGATATTGCAATTTACTTTAAAATTAATGTGGTTGATTACGGTAGAGCAAAACTAAGTGTACTGTATTAATCACATTTGGGCAATTCCGTAAAATCCAACCTTTGTTCGACCACATGATGTACATATACAAGGTCGTTAAGGTGGTGGTACTTTAGTTTGGTCTGTATTTGTTTTCTACTCATTAGATGTCACATTATTAGTGATGTATCGCATTCACTTATCCAACAGCAGCTCATTAAAGTGTCTGATGTGTACTTCCACATTTACGGAATTACCCATTTATAAGGTATTTGTTGAAAGTAAACAATCCTTCATAAATGTACATCACGAAAAGATTCTGAAGCTGATGTATATGTAAATTTCTAGAATTAGACAAACATTTCACTGCCATTTTTTGATCAAAAATTAAAAATATTGAAAATGAGAATGTATTAATTATCTAAAGGTTATATTACTACAGAGGTACATCTATTCGTTTATTATTTGGTCACCGTAAAATTGTGTAATAACATTTGTTTTGTTCTAGAAAATAATTAAGTATCTAAGTTTTTTGTTTGGAAATTTTTTCTTGTTTTATGGTCAACTGTGAAGAACTTTTAGTATACCTTTTGAATAATGCAGCAATTTCAATATTGGACACTAGGATTTGTTTAAAGAAATTGTTTAAATGCGTAACTTTCAGATAGGCATCATAAAAATCTGAGTTAACTCATTAAATTAAAGGGCCATGCAATGTAATTTTTTCAATGCAATCCTTGAAAATGTACCTTTGTGTCCCATTTAAGCTCATTATCACTTTTTGGTTTGCCATTTTCAAATTTTCAAGGCTATTTTGGTGCCTTTTTGGTTTCACGCTACTGCAAATTTCCATATACGTGAGCAAAAGTGTGATGTCATTTCAGGCAGAAACCTCAATGTTACAGTTATTTCAGCACCACAAGTTGCCAGATTTGTTTATGTTTTGCCATTGTAAATTATATTTACGTTATTGTGTCAGTGCATGGCAGTAAGCCAATGAGAAAACTTTTCTTATAAAGGTTTTCAAATGAGCAAATGTATGGGTTCACAATTTGAACACAAAACCAATAATCTAAACTGTGTCTTCCTGAAATGACATCACAGCAACAGCGCCCTCAGTTGTCCAGAAAATCATGGAAAATTGTAAATGTTTAAAGAAGTGCACTTTTCAATAAAATTAGCCAAAAAGGGATGTCACATAGTTTTCATACATTTACAAGGAGAAAGTGGCACAGAATATGTTCCTAAAAAAAATTCATTTCATGAACCTTTTAAGCTTTTTTTGTAAATTGATCAACTCCCTGTTTTTATACAGAAAGAACTGAGGTGAATACATGTGTATATGCTGCAGACTGTCCCAAAGATTTTGAACTGTTTATTAAAGAAGCAAACTACAGCAAGATGTCCTGGACTCAAAATTAATAATTGCTAAATTTATAAATTTGATATATATGTTAACAAATGTAGTGTATCATTTTGTTTATGAGGTTGTGGGCCCTGACTGGTATAGTACAAATAAAGGGTTTTGGTGAACAAGGTACATGATTGTGTTGAACATAATTATTTACCTGTTAGAAATTACTGTGACTTTTGAGCCCCCAAAAAAGTGTTTTTCAACAAGTTTAATGTTTATTTTTTTCACCACAGTGACGGTCACCTCTATGGACACTGAGCCACCCTTCCACACCCCCCCCCCCCCTGTCAGTATACTATTTTTTTTTTTTTATAAACTCAAAGACCTTTTACCAAGTCCACATTTTTTTTCATAACTTAATGTGTACTTCTCAAGAAAATCTTGTACATGAGTAATTACAACGATAAGTACAGTTTGCAAAATCAATCTCGTAATGAAGTAACAAATTTTGAAAATGGAGGATCTTCCTTGGTCAAATTGCTACTTTAGTCAAGAATTGGGCCCCAAATCACTTATTTTTCTGTCTTACTTGAGCGCAAACCTTTTTCAATTATTATTCTGTGCCAAAACGTTTGACCTGGGAAAGGCACAAAACATTTCAAAAACCAAAAAAAATCCCTTCTGACCCTCTTTTTTTTTTTTTAGAGCGATTGAGCAAAATGCACCAGGCTACTGAAAGTGCCCTCTTTTGGGTTTTAATGGAATAGTTCTTGAGACTTTTATGATTCACAATGAATTCAGATCATAGTGACTTCACTGGCAGTCAAAAAAATGGAATTACCAGAGGTTTGAATGAGGAGTTGATAGCGCCCTCTGTAGATTTCAAAATAAGTTTTGGATGAAGATAGACTGCAGCTTTTGTTTATCTTCAGAAGTCAAAGATATCACAGTGTCTCATTTCTAAAAAAAAATTAAATAGTTTAAAGAAATTTTATTATTTGAAGTGATGAAAATAAGTCAAAAGGTTCCTATAAAATTTCACTGTTTAAAGGTAGGCGTACCACATAAAAGCTCCTTCCTTAAAGAAAACTGAAAATACTGAGGATCAAATTATTTGGCAGTGCAACAACCAATTGGGTCAGTTTGCATCAAATTTGTGCAACTTTATTTTGGTGGAATCAAAGGATTGGGTGCGAAAGGGAGTCAAAGGCTAGGGGGTGACCCCCCCCCCCCCCCCCCACCATTTCAAAATTCAATATGCATTCAATGTTAATGCCATTTAAATATAAATTTGTTTGTAACTTATTTATTTTTAAAATCTTATTCAATATTTTGTGAAATTTTGGGTGCAGTAATTATAACACTGAGCATACACAGTGTTTATCCTTTTGCTTCTTAAAAACAAAAAGGTGCAATTTGATGAAACATGCAAAAACAAAAGTGCCAAAACAAAAAATATCAGAAACCAAATCAAACTATTTAACATGAAACAGCAGATTCATGCAAACAACGGTCACAAAAAGATAAGCACTGTGTAATTTCAATGTCTACATGCCTTTTGATTTAAACGAACACTCCAATGGTTCAATTTATTTGTGTGAAAATCAACACTCCTTCGTAACTGCATGAGGCAGGCTGATTCACCTGGGGGGGGGGGGTCCTCTAACCTTCGGGAAAAATGTGTGTCTTCTCTTGGACACAGAAATAAATCTTTAAATAAAAATAATAATAAATTACAATATCTAATATTTTCAACTGGTTAAGGAGCACTGCCACTATAACTTTCACAGGAACTCCATTTTTGCATAAATCAAATGATTGGAATAATAAACTGATTATGTCATTTCAATAATTATTTTAAGTGAGGAATACATCAGCAATTGTGAAACAACAAGTGAAATCGATTAAAATTGTGCACTTATTTCTCAGGGAGAATTATCCTCAAGAATTAGAAATAATTAGTCACCAGTCATCTCTTGATCATCCTCCCTGCCTCCAGTTTCTCAGTTCCAGCGGTGATGGAGCGGTGTTATCCTCGTGAAGATGGAACATCCTCTCTTCCTCATCCAGCCAGTCACATCTGGGGGTGGTGGTCATCATCTTCTTAAGGAATTAAAAATAATTGACGAAAATGTTAGGACCCATTAATATAGACCACAAGCACTCTGAACTAACATGAGGGAAGTGGATCAGTTTAAGCATCTAAAACAAGATGTTGACCATCTGGGTTTTTTTTGGGGGGGGGGTGTTGTTTTGTTTGGTTTAGATCTTTTGTGTGTCTGTTTGGGGGTTCTTTTACGTTTTGTAAGTACACTTACCTCAGGAATCAGATGTAGCAAACATGCTGATCAGTCATCTGTCGGTCCCTGCTTCTTAATATGTCATTCTCCTGAAGTAAATGGCTTGAGATCTTCTTTTGTCCACCATTTCCATAGGGTTCAGATGGAGAAGTTTCATCCTGTGGAATAAAAAAAACTTCTCGGCCTAGGCTAGCTAGGTCACATTAGTAAGAATTCTTCTTTTGGGTGTTCAACAAATTTTAAGCGATTTAATTTTGATATTTTCTTGAACTTGGACTTTGTCATCCTTTGGAAGGGTCATCTTAGAAATCAGAGGCAAAAAGAGGAAATAAAACTTCTAGATTAGAACTGGGGAAAAACACCTCACAATGCATTACATCACCAGAAGAACTCCCCTCCCTGAGGTGAACTTTAAAAAAAAAAATATGACGTTTCATTTACTGGCCTGTTTATTTGTTGATGCTTTTTTTTTCTTTTTTAAAGTAAACTCACTAGCTGGCAGAGCCATCTGTCACCTCATTATCCCTGTTTCCAGCTCTTCATCTCAGTTGAACTTGGGAGAGGCAGGATCATCCTCAACCATAGAAACCAGTCTCCGCTCATCTTGCCACTCTCATCCAGATACAGCCCTCTAGCTATGTCAGTCTCCATCTTTTAAAACACACACAGAAAAAAAAAACAGGAGGAGAGAATAGAATTAAAGATAAACGCAGTTTATTTTGCGTGGGTAACTTTAATTTCAGAAGTGTGCAAAAATTAGTCATGTATACCTGTTGATTTTTTTTTTTTAACTCACCTCAGGAATCAGAAATGGGAAACCTGGCAAACAGGGACATCCGTTCATCTGTTGGTCCTCCTCCCTGCTTCCGGTTCCTCGGAGAGATTTGTCGTCATCCTGACAAAGCAGCCTCTCCTCATACAGTCAGTCTTACTGGGCTTGAAGATCCTCATCTTCTCTTGGCTAAGTGAGCTGGGGAGAAATAAAACTCTACCTAGCCTAGCTAGGTCGTGTACTGTTTCCCTACTGATGATTAGAACAAACTTTAAGACTTACTTATTGTTAAATACCAGCTGCAGCCAACACAAATGTTAAAATGAGGAAACTGCCGATCCTTGCAGATCGATCGGGCTTACTTGTTATGAATCAATAATAAGGTTGCAATTATGACTGTTGAAGCGACATAATGTCAGACGCGCCCTGCCGATCGTTGCAGATCGGACTTACTCATTATTTCGGAGACAAGGCAACAATATAACTTCAGGGGGATAAGTGTCCCTGCCGGTCATTGAAGATCGGACTTACTTTCTAAAATTCAAAACAGGCCTAAACATTACATTTGAAGGCGGTTTAAAGTCACCAGTTTACCTGCCGACTGTTGCATGATCGGACTTACAGCTTAAAATTCAAGACACGGCTGAAACTTATACTTTTGAAGGCGACATTGTGACACAATTTGTACTTGCCGATCGTTTAAGATTACATAATGTCACAGGTGTCCTTGCCGATAGTTTTGTATATCGGATTTACTTTTTAAAACAAAAATCCAAATAGGGCTGCTAACATTATTTCTGGAGGTTACACCATGTCATAAGGTGGCCCTGCCGATCGTTGTAGATCGGACTTACTCTTTGTATGCCGACGCATTAAATACAGGGCTGCAAGGGAATTCTCTAATGAAAAAAAAAGAAGTAAAAACTCACCGATATCTGCTATCGGACTTACATTTTACAATTCAAGATCTAAAAATTATCGTCGAATGTGATTGATATATTTGCCCATGCCAATATTTGCAGATCGACTTTCTTATTCAAAGGAATGATGAACATTCAACGAAGAATCAGTTTAATATGAGGTATTGCGTCCCACCACGTGACAAGAGACTTGTGGCACGACTTCGGATTTTATTTAAAAAAAAAAAAAACTTAAACCACTCTCGACGTTTACTTGTTTTCGTTTTATTTCGTATCGTAACATTTTGTGATAAAAATAACACTGATTTCAAGTATTATTTTTCCCATCACCACTTTGATTTTTTTGTATCGTTACGTATCGTATTGTATCGTGTCATATCGCATAGCATCGTAACGTATCGTAAAGTATGACGTAATATCGTATCGTATCGCACTTTTGAGAAATAAATAACACTGGATTCAAATATTATTTATTTCACAGGATTTGCTGTAATACTTTACATTCCGTAGCCGAAATTTCGAGGAGGTGACATTTACTTTTTTCGTATGATTTCGTGTCGTAACATTTTGATTCCATTTCGTTTCACTTTGACATCGTTTGGTTGAGTTTCGTTTCTTTTGTGGGTGAGAAAAGTAACACTGATTTCAAGTATTATTTTTATCATCACCACTTTGATTTTTTTGGTATCGTTACGTATCGTATCGTACCGTATCGCATAGCATCGTAACGTAACGTATCGTAAAGAATGACGTATCGGGTCGTATCGCACTTTTGAGAAATAAATAACACTGGATTCAAGTATTATTTCTTTCACATGAGTTGCTGCAATACTCGTTATTCTCGTAGCCGAAATTTCGAGTCGTCGACATTTACTTTTTTCTCATATTATTCGTATCGTAACATTTTGTTTCCATTTCGTTTTACTTTGACAGCGTTTGGTTGCGTTTCATTTCGGGGTGAGAAAAGTAACACTGATTTCAAGTATTATTTTTACCATCACCACTTTTTTTGTATCGTTACGTATCGTATCGTATCGTATCGTATCGCATAGCATCGTATCGCATAGCATCGTAACGTAACGTATCGTAAAGAATGACGTATCGTGTCGTATCGCACTTTTGAGAAATAAATAACACTGGATTCAAGTATTATTTCTTTCACATGAGCTGCTGCAATACTCGTTATTCTCGTAGCCGAAATTTCGAGGAGGTGTCGACATTTACTTTTTTTTCATATTATTCGTATCGTTACATTTTGTTTCCATTCCGTTTTACTTTGACAACGTTTGGTTGCGTTTCGTTTCTTTTGTGGGGTGAGAAAAGTAACACTGATTTCAAGTATTATTTTTACCATCACCACTTTGATTTTTTTGGTATCGTTACGTATCGTATCGTATCGTATCGCATAGCATCGTAACGTAACATATCGTAAAGTATGACGTATCGTGTCGTATCGCACTTTTGAGAAATAAATAACACTGGATTCAAGTATTATTTTTTTCTCTTTACCAGTTTTACTTTTTTGGGGGTCAAAATATTGCACATCTGTGAACAGGCAGAAAAAGAAAATTTGAAAGAAATCACACCGCACACAGGAAACAATTCAAACGAGGGGATTAAAACATAACATCTCTTTTTTGTGAAAATGCAGGAATCAAGCAATTTCTTTTACTTCATCATTACCTTCGACAATCAAACTTTGCATCAAACTGCAAACTTCTTTGTCATCAACTTCAGTTAACAGACAAAATTAATAATTACCACCGTTTAAATTTTATACGATTTATAAAAAACTGATTATATAATGCTTTTATTTTTGTTGATGGTTGACAAGATGGAATAAACCGTGTCGTTCTTAATGTAAGACTTGGCGTGGTCACTGAGGTTCATTTCTATGCCAGCACAATGTCATCGCAGGTGCCAGACTAAATATTCATATTCAAACTTGTACCTAAGCCTATTTATTTGCACATGCCAACACCTTGTCATCGCACGTGACAGACTAAATAGTCATATTCAAACTTATAACTAGGCCTATTTACTTGCACATGCCAACACAATGTCATCGCACGTGACAGACTAAATATTCATATCCAAACTTGTAACTAGGCCTATTTATTCGCTCATGCCAACACAATGTCAACGCAGGTGCCAGTCTGCCAGACTAAATATTCATATTCAAAATTGTAACTAAGCCTATTTATTTGCACATGCCAACACCATGTCATCACACGTGACAGACTAAATATTCATATTCAAACTTGTAACTAGGCCTATTTACTTGCACATGCCAACACAATGTCATCGCACGTGCCATACTAAATATTCAGATTCAAACTTGTAACTAAGCCTATTTACTTGCACATGCCAACACAATGTCATCGCACGTGCCAGACTAAATATTCAGATTCAAACTTGTAACTAAGCCTATTTATTTGCACATGCCAACACAATGTCATCGCACGTGACAGACTAAATATTCATATTCAAACTTGTAACAAAGCCTATTTATTTGCACATGCCAACACCATGTCATCGCACGTGCCATACTAAATATTCAGATTCAAACTTGTAACTAAGCCTATTTATTTGCACATGCCAATGCATTGTCATCGCAGGTGCCAGACTAAATATTCATATTCAAACTTGTCACTAAGTCTATTTATTTGCACATGCCAACACAATGTCATCGCACGTGTCAGACTAAATATTCATATTCAAACTTGTCACTTAGCCTATTTATTTGCACATGCCAACGCAATGTCATCGCAGGTGCCAGACTAAATATTCATATTCCAAAATTGTAACTAAGCCTATTTACTTGCACATGCCAACGCAATGTCATCGAACGTGACAGACTAAGTATTCATATTCAAACTTGTAACTTAGCCTATTTATTTGCACATGCCAACACAATGACATCGAACGTGACAGACTAAATATTCATATTCAAACTTGTTACTAAGCCTTTTTACTTGCACATGCCAACACAATGTCATCGCAGGTGACAGACTAAATATTCATATTCAAACGTGTCACCATAAAGCCTATTTATTTGCACATGCCAACACAATGTCATCGCACGTGACAGACTAAATATTCATATTCAAACTTGTCACTAAGCCTATTTATTTGCACTGCCAACGCAATGTCATCGCAGGTGCCAGACTAAATATTCATTTCCAAACTTGTCACTGGGCCTATTAATGTGCACATGCCAACACAATGTCATCGCACGTGCCAGACTAAATATTCATATTCAAACTTGTCACTAAACCTATTTATTTGCACATGCCAACACAATGTCATCGCAGGTGCCAGACTAAATGTTCATATTAAAACTTTTAACTGAGCCTATTTATTTACACATGCCAACACAATATCATCGCACGTGCCAGACTAAATATTCATATTCAAAATTGTCACTCAGCCTATTTATTTGCACATGCCAACACAATGTCATCGCACGTGCCAGAGTTAATATTTAGATTCAAACTTGTAACTAGGCCTATTTATTTGCACAGGCCAACACAATGTCATCGCACGTGATAAATTAAATATTCATATTCAAACTTGTTTCTCCGCCTATCTATTTGCACATGCCAACACATGCTAGACCTATTCGTTAATTACTCTCCTACTATTTTATTTGTACATGCCGCGCCAACACAACTCATCACGTGTGCCAGACTTATTCATATTCAAAAATGTAACCACGCCTATTTATTCGCACGTGCCAACACAGTGTCATCGGGCGTGCCAGACTTATTCGTATGCAAATTAACTAAGACCATTGCTGGCTTTTGATACTCTACACAATGGCCTAAAATAAGTTTATAGTCGACAAGGATGGAATTTGTGTTGTTTAATTGTTAACACTAAGCAATTCAAATGACAACTTTTAGAAGTGATGGAGACCTATGCATGCACTGCCCTTCTATGTTAACATTCAACACATTAAAACAAAGCACAAAATAAGGGGCAGTCTCACATGTTTACAAAGTTGAAGTTGTATTTACATTTTAGACAAATCTTATACAGTATAAACAAAAATTTTGCTTTGTTTTATTTCGCAAGCAACGGAAAGATAAGGTCACTAACCTCATGTCTGTTTTACAGACTAACCCCTTGGCCTTGCAACCTCTCCGCCATTCTTGCATGAAGCTTGAGAGATCCTCCAAAATAGGGACGGAACGAGTTCACAAACACGACAAAAGTCCACAGTACACTCATTCTTTTTTCGTTTGGTTCACTGAGTCAAAGTTTAAGATCAACATGTTCAGTAGGCCTACTTTGTTCCAAGTTCCATCCAAGTTCAATTCGAGTTCAGTTTTACGCAGTTTGTGACGCTTGGTAAAATCCTGAAGAATGGAAAACTTCGTGGTCCCTCGGAGTTCGAAGGAGTTTGAAGGACTCGGAGTTCGAAGGAGTTTGAAGGACTCGGAGTTTGAGTCAGACTGTCAAACAAACACGACAAAAGTCCACAGTACACTCAGTAAACATGCCGACACACCAGGCCCGGGCAGGAGTCTCCGCCGGGAGAAAGTTGTGTTGATGCGGCGGCTTGTTCGCTCGTCTTTTAGGGAGAATATGGCTTGAAATTGGTGAGTTGAGCTGGCGGAGAAAAGCAGTCAGTAGAGAAAATACCAATGAAGGATGCCAGGACGAATTCACGCTCGACGACAATTCTCCATAATACAAAATGTATCGCGGTGATACGAGGAACAAACTTACGGAGGTCCTCTCCCGTTGAAATTCGTCTGCGGAGTGAGATAGGAGTGAAAAGACGGGTAGGTATATTCTGCACGCGCACCGTGTTTGCTTCTCGTGTTTACGGTCAAGTGTGTATTTCTCCGCTCGTGCAGTTTTTGTGATTATTTTGTCTTTAAAATATACATTTTGAAATAAAATATATAAATAATTAAGGTAATGAATAAGGAAGATTTCCAAATGAGAAACATTGTGAAACTATGATGAAAAACGATGAAAATATTCATTTTATTAAACTCTGGGCACTAGTTTTTTTTAGGAATCGCAGGCAGACGATAGAAGACTGGTGACGTAATGCGAACGGGCTCTTGCGATTGGTCAGAAGTACGAGGAGTGACCTTACGCTGGTTAATCTGATCAACTTCATTGGATAACAACGACTCCTCATTTAAATAGCAATGTGGCAGACGAAAACAGATGAAAAGTGTCACTTCTTTTTTGGCGGTCAGGGAATTTTGACTCGGCATCGGTTCCAACCGGTTCCAACCGGTTCCATAGACTTGTCCAGTCGCAGCGTTATCCAGAAAATTGCTCAGGACGGTTGATGAGATAATAAACAATGACAATGGAAGGAAAACTGCATGTAGTTTTCCTCTCCAACCAAATTAATTTGAGTTGCGGGTAAAAGGCAAAGAAACAAAAATAAGATACGCATTCTTTAGTCCAGTGGCGTAATTAAGGGGCTAATTTGCAGGGGCTAGGTGATTCAAATTGTGTAATTCCTGGGACATAATACTTGGGGGAGCGCATAAAAATGCAATGCACAGTTACAAAAAAATGTTGTGGCTTCTTACTGGACTTTATATAGGGGAAAAACTTTTATTCCCCCGCCCCCATTTCAGAATTTAAAAAGATGAAGGGAGATCTTAAATTCTAAAATTGGGGGAGGGGGAATCTGTTGAATAGTTGGATATCTAATTTTTAAATGGATGTTGAATGATCTTTTCTACGCTGATGGAGTCTTTGCTCTTGCACTTCATAAATTGTTTCGCTACGTCACTCGGTCACTGTATTCTTTCTCTTGCCTTGATAACTTGTGTATTGCTAGAACAATGCCGGGCAATCTGGAAAATTAGTCAATTTTCCGGGATGAAACTCGAAATAGAATGGGGAATGCACCTTTAAAGCCATCCCTACATGATAAACCTTATACCCCCCCCCCCCCGTCAACAATGAAACAATAAAAACTCAACAAACTCTTGATTTATAAAATAAACATCTGAAAACATCTTTATTTGACGTTAATTAATAAACAATGGAGTAAGTTGTAAATTAAATATGGAATTCATTACTTGATGATGCTTTAAACCCCAAAATAATTTTGATATGGCAAAATGGAAGAAAGCAAATGTTGAAAAGAAAGTTAAACAATCAACTTACTCAAAATAAATTTGAAATTTCACATTTGATGCACTTAAATTAAAAGTTGGTTTGGAAATCAACTCTAAAAGATATGCAAATGTTGGCATATAGTTTTTTTTCTTCTGTGTCTGGCAAATTATTACACATGCTTCATTTTGTCTTCTTGATTCAATTTTAGGAGAAACTTATTTTATGCAACTGAACATGCTTTCTGCAAAATAGCAGTTTGTGTTTCTTTTGAACAATTTTAAAATCAGTTATTCCACTGATCACTGAATGTTAAAAGCAATTCAGTTGACTAATCACTTAATCATAACAAATACAAAACAAATTGATCTTGCAACATTTTGGTGAATGTTTGCAACTTGACAGTCTTAGATTCCTTCAAGCAATTCAACCAAATAATCTGGCCATGAAGCACATTTAAGAGAAAGTCCAAACTTTAAAGTAAAAGAAAAAAGAAAGAAAGGATAAAGTACGGGTTGAAGGAATCTGCGAAGCTGATTCAGCACATGATAAAACAAAGCATCAATGAAAAAAGATAAAAAGAATAAAAGAAACTTATCCCACTTGGCGACATATGTTTTGCTACACGCAGAACTGAACTTGTCAAGCACATGTAAAAGTAATTAAGAAAGTCTGTCACGAGCCAATTATGGCCCATCAGGCCGGTGTAGCGTGAATATCCGACTCCATGAAATGTGGACTCATTGGTAGTATTGCGCATGCGTAAGTACAATAAAATGCCATTTTTAGGATCATATATAGGAGAATGACCTGTCACATGCGAGGGACAAACCAATGAAAGGGAAAAGGAGTCTGATTTTCATAGGAGTTGGATTTTCATATGACACCGGCGTTTATCTCCAGTTTTCTTGGCATGAAACAACCGAGAATATTTCTACTCCCCCTGGATGGGATGCCAGTCTATCGCAGGTTACACCCCGGCTAATGCCAGTACCCAGTTATACACTTGGGTGGACAGAGGCAAGTGGGGTGAAGTGGATTGCCCAAGGACACAACATATGACCAGCAGCTGGATTCGAACCCCTGCCCCTCTGATCATGAGTCACCAACCCCATTCACTAGGCCACATCAAGCACATGTGCAGTGAGAAAATTTGCAAGTTGTGTTTGAAAATATGCCTCAGCAAATGATGCAACAGTCTTTTTAACTTCAATCTTACTGTTTTCAGTGTCTTCAAAGAGTGTTACAAAGAATAGAACTGATTAATTAAAGTCTCATGGGCGAGATTGGGAAAGAAACATAAAATTCCATGAAATAAACGGCAGAGGGTTTGGGGGCCACGGAGGGCCCCAGATGAGTAACTTAGGGTCTATGGTATATGTTTGTATTTGCCTGAAGGCACCCTTTAAAATAACCTTTTCTTTTGTTCTGTATGATTTTTTTCTTTTAAGTAAAACATCTTTATGGTACAACCTCAGAAGTCAAGATTTCAAAAGAAAATCTTAAAAAATCCTGAAATCAGCAAAACTCCTGACAAACTATCCTGAAATCAGGAAAAATCCTGACAAATGTCACCCCTCAAGTTTAGATCCTATAACTTCTGATACTGTCCTGTACTTATTCATCCAAAATATATATAGATGAGGACAAATAATTCACAAAATAAACATTGTTTTGACTTGATTTAGTTAGAAAAAACTTTTCTGTTTTGTAAAATGCCTCAAAAAAGTACAAACATACAAATGTGATGAACATGCACAATGTGGCACAGACATACAATTGATATTCAATCATTGCCCGACATCAATGACGAATACATGTAAAACAGAATCATATCCAGATATGTCAAATTTGGAACAATTTAAATCCATGATTAAGTAAGAACAAAGATAAATCTGTTGGAATCGGTAAAATTCAAATTTACAGTAGCAAAGAAGGATCTACAATTCTACATGTAACTTGCAATTTTATCCCTCAACTGTTGTGTCCGTTCCTTGGTTGTCGTGACGACAGTGTCGATGACCCATTGAAGGTCGACGCACAAGGCGTTTGCCTTGTCACTCTCACAGAAGAAGTAGATGCCCAGGCCCAAGGCAACCAGGGTGACGCACAGGGTGATAAACACCACGAGGCAAGAGGATCCTGAGGGCAGGGAGAATGAAAACATCTTATCACTTGCAAAGAAGTTTTCAGCGATTGCGCTGTGTTTACTATTCATGATATTCAGTTTTCCAGACACATGAAACTGTTCATTTTGAAGAAAATAGAAAACTAAAATAAATACTTATTCCTTAATGAATGGATCGTAATAGTATAAGCTGTTCCCTCACTTCAGCATAGTTGTACATAACAATGGTTAAGTTGCGCTTTCTGACCAGAAGTGTATTTATTGTGAAAAATGATATATGTATTTGAATTAAAAAAAGAATCATTTGCAAAGTAATCAAAAGATCTAATTTTGTCAGGTTTAAATAACCATTCAGCTGAAACAAAATGCTTAAAAAGAATTGTTTTGACAAATATACAATTTAACATTGAAATGTTTTTCACTGCAATAGAGTTGTGCAGACATCCTCAAACTTTCAGCCTAGATGTTCCCTATTTTAATTTTAAGAATATGCCATGATTTTTTACCCATGAAAAAAAGCTGACCCTGTCAATATGAATTATTTTAGAATGTGCAAAATTAACTCCAAAAAGTAAAGGAGAACTTTATACCTGATTTGGTTTTGACAGGTGTGTGCTGGACACCATTTGCTTTTTGACCGGCAGCTAGGAAAAGAAAAGTTAAAAATCAAAATCAAAAAATAGGGCACCAATACAGACCCCAAAAATGTGTCAGTCAGGTTGTTCTCTCATGAAAGGAACAATGGAATATTAATGCCTTTTTTGGGGAGGGAGGTTTAACCCATTAGCATCCTTTGCTAAATTTCAATAACTCAATTGAATGGTTTAGGAAGCATGCCGGCAAATGGAAAGTGGGCAAGGTACGAGAAAACTGTGGGAAGTAAAAATATAAAGCTTTACATCAAACTGATCTTTATTACTGTATCTATCAATAATTTGTATCACACGATACAATTGTGATGATACAAGCATGTAAAAGTACAGAAGTAAACAAGAAAATGCTCAAGATTTATAAATTCGGAATTTCCATGACTTCATAATCACTGCATTAAATTGTTGAATCAAATTGAGCAATGTAGTGAGTGATACGTTACATGCATGCATACATTTGGAGCACAGACATGGGCTAAATGCCATTCAAATGACGTCACAAAATGCCATCTATAGGCACTGGCGATGGACGGGCATCCCTTGACTTTGCATCAGCTGTGAGTTGAAGTCATGACAAGGTTTATACCTCAACCTGTGTTAACCCATTACTCCCTGTTCCATCCAGAGCCGCATGAGCACTCTATGGTCCTATGGATTCATCAGGGAATACATGTATATACAATGTAATACAATGTAGTACAATGTAATACAATGTAGTACAATGTAATACAATGTAGTACAATGTAAAACATGAGCTAATGGTTTAAACACTTGGTATCTTTGAATCCAGTGAGCTAACCTTTGGCATTTTTCCTTTCCTTCTTCTCCTCTTTCCGTCTCTTGGCGGCCATGGCTGCCTCATACTCCTCCGTCTTCTTCTGTCGCTCAAGCTGCTTCTGGACTTGCTTCTCCTTCCTCAAGGCTTCCTGCTTCTTCTCCCTGGCTGCTGCTTTCTCTTTCAAGACATTGACGAAAATCAATCGAGAAATGTTAGCAATCTCTTCTCTTAAAAAGAGATTCAGAAAACAGTTAATAGCCTTTAGGAATGGCAGGATTCACTGAATAAAATATTTTCTCCTTGCGTGCCTTCTCAGTACCTCCTGTGTCTGTTGCTGAGTTAGGCATTTGGACTTTTCAACAAGTACCCCCTCAACGAATGCCAAAAGAAAGTTGGGAGGGACCACTGGGAGGGACTCTTTAAAGTAATGATGATGGCTCTTTACACTCATGTAAAGATGATACTGGCTTCTGTGCATTCAGATTAATATATAATTATACGGCAATTGGCCAAGATAACCTAAAATGAGAATAGCCTCTGCGGGCTCAACCTCCCCCCCCCCCCCAAAAAAAATGGGTATGTTTGATTCAGGATTGCAGAGCCAAGCAATAATTTATTCGGGTTAGGGATAAAACACACTCACTTTTTTCTTTCTCCAGCTTCTTCAGTTTCTGGGTTTCCAGTTCAGTCTGAATAGCACTCATGTACGCCACAACCTGAGAAAGAATAACACAATCTTTGTGAATTGTGGATTTAATTGGTCAAATATTCAACCATCTGAAGACAATTGGTTTGCGTGTATATGGCGCAAAGTTACATTATTCTATTCTGAATGTGCATACTAGGCATACCGGGATAGTGTGATATGCATACACATTGTCCCTTCTAGTGGTTTCATCAACTCTCTCTTTGTAATATTAGAGCAGGTATGGGCTCCGTGCACAAGTACCCCCTCAATGGTAAGAAAGAGAGGGTTTGGGGAGACCACTCGGAGAGACATTCGAACGGCAACGCGTGACATTCACACGAAGACGCTATGACTTTGTAGACATTCAGAATATAATAAGTCACGTGTACTTAGCACTATACGTACGCGAACCAGTAGGCTCACGCAGTGTGTTCCGTCCATGGGCCTCTCATAGCACTCTCTCCGTCATCTGTTTATTTTTTTTGGGGGGGGGGGAGGTGAGGGGGAGATCTCTTACCCGTTTAGCACACTCTCTGCATTGCTTGTCATCCAGGCAGTCCCCGGCCACTCTCTTCAGGTCCTTGTCTAGATTGTCGTTATCTTTAAGGTCCAGCCACCGCAGGTTCCGCAGGTTGGCAAAACTGATTGGAAGATGTTCTAACTGGTTATCTGTGATAACACAGACAAATTCGATTAGGGCACGAGGTTCCAGTCTGGGCAAGGTCTAACATATTCCATATCATTTTGTTAAACTACAGGTTTTGTCATGATTTGGCACTAACCTAAGAGGTCTAGGTGTTGCACTTACCTAAGAGGTCTAGGTGTTGAAGATTCTGAAGATTTCCGATATTTTCCGGGAGGCAGGTCAGGCTGTTGTTACTGAGGTCGATCTTCACTATGTGGGTCAGTGTGCAAAAGTTGTCCTGCAAAAGATGACAGTGCACTGAGTGCTATTACAAATGTTGGCAAACAGGAAATAATGCAGGTTTTCTGGTTAAGTTAGGAGTAACTTTTATTTACGATCCAGTATAAGTATTCCAGAAAGTGTTTCTTGAGACATTCTTGATGTTTTGATGAGTTAAGAGCAAGATGCTAAAAAAGAATTTGGGATAATGGGACTCCCAAAAAGTTTCGAGGTAAAGCCAGGACATGTTGTATTAATGGTGAGGATGGACAAAACTTGAAGAGAATTCATTGTATGCGCTTGAGTGAGTTTAGACACAAGTGTTGGGTGTTGCACAAAAAAACTCACTGGTAGACTTGTTAGTTGATTACATGACAGGTCTAGACGCGTTGCTTTGGGTAATGCAGCCTGCAAGAGAAAAACATGGACATTTTAATTGTAGCTTATGTGGGTCTGTATTTTCATAATGAAGAGCAATCACTGACTTAATATTCTGCAAAACTCCACACCTTTAAATTTTAAATATACACTCTTCATTTTCAAAGTGGGAGTCAAACTGTCAAACCAACCTACCAGTCATGCCGGTAGTCCGAGTATTAAGTTGGGCCCAACATATCGCCTATTTTATGTATACGTATCGCCAGACTATGTCACAATGTTTACAAAGGCGATAGTGTCCAAGTTACTTAGACTTCTAGCATTAGAAGGCCCTTACTCTAGAAGTACGAGTTACTCAGACTGAAACCAAACCAAATTACCCCCCCCCCCCCACCTTTAGCTGGAAATAGCCAACTCACTAGGCTCATGCCATGGGGATTGCGAATCTCCCATGTCATGAGGAGTTATATGGAGGAATGGATGAGCCTAACGAGCTGGATATTTCAAGCTACCCCCCCCCCCAATTTTCCCCAAAATAATGAAAATAAATAACACCAAAACACACGAGTTTGGATAAATTTGGTAATTTGGATACCTATTTTGCAGAGTGCTTCATATGTTGTGTTCTAGGCTTTCATTTCATGATTTATGCGCCAAGGAAATACCATTAATGGCATTAAGTCATTATTAAAATTTTAATAAATTCCGAAGGCTGTCGTCTGCAATCTGTAAACAGCGCCCTCACGCGGTGCAAACTGCTTACTTAATTCCAGTGCTAACCGTATGAACAAACTTACCAACTCTTTGACGGGAACTTTAGTTAAATTACTTAGACTCAAATCAAGTTCGTTTCCGTCTAAGTGGTCCCTCAGAGATTCCTTGCCCATTTTCTTACAATTTTTTTAAGTTTAAGGAAGGAAGAATGTTAAGGGGTGGAACTGGAAGAAAAAAACGGCGAAATATAAATCAGCTGTTCCAGCGATTTCGTCAACGTTGCAAGTACCGGAATATAGTCGGTACCCCTGCTAGAAAAGTCAGTAAATTGCAATCGCCATGGTTGGGAACTAGCCAAGTATTGGCCATACCATTTCTTCACAAATAGGGGATGTATGTATTCTTTACTTTAAAAAAAAATAGAAAACTGAGCTTTTACGCAATAAAGTTGATGTAAAGTTTCATGAAAAACATACTTTTGTGGGAAAAAATGTTTTGTTTTGATATAATTTATACGGTAACCCTCAATTACACAGTTGAAAGAGAGTAATAATACCTCTAAGAAATAGGAGGTTCCGAAATTGCGATGTATAACATCACTCATCATTGGGTCAAATCCCGCACGTCCTATCGAACTTATTAAACAATGGACCAATGAAATCAAGGGTAATATATTTCGTCGCACTTTTTCAGGCATGTGTTATGATGCAACAAGAAATCGCCTCATCACGTTGAACATACACTGAATTGATTCACAGTTTCCTATGATTTTTCTACATCTTTGTAACTTAAACAGAGGAAAAAGTAATGGAACAATTATCATAGGTGATACAACCTTATTTGAGGCAACATCGGACTTAAATGTAAATATGGTGAGTCAACATTCGTATGATTTTGAAAATCAAGTATAATGTTCTCATAGGAATGTGTTTAACATATTTCCTGAAAAAAAGGATAACTATGATCAAGTGAGAAAATAATAGTGTTTTAAGACAAAAATGTCTTCCTGAAAAAAATATTTTGGGTACAACTATAGAATACAGGGCCACTCCACTCTACATCTGCGCCTCCGTATGGCTGCGTGGAACCGTGGAGAATTGCGCCCTCTACTGGCGCGCAACTCCGTGACTCCAAGGCTTTGCGCCTCCACGGCTCCAGTGCCCCGTCACAAGCGCGCCCTCCCTTCCTTTGTGAGGAAATAATGGATGCTTCGTTCTCAAAAAAATGTAGTCCTAGGATCATTCATAATATCATATGAATATCCTACCGCCGTGACCTTGGTGAACATGATGATCAAGATAAACTAAACATGCTAAATCCAATTTAAAAAAATTATTTTGTTTTACCAGGCTGCCAAGTATGTCACTCAGATAATAGTTCTTGGTGCTCAAGTTGTGGGACGAGCCTTCACAAGGGCCCTACGCCAGGAAATTCAAGGTAGGCCAATGGTGTGTATAAAAAACAACAGTAAAACATTTTAAAAGTCTGCCTCAATGATTGGTCTGGTGGTTGTCATCACATGTAAATGCTGTGTTTATTAGAAATATTATCCTCTTTCCATATTGATTTCAGCGAGTCAGCATGCAGCCAAGAGTGCCGGAGGGGGCAAGCAAGGGGCACAGTCGGCCGCCAAGGACAGTCTGACTGGCATCACGCTACAGGAAGCTAAACAGGTCCTGAATGTCACTAAACTAGACCTGGAGCACATCACCAAGAACTTTGACCATCTCTTCAAGGTCAACGATAAGAGCAAAGGGGGATCCTTCTACCTCCAGTCCAAGGTGGGAATGATGAGAAACAAAGTTTTTATTACGTCAATCACAAGTCAAATCCCAAGTCATCATAAGTCAAATCAAACAGCAGTCATGAAGCAATTTCAAGTCAATCACAGGTCATCACAAGTAAGGTCATAAGTTACAGGGACTGAAGTACGACAACAGAATACTTTTGTCGTCGTTTATTTGAATCAATTATCACTTGAGACTGGAGGGGAAAACTCTTACGCGACTTGTGTCAGATTCTTGGTGACTTTGGGATGACTTGTGATGCCTTTTTTAATTGACTTTTTTCTAATTTTAAAGTTGAACAAAGAAATCGATTGGAGTGGGGTTTGAACCTGCAACCTCGTGATTGCTGTTCCGGTGCTCTACCAACTGAGTTATCCGGCCCCATGTCTTTGTTCAAGGAGCATTAGTCAGAAGCGTCACGATGCTGGCATCATTAGCAATGCTGCAAACCTTGGAAATAGCAAAAGGGATCATTCAGAAAGGATACCGCATTTTGTATGTGTGCAGTTCATGGTGCAATGCAATTGGTGATTCTGGCATTTGGTAACGTAGCTGCATGATGAAATACAATGAAATATATAGGAAACCCCAAGAAAACACAGCATCTTGAGCAAATTGATCACAGTTCAATCATTGTTGGCCCTGTCTTTCCTTTGAAAAAAATCATAACAGAAGATTTTTCTTCTCTTCCGTCCAGGTTATCCGAGCCAAGGAGAGACTTGACCAGGAATTCGAAGCGAGTGTAAGAAAGGACATAGGCGATGGCAGTACGCAGCAAAACACAAAAGATGCCCCGCCAACATGATGACAACTTTGTACAGACTTTTAAATTGTAAATACTAGGATTTTTTTGGGGGGGGGAGGGGTGAAGGGGTGAAAATCCTTAGACATACTCACCTTTGGAATATCCTGAAAGTGTTTCATCTGGAAAGTTCTGCAGTGGAAGTATTCTTGTGTTTTATCGCACCATTACACCAGTGCTATAGAATTATCTCTAGGAATGCAAGAAACCTGCATCTGCAAAACTGCAAAATTCCATAATTTATGATAGATGACAACACAAATTTCTTTAAATAGTCTTTCTAGTTTCATTGCGTTCATCCGAAAAAAAAATAGAAAAGAAAAAAAGATCAGGATTTTGAAACTGTAAAGTGTAATTTCACTTTTTTACTGAATACACATGTACAATGTTGAACGGATTGTTGTGAAATTCTAGATCTGAAAGTTGTTTTCATGGGTGATAAAAAACTTAGGCATCTGTTGTTTAGTCGGATGTCCATTTGTGGCATTAAACTCCTATGGAAAACATTGATAGCTCTTTTAGACATTGCCAACTGGTATTCATTTTTCATTGGGTAACAAAGACCTAGCAGTTTTTACATTTGTTGATAACACCTGGATTTTGGTTTTTGTGAATAATGTGGAATGTTTAGGAGGTTACACAGCTGGATGTGTGTGAATAAAAAGAAATGGTTTAAATTATTGGCATTGAATCGGCATGGCTTTATTCAATCTGTTCATTCAATGATTGCTTCAAAACCTGTGCATTTAACAAAGCCTTGAACCATAAGAATACTTTTGCCGGGTTATTTTTCACAAATGTTATTTTAAGGGTTTGTTTATTGGGAGAAGAGACTGGGAAGAGTCTGGGAATTCTCAAAATTAACAGGCAAGAAAAATTAGCAATAGAAGTGAACTGATCCGTAATAATTTGTTAAAGAAGTTTGGAAGAAAAGCGAGTGCAATCCCATACTTGCATATCAACAGTTATGAAAAATCATCAGCTTTAATTTGTATACATTTGTATAAATAATTTAAAAACAATACAAAAAAAGATAATGATCTGTGTTGCTATAAGTGAAGGTAAAGTATTCTAGACATAATTTACGGAAAACGTATAAATAAATTTACATGAAATCTACTTTGGAATTAACTTTCTTGATTACAAACTGGTTGTATTTAAGAGTTAAAAAAAAAAAAAAATCTGGCACATGCAAAGTCAAAACTTGTAAAGCAGGAAGCCACAAATGAGAGAAAATTTAAAAAGAATTCTCGGCACAAAAAGGGAAAAAAAACTTCGCAATCTGAATGAAACAGTATCCAGAGTCTCAAAAATGTCGTCAAAAATCCCAAACCAAGCCTTAGGAAGTCATTTTTATGAATAATGCATTTAACTCGAGACAAAAGCTGAAAAATGTAGAATCATTTAAATAGGTTCTGGAAGAGCAACATGAACTACGTGTAGCAGTCTGACGTGTGCATATGCGTATGACGTATCAGGCTGGAACACTTTATAAAAGGTCTCAAAGTACTTCACAATTGCCAGTTTTTGCTGCAGTTCTAGATCAGTGCATTCTGCTCTCTACCTTTACAGGTACCCATTTATACTCCTAGGTGGAGAGATGCAATTATAGTAAAGCACCATGTTCCCCGTCACAAAGCCAAACACTCCATGTACGCATTGGAGAGGGGCGTATGTGTTAATGTGGGTGCAGTGGGCGGGGCCTATTGGTAGCATTTGTTACACGTTCATAGTACAGTATCTCAAATTCCTGATTCACTTCAAGGGTCCATTTTTCTGATATCAAAGAAACCAAATCCTTGATGCGAGAAATTCACACAAAACCTCAGCTGACGAGAAAATAAAAAAAGATGTAAGCAAATGATAGAGTCTGCACATACCACACAAGAATATAAAATAATTTAGATTTTCAAAATCCCCCTTACTTAAGTTTCTAGCCCTCACAACCAAAGAGCTATAATATTAACTATAATTACTACAATACCTAATAATTCTGGGGGCCTGAAAATGTCTGGAATCAATACAATCCTCGTCAATGTTATCAATATAATAACAATGTTATCATATAATAAATAAATATATTTAAGAGTTAAGTCATGGCAAGTCTCTTGTTTCTATACATCAGTAAGTAAATTGGAAGAGTGTCCATTCCCCCCCCCCCTCCCCCCCCCCGAAGATAAATATTTTGGATGATCTATGCTGGACTAATACAGTATAATTATTACTATACTACATAAGATTATGTGGAACACGGGGCCAGTTTTAGTGAACCCGCTTAAGACAAGTTTTGCTTAGCTTTAAATGGTTACCAGCCAAAACACCATATGACATGTACTGCTTGTAACTGGTTCCCTGCAGATTTTAGCTTAGTTACAAACCTCTGCTCAACAGCTCCTATGAAATTGGGGTCTAAAATAAAAAAAACTTGACCAAGCCAATTGCGATTTTTCTCATATGTTGGTAAACTCTTTGGCTACAAATAGACCGTTTGCACTGGAGCCATCTTTGAGGTGTGTGTTTCTGTTCAACAGGGATACGCATGAGTAGACCTCTTGTGCATTCATTGTTAAAGAATCAACAAAACAAAACACAGCTCCAAGATGGCTGCTGAATGCAATCCCTCTATAGTGGCAACTTCTCTCTTTTTTTTGGAGAATGACATCAAGTAATAATGCAAAAGTACTAATTTGAATTCTGCAATCTGCAGGCAGTATTCAGCGCCAATACATCATCTCAGTGCAGCCGAAGAGTCTAATAACACCAGAAGCGTGAATCTGATCACTTTAAATTTAGCAACATGTCTCATATTTTGTATCTGTGATCTGCTCTGAAAAAAATGTAGTCAGTTGTGACAAAAATGACATGAAATAAGCTTTCATAATGCATATCACCGACACTTTCTAGAAGATTTTGTTGCATTGCTACGCATGTTTCATTGTCTAATTTCACCAAGAGAGTTTCGTTTGAGAAACAGGCGTTGAAAAAACACACAAACACTGCAACAACCAAAACCAAAAGCATCAAACATTTCGATTTTTCAGTCTTTTTCAAATGGAAAAAACAAAAAAAAACAATCAAAATAAAACAGGTAAAAAACCAAAGTCGGATTAATGTTTCCAACATCAATCTATTACTAATCAGCCATATCTTCAATTTCAAAGATTTCAATGGAAATTCCAACGAATTCCAATACATGTATATTGAAATCCATAGGACTCAAAGCTGTTAACATTTCTGTTAACATTTCTGTTAAAATTTCTGTTAAAATTTGTTAAAATTTCTGTTAAGATTTCTGTTAAAATTTCTGTTAACATTTCTGTTAACATTTCTGTTAACATTTCTGTTAACATTTCTGTTAACATTTCTGTTATTATTTCTGTTAACATTTCTGTGCCAGTGTGAATATAAAGAACAATAAAGCACACAGCTTTCTGTGTTCTTGCATTGTAACTTCTTGATTCAAACTTTCTTTTCTCCTGTCCAGTAAGTCTTGCAGTAAAGTACAATAATTTCTTCATCAATTATTCAATTTTCTAAGCCTGTTTTTACAATTATTACTTTGATTGTAAAGGCACTATAGGGCATATGAACCAACTACAGTTCTTGTTATTTACATACATGTGCATATAATTTCTTTTGAACTTAGCTAAAATAGAGTACTTTAATACTGATCTATTTGGTAACAGTACTCACTTTTTTTTTATAATAGTGCATAATAATTTTATGTACAAGTCATTTTTTAACATGAGAAAATAGTGTAGCTTTGTTGGTTCAGAAAAAAACCTGCAGATACAAAAGACACTTCAAAAGTTTGGTACGTACAGTGTATATAGTACAAGTTAAAAAAAAAACAGGAAATGTTAGGCTCGGAAAAAAGGACCGAAGCGATGAAATGAATACAATTTATGAAATGGTTTTATTATTTACACAGCTGTAAATCCTGGGAAGGTTTCTTAATGAAACCAACATATTTCGACACTGTGTTCAACACTGTGAAATTTGAGTGCCACAAAACGTCAAACTGGTTAAACTGAAATAATATATGTGAACAGACGGAGTCATTTCTGGGGGGGGGGGATGTTTAACATCCCCCCACCCAAACACCAAATTGTCAAAGGCATGTCACTGTTGGTAAAATAGCTAGAGGCCACCAAAATATAGCACCATCGGTGTCAACTGGTGACCAGCCTTGGCTACCTTGAACAACACCTCTGATGTCAGATAATGTCCAGCCCTCCCCAAACTCCTGCTCTCTAAATCTAGGGCCATCTGCAATTTTATGGTCCAACTCCACCACTGGCAAAGGTTCTGATGAAGCCGCTTTGTACCTTTGTTGTCTGTGCCGGTATACACAATGTTTCCTTTTGTTGTTGTTGTTAACATCGATGAATACAAACCTTGCTTTGGCAGACCTACACTGCAAAAAAAAAAAAAAACAGGTGACATGCACCTGTTGAGTCTACCAGCTTTGTGCACTAGCAGTCAAGACATCTTGAATACTGATGAATACATGTGTACAAAGCAGGGGTCTAAACATCAGCAATTTCAGAGTGGCACTGCTACATATGTGGTGGTGCCCAGTAGAAAACAGTAATATCATATGAGCAGGCATATCACAATGGCATTTCTTCCATAAAATGTGTAATGCAGTGATGTGTAGTGACACTCATCAGCAACAAAATTGAGATTGTTTGGCTCGTGGCCTCGAGTCCCACTCAACTGAGCTGTATGACATACTTAAGCTGAAGTTCCGGAAGTTTAACAAACTAACTACTGGCCACCCCTTGGCTCTTGGCTTGCATCCCCACACTTCTCTGATTGAGGACGTCTTGGTTCAGGCTGAACTCGTCCTCCTTCTTGACCTCTCTGGAGACGTCGTTATTTTGCATTCCCGCGACGGAGAATGTCCCCGAGTTGTTCCCGGATAGGTTAGAGAGGTGTCCCGGAAGCGTGACGTAACTGTAGTGGGGCTGGAGCGAGGGAGAGTGCACCAGAATCGGGTAGACGATCACCCCTTCGGGAAGTCCGGTTATGTTGCTAGTCGGCGGCACGGTGGTAACTGCCGGGAAGATCGACACTGGCGCGGGTTTGGCTGGTGAGACGTGGTTGGTGGGCTTACTGGAAGCCCCAGTAACACTCAGGGGCTTCTGGGAGATGTAGTGGTTGAGATGGTCGCGGTTTGCATAGTGGCCGAACGTCTTGACGTGTTTGCGTAAGGAGCTGGGGTCCGTGTAGCGCTTGTCGCAGCCGGCCACTTTGCAGAAGTAAGGCTTCTCTTCGAGGTGAGTGCGCGTGTGCTTGAAGCGGTCGCTGGAGTTGGAGTAACGTTTGTTGCAGCCTGCTACTGGACATACATAGGGTCTTTCACCTAAGATCAAGACAGAGCAATATTTTGTAATTAAGTAAGTAAATTCTATCACAAAATCAACGTGGCCCATCAGGCTGACGTTTAAGTCCGGTTTCCTTGACATGAAATGACTGAGAATAATTCTATTCCCCTGGATGGGAAGCCAGTCCATCACAGGTTTCTCCCCAGCTAATGTCATTACCCTGGGTGGAGAGATGCAAGTGGGGGTGAAGTAGCTTGCCCAAGGACACAGCATATGGCCAGTAGCTGGATTCGAACCCCTGACACTCTGCTCATGAGTCACAAACCCTAACCAACAGACCACACTCCCCTCATTAAAAAAAATCTCAAACCATTGATTAATTTGAACCTCACAGGGAAACTGATAAGGTAAACCTTCGATAAATCACAACTGCAACTTGTCAAGACTTGTGCTCAAGTACATCACGACTCAGTCACCAGTCAAATCAAAAAGTAAGGTCAGAAATAAACCTGTATCATCTTTGCCTGAGCACAGGGCGTCCACAAGGCAGCAATGCTTCGAGTCCACAGGTAGATCTCACCATTCATAAAATTCATTCATCTTGAAGTTTGGGTGGGGGAGGGGGAGAAGGGGGATGGGGGTTGGCATGCCCTACCTGTGTGTGATCTGTTGTGTATCTTCAGGTTCTCCAGTCGTGAGAAGCACTTCCTGCATATTGGACACTGATGTGGCTTCTCATTTGTGTGTGTTCTGACGTGGATTAACATCTTGTATCTGTAAAGGAAGGCACAACGTCAAACAAACTTATTACACGCAAATGCTTCAACACAAACGCTTGTAAAATTTGAAGAAATGCTAGTAAAGGATCAATCACTGTTCTTTCCCGTCTAACAAAACTGTGGGTAAAAGCATCGTCACCTTGCATTGAAACCTTTGCCCTTGCTGCTCAAGCTTCTTCTCTCACCTTACATTGAAACCTTTACCCTTTTGACTGCAGCCTTGCCCTTGAACCGTTACTTTTCCTATTATGGTATCTCCGAGGTCCCAGGTTCGAGTCCCGGCTTATTCATACCTTGCCTTGAAACCTTTGCCCTTTTCACTGCAGCCTTCGAACTCACATCAGTCTCAAGTTCAAATCCCTGCATTCTTTAATCTTGCATTGAAATGCAAGCCACATACCCTACCCACTTGCAGCAGTAGTCTTCCTAGTTTGGAATTACAGAGGTCCCAGGTTCAAATCCTCACCTTGCATTAAAACCTTTGCCCTTTCGACTGCACCCTTCCCATTTGCAGGAGTACTCTCCCTCCATCAGCACCACATGCCTCTCGTTGACGTGGTTGACCAGCTCCTCCATCTCCATAAACTTCTGGCCACAGTTGTTCCACTTGCAGACGTTGCGGTGAGGTAAAGAGGTCGACTCGCCCGAGCGCAGGTTGCTCTCCAGGGGGACAGTCACGGCCACAAAGGGGGTTGCCTCCGTGCCGTTTATGGCAAACATGGGGGTGTACTGGGACTGCTGGGGGTTGGAGAGGGGCGTGGCTGAGCTGTCTTGGTGGGCGGAGGTGTTGAACTTGAAAAGAGAAGAGAAAGAGAGGTTCAGAGACGAAGAACTTTGGAGTCAATGACTTGACTGAAATGTGAGAGCAGGGCCCCATTTCAGTAATGGCATGTACCCAATGTCCACTCGCCAAAATGTCTTAAGCCAGAAAAATGTCAACTATAAACCCATTAGCTACATTGAATTGCAAGTATATTGTGTTTATGCACTAAAGAATCAACAAGTCAGGTGTGTTTACAAACACAAATGCCCCGCAACCGTGACTGTTCCCATGACATAACACCACTCTTTTAACATCAACTTACATGTACCTTGGTCACATGGGACGTTCATTAATTGACAGCATTAGTGTCTTCTGTAGGTTTTATATGAATTAATCCCTAATCCCTATGATCTCAGAATAAATACAAGATTTCTATTGTTTTAGCCACTGTGACCTTGACCCTTGACCTTTTGGCCCCAAATGCAAAAGGCTTCTTAGGATTACCAAGGACAATCCACAAACCAAATTTGAAGTTCATATGTAAAGTATTTCTCAAGTTATCGCGCTGACAAGATTTCTATTGTTTTAGCCACTGTGACCTTGACCCTATACCTTTTGGCCCCAAATGCAAAAGGCTTCTCATGATTGCCAAGGACAATCCACAAACCAAATTTGAAGTTCATATGTAAAGTATTTCTCAAGTTATCGCGCTGACAAAATTTCTATTGTTTCAGCCACTGTGACCTTGACCCTTGACCTTTCGGCCCCAAATGCAATAGGCCTCTTAGGATTACCAAGAACAATACACAGACCAAATTTGAAGTTCATATGTTAAGTATTTCTAAAGTTATCGTGCTGACAAGATTTGTCCGGACACACACACCCACACACCCACCCACACACACACCCACACACCCACCCACCCACCCACCCACCCACGGAAGGACAAGGCGGAAACAGTATGCCCCTTCGGCTTCGCCGCGGGGCATAATAAAACCATAGATGTGCTCGGATGGTTTGTATTATAGTGAGTAATAGGCAGGGCAGTTTGAGGCGATTCAGTGACTAAAGGTTAACCCATACGATAAAGACTGAAATTATGTCATTCAGTAGTTGATGTGCAAGCAATGTCAGTGGGCATACCCAATGACAGAATAAAAACATCCAAAACACAAAACTTGGATCAGTTCCACCAATAAAACTTGCAGAAAGATGAACTCACTGGATGAGTGATACCGGTAGTGTCGTCAACGGACTCGGAGCTGCTGTTTGGTACCCCGTGTCCCGTGCTGATACTAGCACCCAGCAGGGAATGGGTCTCCATGAGCATGGCTCCCTCTAGTGACAGGTCTAGCGGCTTGGAGGTCATGCTGCCGGGTCGGGTCAGTAACGTGTTGGCTTCGCTGGCGTTGATTTGGACACCGATCAGATCCCTGACAACAGAGGGCGCTGTAACCAATTGACGAAGGCAAAAATTAGGCATTATTGATTGGGGGCGGGGTGCAAAAAATACTGAACACATGTAGTGTGCACATAATGTATCGTAGTATGCACATGTTTAATATATCGTACTGGCAGTTTTTGTATGTACGTTTGTAAATCTGGATGCCCTGCAAGTACAATGTAAAAGAAAATGGGAATTAAAATCCATACCCCTGTAGGCCAGAAATGGAGGATGACCTGGCAAATTTTTTTTCAGATTGGGAAGATTTTGTGAGACTTGGAAGATGAAATGGTGAAGTTAGCTTTATTTGGGAGGGGGGGGGGGCACAGGCTTCGGACTCAACAAACTCTGCAACCACAGGCTTTGAACAAGAGATTTATAATTTAAAACAAAAATTGAAATTTTGAATTTGTCTCAAGTTACATGTAAATGTTAGAAATTAACAGTGGTCAGACAGAAGGGAGGGGGGGGGGGGGTTGAGGTTCAGACAGAAGGGGTGGTAAGCCATTAACCTCCCCCCCCCCAAAAAAAAAATTACAGTATCCCCTTTGTGTTGAAATGATCTCGTTGAAATATAAAGAACAGTCCAGTCAAAACATTCTTCCAGTAAAACCAGAAAAAAAAAACGTCTTCCATTCTTCCATTGTCTGAGATGTGACCCATACATGTAAGGTGTGTTTTATAGCTCCATGGTTGGACACAGGTCCAACACAGAGATTTCATGAAACCCTTTCACACTAGCAAGAATCCAACACGGCTTCTACACCTGTCCAGCACTGTATACAAGTACATGTTGTAAAATCAAATCCTGGTTGGGACCAGGGATGAGAGGTTTTACCCAAGTCCAATCAACAGTAAGTGTGAACGGTACGCCTTGTTTGATGTGACGCGGGTCAGCTAACGACAGACCGTGCAGACCTGACAGATGATAGTGTAAAGAGGCCTATACTCACCAAAACCAAATTCCATGGACTGAGAAATGATTTCAGACTAACAGTTGCTGCAACTTTATCGAGCCAAAAGTTCAAGCTTCAGGTGTTGGCACGGATCATAAATACAAACCACACGTAAGAACAGTCTTCAGTTATTTAAGAACAGTGGAAGACAGAGTGATCATTTTGCTGGCAACTGGCAACACTGGCCCAATCATGCCAATATGGAAAAAAAAAATCCTGCACGATTGTCCAAATAATCAACTAACTGTACCAGGATATCGGTACAATGTACATCCTCTCCGCACAATACCGCGGACAATATTTTCGGGTCATTTGCATCTTGCCCCCGCACTCGTTCAGGATCATCCACGGTCCAGTGAAAGGGCTCTAACCCTGTATTTGTGAAGAATTGTCCCTTTCTCTTTTTGAACTTCGACACGCTGTATTACTTGGTGGTGTTGTTGATCGTCGCAACCCCAATCACTCAACCTTTTGTAGAAAGCATGACCATAGTTCACGCTTGATAACACTTTACAATTTTTATTCAGGTTTATTGAAAGCATGCCTCAGACTCTCCTCCACTCAAACATACCAGTAAGAAATTGCACTAATACGTTTTAAATGTAAAGAAATAACTTCACATTTTGGAGTGCATTGACATTTTTCGGGCCTGGACCAAAAATTCTATAACTTCACACCCTGATAAAGCAAGGCCCACCAATGGAAATTCTATTACTTCAGAACATAAAGCAATATATTTTATTGAGAAAAAAGTAACTCAACACCACCCTGGTATCCTTATTTCCTTATTATTCAAACGCAAATACAGCTGCACATTTACTGTTGAATATGAATCTCATGAAAACAGTGAGACCAAACAAAACTTGAAATCATCGTTATTTTAACATTACAAGAAAAAAAGTCCAGGCCTTCGTTTTAACAATTCAGTGACAAACATGGGTTACAACTTTTGACCCCGTTTACCAGTACATGTAATTGTTTTTCAGGAGAGTGCTTTTGACATGTACATGTATGTACATTTGTCCGTTATTCAAATTTTGATAATTCAATAGTAGTTTCACTGCATGTAATTGTTTTTCAGATTCACATTTAAAGTAAACTATTTACATGTATGAGGAGAAAATTGCTTTCAAGTGCTTTTGATTCTGAAATTGTTTTGATGAAAAAAAAGTTTCCTGTTTTAAGTAAAACTAAACACCACTGGCTCACAGGTGTGCACAAAGTACTCTCTAAACAGAGAAATGAAGAATATCATGTAAATTGTGTGTGGGGATGCTGTAGGGATAAATTGTGTGTGTACTTTCTTCGGTTTTTCAATGATACTTATCTGAGAGGGTTGGGTCCCATGACCTTTGACACCACGGCCTGGGGGCAAGGTGGGCTTGCCTGACCCTTGACATTACTGTGATCTCAAATATCACCTCACATGCATGTACTTGAACTTGCACTACGAGCCTAGTGTGTATTTCACACACATAATCATAGTGTGAAAAACAGCATGAGAAAATGCCCAGTGGCCAGTTGAAAATGCAATATGGAGCTACGTGTACTATGTACATTATATGCTAGTATTAAAACCAAAGTAAGCACAAATCTGGTATCCTCAATTTTTAATGCAATTAAAGAGAAGACTAAAGTTTAGTTTGCAAAAAAGTTTGAGTTTCATAAATAATGTATAATACATGTAGAACATTTTGTAGTCTGAATTTATCAGAATTTTGGACAAGAGTAAAGTTGTTAGTAGGCCTACTGTTTGTCATAAATACAGAAAGTTATGTGTTCAGGTACGTACAAAGCTACATGTATTGGCAAAAAGTAAACAGGAATGTCAACGAAACTCCACTAGGCATAACTACAATTCAATGCGTCATTTCCATCAAAACATCTGAACATACATTCCTTCATTCGTGTTTAACTCTAGCTGCATAAGCCAGCTAGTAAGCGGGTGTGGTGAGTCAGTCCAACGCCCCAGTGAAAAAAAACACATCAACATTCCCTCCTTAGCACTCGCTTGAAAAACAGGTTGGCGGTGATGGTGTGGATGTTGACTACCTGATGCAGGAGGGTGGGTAGCCGACTGCCAGACTTCCGGTTCTTGTCTTTGTTGAACGTAAGACGCTTGGTGAGGTAGGCATTGTGGTAGTCTGACGAGATGGGCTAGATACTTTGTTTGCTGACGCCGTTGGAACTCAGAAAGTTTTTCTTATCTGCAAATCCGCAAGATGTCAGCATTACTCAGCTTTAGTTTGAACTCATCATCCTTCCTGTTGTATCCTCCGCGAATCATTCTCCTTAGGAAGGAGACATACAGTCTGTCCAGCTGTTGTTGATTTAGATTCCACGTTCGGCACGAATACGTTACATGGCTTCGCACCATTGAGTTCAGTACAAGGAACCTAGGATTCAAGTGAATTGAGTAATTTGCACAAGCTTTGATTTAAGCTAAGCAATTTTCCTTCCGCAACGCGATCAAATTTTCCTTCTGCAACGTAAGCGAATTTTCCATCCTCAACGTGAGCACATTTTCTTTCCATGTACCAGGACCCTCAAGACTGCAAAAAAAAGTTGCTTCTCGCAAGTTTTTCCATCAGTACAAGCAAATGAAAAAGATGAGCAAACCAGTATTAAACATGGATGTTGTGATCAAAACCGGTTTATAAAAGCCTAAATTTGAATCCAGAAGTAGCAGCTTGTTTAAGCTGTTTAAAGCTGTCGTTCAGTCCGTGGAACATGCAGCCTCGGACTCAAGCCAGAGTCCTACATGTAGCAAGCAAAACAGAAAAGACAAACTGGACAATTACAGTTAAAACTTACAAGATCTTGTTGCACAAACGGATGTCGAGATCAGTGTACCGACGGGCAAGCCAGCGTGCCTGTATTTGTGCATGTTACTCCCCGCCTGTCCATTCTCTACCGTGGTTGAAGTGGTTTTGGTGGTGGAGTCTGAGGAACCAGACCGGTGTCCGTTAGTCTGGTCCAGCACCGTGGGGGGTGGGCTGGGCCCACACACATCCATATCTGTATACGTGGGAAGAAAAATAAGAAAGTAAAAAACGTCAAAGTTATGCACACTGGGCTTGATATAAGGTAAAAACATGCCAAACTACAGACTAAACAGAGATTGTAGCTCAGAGAATTTTACATGACCAGGACGTTTTCCTCAAAACCAAAACACAAATTTGAAATTTCAATTCAGGAAAGTAGGCCTATTTGTTTACATAGGATAAAGTATCTTGCTATGAAGATGAAAAGAATATTTCGAATATCAATGCGATCAAGGTCTACTGAACTTCAAAGACTGACCTAAGCCACAGAGTGGCCCACTTTCCGCACTTTAACTAGGTTCATATATGATCCATGATCTGACATACAACCTAATAACAAACAAAGCTATAAAAAAAACCAACAAAACACAGTTTTATGTGAGTAGACTGTGTATATAACGATACATTCAGTGGTAAAAAGCCCCACTGCTGCTGTTTGCGCATGCGCATCAAGTCTGTCCGATCCCTCTTCCGTCACCATACTGCTGGGTTGTACAAATTCACTGGAAACAAAGGTTGCATGAAGTGGGACACATTTGAAGCTACATTGTCACCAGACAGACATAGGTATGTACACGTAATGTGTCATGTCCATGCCTTCCAAACAGTGATGCCTCTGGGCTCCGCGCACAAGTACCCCCTCAACGGTGAGAAAGGGAGAGTTGGGGGAGACCGATTGGAGAGAAATTCGAACGCATTGCCGAAGATGCGTGACGCTCACGCGAAGATGCCATTGGTTTGTGCACATTCAGAATAAAATTGGTTGACCATACTTCGAGCTATACGCGCTCCGCAACCAGTAGGGGCACGTGGTGTGTCCCATCCAAGGGGCTCTCGTTAGTGGTGAAAAGCGCCCTCTCTTATTCGTGCACAGAGCCCATAGACTTTTTTTGGCCAACCAAAAAGTGGTTGACAAACTATGGAAGGCCAACGGTGCAAAAATAAAGACCAGTTATTATGTTTTCAACCATATCAATGGATTGTCGAAAATACCCCCCCAAAAAGTGACAAACGCTACTACAAATTTAATAAAAATTTCCCTTTTCTCAAATAATGAGGGTTTTAATTCACAGTATTTTGCCAAATCTGTTGCCAACCACGGCTATTTATGCCTTTTGTGGCAGACCATGGTGCTCAAGTTTACAATAATTACAAATGAAAGAAAGGTCTTTTGGCAAATGGCTATTCATGGTAGCTTCTCCAGAAAGCGTTGTCTACTTTACTGGATTACAACACAAAAATATTTCTGTATTTTAAAACGAATCTAATTATACATCCATTTGGAAAAGCCACAGCGATTCGACTGTTTATTTCCTTAATAAACTGGACCTTGGATGATCATTAGTAGCCACTTAATAAAGCATTAGCATCATTACAAACTAACTACTGTATGGAATATACAATGTACAATGCATCAATTAGCCTAACCACACATCACGCCTGCAGTGATTACAATCTGAACAGCAAGCACAGACTTGAGACAAGTCTACACCAGACTTGAGACAAGTCTAGACCAGACCCATGGTAAGGTCACCCCCTAGAGTGTGCTGCCAGGTGGCCTAGGCAGGCACTGGGGGGTGTTTCCAATGACTTGGGCAAACACTCCAGCAATAATAACATCTGAATATGTCCCCCCACGGGAACAGTCAGAACCAGACATGGGGACAAATTAATGGCAATTTATGTGGCCTTAAAGGTAGTACACACAACATTTGCAAACAAAAAAGCTACCAAATTATTATGAAATACCTTACTTGACTGCAGTGTAAGTGAATAGTCCCAAGCATCCTGTGAAATCATGGCACCCAGTGTGCTGATATTTTCAAGAACAGTGGAATTTTTGTATCAATTTCCAACAATGGTCGGCCGACTTATTTTTTTCAAATACTGCATCCAATTTACCAACTTTAGATTTTGTTTGCGATCGGTTACACATCTGTGAACGGGTGCAAGCCACCTAGCCTGGTTCTTTGACCTGACAATTCCCCGTCTATAAATTGCTCCATTTCGTTGGAAGTAGGGTCAAGAACAGCCCAAAAAAAATAATAATAATAATAATTTCTTTATTCGCTTTTTAAATTTTTTTATTTCAAATATTGTAAACAAATGGGCAAAGAAAAAAACTTTGGAGAAAACCTTGAAACAAATAAAATTAAATTTTAAATGTATGACTTCATTTGAAGGTTAATTAAAAATTATTAAATTTATTACAGGGAATCACCTCAAAAGTTTATGAAAAAAAAAATCTTCCCCAAAAAAGGGGGTTCCGTCCAAAACTACAAAGTTTAAGGCATTTACCTCATTGACAACTTGAAAGACATAAATAAGATCTTGTGTTATTTTGTGATTTCTTTTCTAAAATACCACAAGATCTATCCAATGAGCAAGGAAATCCAAAGTACCTTTCGACAAAGGTCAAAGTTCAGAAGTGAACTGTTGGATCCACATGAACTTTAATGACAACATGTGGGTCCCATGAGTACTGCTTGTCCTTCACTATCCCCCCCCCCCCCCAAAAAAAATGTCCAGGTTTTGAAATTGAATCAGAGGTTTGGAATCAAATACACATGGTATTAAAAAGCTGTAACAGTTGATTAACAGAAATATCAATGTGTATTCATGGTGTGAATGGTACGAACCCACATGGGACTGGAACAAGTCTACTGGCTAGCATGTGTGCTTGGCAGTACCCCCTGGACAGCCCTCCCATGAGGTACTTTCCATTGATTTGCACACAGTGTCTTTGTACTGCTGGCCTGACCTTAGCCAGGGATAAAATTAACAAGCTGGTACTCCAGGACCCCCTGGACTGCTGGACTGAAGACATGTATACCACAGAGCTTTATAGCAAGGGAACAGCTCCTTGTGTTTGTACACAGCCAAAAGAAAGCAAAGGTTTCAAGCTATTGACCACACAGCTAGCTGTGAATGGAAATCTGGCAAATAATTGTCAAAGTCTATTTTTAACTCAGACTAGGAAAATATATTAACTGTTTATAATCATTGGCTAATAAAAAAAAAAGAACTTGTAAACTTATCCCAACTACTGTATTGAACAGATTTAAATGCACTTGTACATTGAGGAATAAACTCCAATATAAAATCTGAATGACAATTTTTAACATTATCTTCAGTTTTCTTCATTTCGAAAATTACCTTATTAGTAATTGAAAAATATAAACATAAGACCTAGAACTTGGATTTAATTTTGATGGAATTCGACTAAATTCAAAGCTGAGAAGACATTATTTTAATTTTTTTAAAGGCTGAAAATTAAAAAAAGAGGTTAAAATTGTAGTTCATGGTGGAGTGAAATTAAATCCTTTCAAATTCAGGGCTTAGAATCTAGACGCTCAGGATAATCCCTGCATCCATACTTCACTTAGTTAACGGTTACTACTTTGGTGAAGTCCCCACAAAAATACACAAGGAACTTGTAACAGCATTACAGATGCAATAAGTTACACAGACATTTTTGTGTTTGTTGCCAACAAAATGTTGAACATTTTACCAATCAAAAAAGTTCTGTACTTTCGAAAGAATGTTCAGCCTTGCGTGGCATATATGCATGGCTTTGGAATTTATTTGTGCACTGTTGCATACCGACACAACTTCACAAGTATATATTTTCTACATTTATATATTTTTCACAAGTCATGCAGTACACATGCACACAAACCAGATGTGTGACTCTGTGCTACGCCCTTCTTTGGTTTTCTTAATTTTGGTGCATCTGAAACTCCAAGTTCAAATTTGTGATTTCCAAACATCTACAAACACAGACTTAGCTGAAAAGTTAAAAATGTGTTTGTGGTTAATCACTACTTCTAGAATTAGAAGGCACTGGTGTGCTTTCTAACGTAAGCACTATCGTATTTTGGGGGGTAAAAATGCTAGATTAGGGATTTCACATCCTGCAATGATGATATTTGCACCCAGAAATTCACTTTCTCTTGGAAAAATGTCTTGAACACAAGTTAGCCCTTGATGATCCATATCTCCTTAGAATGTGGTAAACAATGTTTTTCAGGACCTCAGACCAACAATTTTGTTAGAAATCACAGTTTTTATTATCACCAATATTGGATTTTCGACCTAACGAATGTTGCACTATACACCTCATGCGAACCGCACCATCACCGACTGCCTGCATGCAAAGATGTTATTTCGTGGTTCGGTTGGACCGTTTTCAAAAGAGGGGAGATTATCTTCTTTTTGAACAGCACGCGCCAGCCATATTGATATCACCGAACACTGCAAGCTCTCAGGCATGGCCTGTGACCTAGTATGGGGTTTAATATGCAACACAAATCCATTGACCCACACTATAACGGTTGAAAATGAACAGCCTTTGTTCTTGTTTTTCGGCACCAAATGCAAATGACACAAAACATTGAACGGGTCAGTAAATCAATATCTGCAATAAAAAATTACTTGTCCCTAATTCAGTCCAATTCATAAAATAACGGCAAAAGCAAGGCGGACGCAACTTAGTGTGACTTCAGATCAATGCGAGGTGACAACAAACGTCGGTTGAGTGTCAACTGAACAGCGTTTAGTTTGCGAATGTTTTCACCTTGCGACTGTCGGAAACCTGAAGTGACTCAGAAGTTGCATCTCCCTACAGGCCTACTAGTACTTACATTCGTACTAACTTAGTTTGAAGGACACGCACTGTAAGTAACTTTGGTTTCCTTATAAGTCCCACTAATGATCATTTGAAAAAAGGGACTTGGATATTTTACCATGAACCAGTCCCCTATTGTTTACGTTGTTAACCCGGCATTGCACTGAACATGCGCAGTGAGTGTTTTTTGGACTTAAATATTTTTATCGTGACAAGTCTTTGTCTGGTTCCATGCTTTCATTGTCGCTGTGACTTTCTATTTACGAGATGGGAATCAGACCACTAACGTAATTTCACCGGCGTGTTTTGGAATGAACGCATGACTTGGAAGTGCAAAAGTTTTCCATTGACGATGCGTACACAGCAACAAGTGCTTATTAATAATTAAATACAGAATTCAATTTTAAAAAAAAATTCAACTTTTATTTTTTGGGACACAAAAAATAAAGTTTTAAAAACAGCAGCAAGGCTGGGAGTGAGTTGAGCAGCATAGGCGGAGGTGTTATCCACCAGGCCACATGTTGCTCGACGTGAGTTGGCAATTTAACCCAAACACTACAGAACTCAAGTCATTGTAGCGCTTGAAACCGACCGACCGAGTAGGCTACTCTAAGGATTTATTGATTTTTCAGTGAATATTAAATCCAAGTAGGAATACAATCTGACAATGAACTATGAGTATGAAGTCTAGGTGCTAGTGATGATGGGTTAAATTAAAACACTTCAAATTCAGCTACTTAGCATGCTCAGCTACAAATTAATGGCTAGTCTTTGAGACTTCGTTTGAAAACTAGGTACAAATTTGGACTTTTTGAAAAGAATGTTCCAACCTGACGCCACACTTTTTTCTTCATATATCAATCATCTCAATAAAGGTCAGTCATTGCAAAAATGTTGAAAAGACATGAATCTGGAACTGAGAAACATTTCCAATTCTTGGCTCAGTAGTAATCATAGCAGATTAGCACTGAAGCCCATAGACATACACTGAATCACTGTATTGTTGGTGTACCCTAACGTGGCGCGGCCCCTAACGTGGCGCACTTTTATTTTTCGCCTGTAGCGCCTAGCTAGAGCAAAAGTTTTAACTGAAATTTCACAGAAAGTGAAATTTCATCAAGTTCTTAACACTCCCGTTTATAAATCGCGAGTTTATTTACCCGTTACAAAGTTAAAAGAAAAAATTATTTTGGCGTGATTTTCCTATTTTATTTTCAAGTGCAAAGTGAACCCTTTGAAAATGCCCCAAAAAATAAGAAAATAATTTTCTGACAAACATCTGGCTGGGTTTGTAAGTAAAAATAATAATGATTTATCAGAATTTATCAAGTTTACAGAAATTCTTAATTGTTAATTTGGAATTTTCTGAGATTTATTCAAGTGCGCCACGTTAGAGAACACTCCGCCAATTTGTGCCCAATTTCCGGACGCGACCGTTTTTGCATTTCGGATTAAATTTTATGAAACCGAAATTGTTCACAGAGGTTAAATAGCAAGCAGTAAAAAGGTAAAAGTACCAGCATTTCACTGCATGAATTTGAGGTTTATCAACAAAGAGGTTTGGCAACACTACACGAGGAAAGTTGGGTAATTTTCGAAGTGCGCCACGTTAGGGAACACGACTATATCTTAAAACAACTTCACAAGCATGACAAGCCAGTCTGGATCCTACATGACCATCGCATCCAACTACAATTTACAAAAAAATGGTTGCTCCTATCAAATTAGACAAAGTGTACATACTTAACACAACTTTTCCTTGATTCTTCGAGATTTCTTTCAGCACACGGTCTGAAACGAAGAGTGCAGTATTGTGTGATTTCAGAAAACTCTCCCCACGTTCACCTGCACCTCAGCTGCACTTCATCATGTCTACAGTCTAGTCTAAAAAAAAAAAAAGACGAGTTTATTTTGTGTTGACAATTATGTCACGTTATCGATTCTTTGAAATTTCGATACCCGTTTCGTTGTATTAAAGCGATACCGATATTTTCTACGAGCAAACTCCGAGCAGTGTGATGTGCTGCGTGGTTTTGTTTTTGAATTGGGGGGGGGGGGGGGGGGGGGGGGGGGGATAGTGTCCTTATCGACCCATTGCCCTCCACCATCTTTTTGACTTGGTCAGTCCATAGAGCAAGGAACAGATTGTCAGTCCTTGTAAATATGCAAATATGTTGAAAGAAAAACATGAATGCAGTCTAGCTGAGGAACATTACCAAAAGTGCAAACATGTTTTTTGCCAATTAACTTGACTTGGTCAATCCATAGATCAAGGAACAGATTGCTCTGTGGTCAGTCCTTGTAAATATGCAAATAATTATGTTGAAAGAAAAACATAAATGCAGTCTAGCTGAGGAACTTTACCAAAAGTGCAAACCTGTTTATTGCCAATTAAGTTCCAGCCCCGGCCTATCTCATTAAAAAAACCACCAAATTGGAGTCAATATCTTTTCTTTTTATTTTACGACAGAGCTGAGAGCTGGAGTCATAACATGTTTGTCTTTTTTTTTTTTTTTTTTTCGATTCAAAAAGAAATTCATGGAATGCATGAAATGTTGCTATATATATATGTGTCTCAAATTTGCCTTGCACCGTTAATTACTCCATATTTGAAAACATCTTCATAAATTGAATTGAATCCTTCCCACCCTTTATTCCTGCTAAATGATTATTTTCGTGGCTTATTAACTTATCAGTTTCCTATCATGCAAGAATAATAATTATGCGAAAATCACAGATGTCAGATTCAAAGATTCGATATCTATGAACCGAATATTTGGAATCGAATTTTGCGTTTGGAATCGAAATTCCAAAGTCACAGCGGGAAACAAGAGGCTGGTTCAAAATCCGCGTTTTGTGCTCAAAGAAACAGGCGACGTCTGGGTACATGACCATTGGGTGAAAATCGTCTGCAAGTCTCAATCGTCTGCCGACTCCGTAAATTATTAATGCTGCCCTCTACGGCATGGAAAAGAAATCAATTTGCAAACAGAATCACTTAGTTTTCAATATTCATATTTAAAATATATAAATCAGCGGGGGAAAAGAACAATCAACGGACATTTATTTGTTTTTTTAAGGTACTTTGAAACTATACAAAACCACCCCTGCCCAAAGTAAAAATTACACAAAAGAACAAACATCACACAATGAGAGCCAAAATGTAGTTGCTTGAAATAGTTTAATAGCTACACAAATATAAAGGAAAATTGGAAAAATGCACGACTTCTCTCCAAACATTTTTAACAAGGGAATGCTATACAAATGTACAAGTTTGAGCCATTATTTCTTTAATTTAAATAACATGTCTAAAGTTTGGACAGCGTTTTGAACCAATAAATTCAAAATTAGCCTATGATAGTACAGTTTCAAACTTTCAGGCTTGTACATTTTTTTAAATACAAACGTATTCAAGATTTTTCTTCAGCAAGCTATTTCTTGAAATATGAACTATGATAATAATGTTAAAATCATTTTTAATAATCAAATTTCATAATTATTTCATATGCATAAATCTGCATGGACAAGCTTACGGGTGATGGTTTTATGCATAATTAGATTTGGATCCTATTCAATCAGAAAACATCTCGCCGTTTCCCCATCGAAAAAAAAAAACTAGTCCCCTCCCCCTCCCCAAAACACCAGGGGAAAACAGGTGAAATCCTCCCTTTATCAAATAAATCTCACTGCAAGCTATGCACAATTAAAATTCAAATATCCTCTTCAATTCAAAGAGCATGTACAAGTATTGTGAACATTTTTAAGAAACTGGGTTTCACTTTAAATGAAATTCATTCTTCTTGACGCAATTCAATACATGACTCGGCAACTTTTGAATAGAATCCGAGATCCTAGAATATTGTTGTCTTGGAATATACAGTACTCACAGAGCTAAAAGTTCATCAGGGTTAGTTGTTAAGCACCTGTCTTTAGATATTGAGCACTTCTGTTGTTTCAATTGAATAACATGCATAAATTACAAATGATCCACCCTAACTTTAAAGTGTGCATTCAGAAACAGTTTGAAGAAGGCATTTTTCCACTACTAAAGCTGCATAAAGGCTATTACCAACAAAGATAAGAATAAAATTAAGTTGCAATGACATGCATGCAATTTATTAACCAGTTCGCGCCGGAGGCTATGTGTACACGCAAAAGTTTAGCGATATTCGGAACGGATGACAGATAAACACGCAACGAGCGAGGCCGGAAATATCTGTCAGCAACCCACTCGCAGGCCAGAAATATGAGTGTGCTGCCCGAGGGTGATGGCTTCAACCCGCCTGGCTTGAGGTCGAGTGAAAAGAAATCCCGCGCCTTGTTCTGTTCTTGTCAAAATAATCCTGGTGTGAACTGGTTAATAAGCAATCTCTGAAGTCCTCGAGAGTTGAAGATAGTCCACAGATGAAGCCAGCCAAAATGAAAAGAGATATAACCCCGTCAGTGTCAATAGTACTTTCATCCAGCCCTCTCTGATGTTCAAATCGGACATTCAATTTCACACTGTTAATATTTCCTAATTCCAGATGTCAGCAGCACTATCAGTACAAAGCACTAAGCCTGTGAAGTCGATGATTTCCACTCCGGAGGAAAAAAATTATCTGACTAGTCGGGTTCTTTGACAGGATACTCTGATCACATCTGGTTCAGTTCAGTTCAGAATAGTTCCCGAGGGTACTAGGAACTAGATGTCTGACTTGTGGTCAAATCTGCTCTTGTGGTTTTTCACCATGTAGATGAAGTAGGTCAGCGCTTCCTTTTCGTTGACAGGGAGAGTCTTGAAATGCCTCGCCACCGTCTACACGTTGCAGAAAAGTAAAGGTTAAAAGTCAGTGACTAATTTGTGTGCGCGGGCAGAGATTTGACCCAAGAACCTCATGGTATTCACTTTCGGTCATTTGGCGAAACCAGATTACACATCAAAAGTACTTTGCAACATTGTTCTCTCTTATGGCATTTCAACAAAATTCCATTCAATCTAATTTAAGATATTCTACAACCAAGCACACATTTTCACAATGTCTGCGCCCAGGACGAATCTGTAAGTAATCTGCACGAAGAAAATGATGAATAGAGCTATAGTTATTCAACATAGCTCTATGGTCTATCTTGCTCTACTTTCTAGAAGTAAAATAAGATATTTTGTTTCAAAGAATGTTCAGTTGTCGGTACAAGAATTCAAGACAACAAAATGCACAAAATCTCTGCATACACTGTGCATGTCGCCCAAGTCCATGTAAGGCATTTACGCAAGGTTGACACAAATACGTATGGGCTCGGTGCACAAATACCCCCTCAATGGTAAGAAAGGGAGAGTTCGGGAGACCACGGGATGAGACATTCGAACACATTGTCGACTGCGCCTGACATGCACGCAAAGACGCTGTGGCTTTCTGCACATTCAGAATAAAATGAGTTGCGCATACTTTGCGCCATATGCGAACAAATACGCACATGTGGTGTGTCCCATCTGCTGGGCTCTTGAAAGTGGCAAAAAAGCACCCTCTCTGTTCGTGCACAGAGCCTATAGTGAAAGGCACGCAACGAGAATATTCTCAGCATCTAGAGGACATAAAACCCACCTCAGCTAGTTGGGCTTTGTTGAGACCAGGTTTCGTCTGGAGTTTATAATGACGCTTGTATCTCCTCAGAGTATTGACCTGAAGCTGAAACAGATCCACCTGCAAAACAACACCAATGTGTCCCAAAATGGCTGTTAAGGTCCGTGCAGTAAGTTTGCATGACAATGAGTGATCTTGCATTTTGTAATGTGTAAATCATGGCCCCATTTCATCACTGAACAAGTTAATCACAAGTCCAAACTGATATCCATTGCTAAGCTTTGAGTAATTCAAAACTTGCAGATAAACATACAAGAATCAACTCTGAAGGCACATATTTTTTGGTAATGCAAGTTTTTGTTTTCTATAATTATTTGATAGGTAAGTTTACACTGTTATAATGGTTGAAATGAAATTAAGGATTTCTTTCAACAACAAAATGAATATATTTAAAATAGGAAAATTTCGGAGACATAATTTTCGGATTCAAAAAATCAAAAAGAAAAGGTTAAGGCTGTTTGAGCCTGTTTCACAGAGTTGTTTGTTATTATTGCACCCAACTAAGGCATCGTCCCAACTATTATTGGGATGGTCCCAACTATAGTTGGGACCCTCCTAGGTCTAGTTGGGACCATTATAATGATAACTTGGTTTGTCCCAACTAAGTTGGGACAGGTGCTTTAGTTAGGTGTAACATTTTCAAGGCCAAATGCGATGGAAATGTGTGCATTACCATCAGTCTGCTGCTACGTACTTCTGGCAGGTCCAGGTCGCGGTCGGGGGATATGCCCGCCTCGTCATCACTGTCACGCTTCTTACGCTTGTTGCGGACGCTCTGTATCATGCTTTTGTGGAAGTCGCAGATGTAAATATGCCTGACCTAGAGGATCAAAAAATAGAATCTTCTCATTAAAAGTGAGAATCCGCGTTTACTTTTGTAAACATTGGCAAAACTTTAAAATATTGTTGAAATGTTTCTCCAACACTACACAAAGGCTTCTGTTAACAGTGAGAGTTTTTTCACATACAAAGGAGAGACAATGAACACTGAATTTGCAAAAACAATAAACTGAATACAGTTTACATAACTGACACAATAGTTTCAGGTCTCTATTCAATGAATATTTTAACTGACATAGACTGAAACACATTTTAACCTCAAGCCTTATTTTCTAAATTTCATCCATCTAGTGTGATTCAATGCTAAGGAATTTAGGGGTTTTGCTCAACAGAAATTATGAATATTTGTTGAGGCATTATTACATGGCATTATGATTAAAGGGGTGAGATGGCCTAGCGGTTAAGAACACTGGACTCATGCTCTGGTGTTTCAGAGGCAACAGTGGCGTGGGTTCGAGCCCAGGCCCGGACACTTGTGCCCTTGAGCAAGGCACTTAACCATTATTGCTTTGTCCTTCGGATGGGACGTAAAGCTGTAGGTCCCGTGTGTTGTATAATGCACGTAAAAGAACCCAGCAAACACTTTTTGCTCCAGTGTTTCTGGTAGTTATCCTCATACATACACCATGAGGCTGTACGCGATAGCCACACCAGGTGTTTGTACAGAAGCTAACAGATACAGATTTTTTGCTAATGGTAAGCAGAGACATGAAATTGGGTCCTTCTTGTTAATTAAAGCGACTTACTCTCCAACTTTTAAACCTACCAAATATACTGGTGGATTTTGAACGATCTCGGAGGCCAAGAGTTAAACTTACACTGTGGTCAATATTGAGCTTGAGTTTCCGTTGTTGCACCGTCTTGGCAATACGTTTGCTGTAGCAGGCATTCCCCGCCGGTCTTGCGCATCGATTTCCGTCGTCCACGAGGCAACAGATCTGACCATGCCCGGAGTCACGACTGTCCTCCTCTGTACTAAACCCATTCATTCTCATAGGAGGGTTTGCAAAGCTGTGGAACAACAAAGCAAGCAATGTTTAAGCAAGCTTAAACCCAGAATTAAGTAAACAGTTATGTCATTGTCAAGTCTGTCACGAGCCAATCTGACCCATCAGGCCGGAGTTTATCTCTTGTTTCAGTGGCATGAAAAGACTGAGAATTCCCCCTGGATGGGATGTTAGTCCATCGTAGGTTACTCCCCAGCTATAAATGTTGGTACCATAATATTCCTTGGTGGAGAGAGGGGGTGAAGTGGCTTGCCCAAGGATGCAATATATATGACCAGCAGTGGGATTCGCACCCCTGACCCTCTGATCACGAGTCACGAACCCTAACCACTTGGCCACAGTCCTGTTTCCTCTAAAATCCAACACTGTGTAGCAAACAAATGACACATTCTTTGGGAACTCCATGTAATGTTACCGTGAGTGAGCTCTAGTTTACATCAAAATACTGCTGCAGTGAAAGCTAGATTTTGGAACCGTGATTTTGGAAGGATCTAAAGTAGTAATGGTTCAAGACCAGAAATCAATGTACGTCAAATGGTTAACAAGGTACCAATAAGTGGCTGTTCAACAGATCAGAATTGAGCAGATGAGTTGACTCTAATTTTAAAATTTACAAACATGACACAAGACCAGAAATCAATGTACGTCAAATGGTTAACAAGGTACCAATAAGTGGCTGTTCAACAGATCAGAATTGAGCAGATGAGTTGACTCTAATTTTAAAATTTACAAACATGACAAAAGACATTTGCATGCTCCTCGCTGCTTACAGATTTTGTGACATGGACAGAGGCTCTACATTGTAGAAAACTGTGTCATGTGCCTACCCCTAGAACTATGGGTATTACTTGTAATACAACTAATACCCATAGTTCTAGGGGTATCATGTGCTGTGAAATTGGACCATGACAGCCATAATGGTGGGTCGGGGGAGGGAGGCGGGCAATATCTGTGCCTTTTCCCTTTCCACAATACTTGGGTAGAATGCAGTAGCCTCAGCTCTGCTAGTAGGACCGACCAAAGACACAATTCGAAAAAAAAAAAGAGTTCTAGTGCCCCAGTGCAATGACTGGGTCAAATAAAGCATATTGGTACAAATTGTTGATGTGTTCTTCACACCAATTGTTGTCATGCGATGTCCAAAATTTGAAAATATATTTTCAAGGTGCCACACCCAAAAAGCACGTAGGCCTACTAGTACTACACCAACTTTAAGTAAAAACGCAAAAAAAAACCAAGAACTAGAAGCATGGAGCAAGGAATCAAAATGAGCACAAAAAAAAGAGCACCAAATAATATCAAAAATACAGAATCACTCAAAAACAATTCAATTGTGGAACAGTTTAGAATGCGAAAGAATATAGGCCTAGGCCTATTTAAATGATTTAAAGCTAGGCCCTAGGAGCAAGAACAAGCAGTTCTCGCCATGAACATTGACTGATGCTGACAATGACGTACATAATTTCACAATACACTCAATAGGCTTTCAAGCTAAAGTTCCAGTGCCACTGCTGTGAAAGCTATTTCCCGAAGTTCTCTTCGCACTCCGATCCTCTGGCTCTGCTAGTGCTACTGAGTGCGGAAATCCTGAGTGCTAGGCATGTTTCTTTGTGTAGCTCCAAAATCTAAACACCACCTTGACCACACAAGTCACAAGTACAAATTTCCTTTAGTGCTTTACTTCCCAAATAAGACTAGACCATAGACGATAAAGTGTACAGTGAGAGTCTCAGTGAATTTTCCCACGCAACGATGATGATCTGAGATATTCATGAACATCATAAATCACACGCAGTGCATGCATTTATACTGGCCGTGCCGGCATTTTGGTCTATACACCGCCGCGCCGCGCCGCCCTGCGCTGCTTAAAAATCTCCATCCGGCCGGCGGCGTCCCGATCCCTAAAAGTATTTTACAACCACATGTGTACACAATGTACAAGTACAATGTACATGTACATGTACATGTACAACCATACAAGTGACTGCATATGCTGCAGCGCAGCTTTTTGCGTACGCCACATGACATGCATAAACAACAACGCATGACAACTTCCGGGCTATCCTGATGACGTCAGAAAAATAGACCAATCATTTGAAATGTTACTGAATATAATAATAATCTTTTGTCAATTACTAATTTTCCTAAACAGTTTGTTCAATTACTTATTTGAAGCCGTCATAAAAAGAAATAAGTAACACAGAACAGCAAATGGTTACAAAAAAATGATCCAAAACTTGAACAGATAACACTGGAAATGTTGTAATTCTAGTGAGAAAATCGTCTGTTCAGCTCATTTACATACATAATTTGGCGCTAAATGCATCACATGATCAATGAGGTATGCGGGCCAAGCTTGCAGGCCATATGCTTTCTAATTCGAGTTTTCATTGGACGAATCTTCGCTCCAACTTCGAAGTGACCAATCAGAGTGCAGCATTCCCTACCTTGGGCTTGCGCGGCCCTTTGCATAAGTAGCGTGGGCATAGGGAATTTGTACAGGCTGTCTATCTAGCGTCGTGCATTGGGTGCATACATAGGTTTACCATACATATCACGCACTGTGTATTACATCCGTACTGCACTGCGATAGCGTCTCTACACTGATTCACTAAAAAAGATCCTTCGCCCAGCGTAAACAACGTAAGTAAAATTTCATTTTATGGCCCCAAAATCCTCTCAAACTTTGAAAAAAATATTTTCTGCACTAGTAAGATATTTGTTCTACTAATTGCACTCACTTTCTGTCTAAAAAACAATTTCGAAATTGATGCATATTAGGTCCGAAACTCATGCACCGAGTTGATTTTTGTCGTGCTGGCGAACACACCACGCGATATTCCCATTGTCACAATTGTTGGACAAGATGGGACCTCAAAACTGAGCACAAATGCCTGAAAATACAGACGGAAACTGGTTAACTTTTCTGAAAAGATATGTATGCTAAAAGTATGGTGTTTGAGGAATGAAACTGGATAATTTGAACAGTTTTCATAAAGCGAAAGTTTAGTTTAGGCGGTTTCTTTTCCGTGACCCCTTTTATTCTTGTTACCCCGACGCCATGCCGGTGTACAAATCGACCATATTTTCACCACGAAAAACTCTCGTACTGCTCAATGTACACTCCACTTTTGGTACACAAACCTATGGGACCATTCTAAAAACATTTCAATCTTCAAGATTACGATATGATTTTTCGATTTATAGCAATATTAGGGTCCAAAATGGTATTTGAAGGGGACTTTCATTCATGAAAATGCAAGAGGTGTTTTTGGGTGTCGTTTTTCGGGCTTTGTTTGACCTCGATGAAACTGCCATTTTGTAGCATTGCCCTACTACAACTCCATGCCTACACCGCTGTATATCTTCCCCATACTCAACGCTTTCGTGTACAAACCCAATAGGATATGCACTAAATTGATCCTGAACCCAGCGCGGACACTTTGAATATATATTTAGGACCCAAACTCTTTTCGAAAGTGTGAAATAGCGGTGTTTTGGGACACGTTCAAAATCGGTTTTGTGGCGGGTGGGGCCGGTGAGAGATTTCCTCCATGTTTTTTCGACGTCAAAAATGCAAAGTCTGTACCGAGGGAACAACATGCTTTGCATGTCGCTTGGCTTGGCCATGGTCGGTCACACGTGTTGGTACAGTGCAGATTGCATCGTCTATTGACAATACACATTCACCATGGACATTGAAGGGCTTTAAAAAAAAATGTATCAGGCAATTTCGTTTTGTTTTGGGGGAATTTTAGGGCGCTTTTTGGCATGACCTCGGCGGCATTGGATCACGTGCCTCATTTGCATAAAGTGTGTGGATTGGTCATTCATGATCCAGTGTTGGCTTTCCATTGTCGATTTTCAAAAGATTTTGATCAATAATCTGTGCAGAGTTGTCTTTTCTGTTAAATTAAACTGTTTTCAAACTTCAAGACAAGCATTAGTTTACGCAGTTTAGATTATCTTCAATTTATTTATTTTTTCTGTTAATATTGTCGCGCCTAAAAAGCACTTGGTGATGTGGTGATACTAACCTGCACACATGAGAAATGTTATTTGAAATTGAAAATTTTTCAGATGTAATTTTTTTCTCTTACTTTCGCTTGTTAAATATTGTTTTTTACATTTATTTCATAACATTTTTTAATTTTGAGAAAGAAATTTGGAAAAAGTGGCTGCAGTTTGCCAGGTTGCCAGATGCCAGCTTGCTGCTTTGGAGAAAACAATTAATGGTTGCAGTTTCCATTCATGACACTGATCAAAGAAATAATCAGTGTCTCAAATCATGTAAACGTCACAAAGTCAAATCATGGTACAAAATCAGCCATTTCGATTTATCTTACTTCATAGGGCCTATTTGGTTACAAAAATTTAAATACAAAAATACTAAGCCCTTCAGTGCATGGTGTTCTTAAATAAGTTTGGTATCTGTCAACTTAAGAGTTAAATTTGAGTATTTGAGCTGCAAGCATTTTTTTCAACCAGTTTCTTGCTAGAATGCCGCAATGAAGACCTGTATGCGCGCTGTGACGGAACATTTATTGTAATTGCGTGCATTTAATGATTTACGGTTCACCATGGACTGTTTTAAAGAGGAACGGACTACACGTTTTTGCTTGATGGACCTGCAACCAAAGTAGGATGGCAACTCTGGCTGTAACTGTAACCACTTTTTTTTTTTTTATATATTAAAACAAACAATAATAATTGTAATAATAGTGGTGGGCAGCCATGTTAGTCAGGCAGAATCAAATGGAAAAGTAAGGTAGCACTTGAAATGACTAACTAGTGACGAGTGAGAGAGTGCATACGCTGTCGTAGCTACAACTACTATGCATCTGATGAAGTAGTTTGTAGAGCTACAAATAATAATAGTGTCTATCATTATAACTATCTTCAAAGTTTACATGTTGGATTAAGAGAACTTGAATTGTATTCGTACATGTGTGTGACATGGGCAGAAATCTGTTGACCGAAAATGTGTGTGTTGATATCAATACTAATTTCTTTACAAACTTGTTTCGTTTACACTGTCTCGGTCTCTCGTGCACTTCACTTAATTCAAATCTATAATTTTTCACGGGAAATTGCTTTTAAGTAGTTTATACATTGCATATTATGTTACTCTCAACTATAGACATTTTTTTAAAAGCATTTTTATATTGCACTTTAAACGGCCAAAAAAAAAATCTGCGTCTGATTACATGGCATTTGAAAATATGGTAGGTAGGTTGGGAAAATTTTGGCAATTTATTTTGTGTACGATCATATGGAGGTGTCTGCGTGTAATCAAGGGTAAAAGGAAGTCATTGATGATTTCATGGTTTTTTTCCTCATTCCCCCCCCCCCCAAAAAAAAAATTAGGGTAGGGGCTGTCAAAATAGGGGAGGTAGGGTAACTGGAAGCAGAACTGATATTTATTTTGGCTTAAGTTTTAATATTAGTGTCAATGAAGACCCATTTGTAATTGCTTCATCTACCCGTTCATTGATTCCCTTACTCCAGAACAGTTTCTTTGAGGAAATAAGACAAAAATGAGGCCTATTTAAGTGCAACGGGAACATTTCTGTTTTCAATGATATCCAGATAGACACAATCACCATCTTGCACTGATAATAAAGATTTAAAAAAAAAACCATGTATATTATGCAGCTCAATGATGAATGCTTCTTTAAATGTTGGATTTAACTAGCCTTTATATTTCTTATTATTTTTTCAAACAGTTGTCAGATTGAATCAGCGTTTACCGACTCAGCTACTTAAGATTGCATCATGGTAAGGAAAGACCCAAACAAGCCCAAGGGACGTATGTCCTCCTATGCCTTCTTTGTCAAGTTCTGCCGTGAAGAAGTTAAAAATCAATCGGTGAACTTCTCTGAATTCTCCAAGAGTTGCTCTGAAAGATGGAAGGTAATAGCTAAGTCTTACTGTTGTTTTTGGTTTTTAAATAAAATTTTTGTTTTGTTTTTACTTTTACTTTTTGTGAATGTTTTTTGGGGGTGGAAATTGTTTCCCCCCTTTTTTTTAAATAAAGGTTAGCTAAGTCTTGTATTGTTCTTTGGTTTTTAATTCAGATTTTTTTTTTTTACTTTTAGTGAATTTTTTTATATATTTTGGGGACATTTCCCCTCCCCCCTATGTTTTTAAAATGTTATAAACTAACTTCGTCCATGATCTAGTTTTTACTGATGTCTCTTTCAATTTTTTTAAATGAACAGTGTATGGGTGACGGGGACAAACAGAAGTTCCACGATTGCGCAGATCAGGACAAGCAAAGGTACGAGCGCGAGATGTGTCACTATGTACCTCCTAAGGGTATGAAGAAGAAGGGACGCAGAAAGAAGAAAGATCCAAATGCGCCAAAACGCAACCTGTAAGTATATAACATACAGTGGAGATGCAAAGCAAGAAATTGTGTGAGTTGATACTGAAATCACTAGCAAGAACTTTGGTATATTTTTTTTCCCATTAGGTCGGCATTTTTCCTGTACAGTAACGACGAGCGTGCGAAGATCAAGGCGTTGAATCCCAGCTATGGCATCGGTGATATCGCTAAGGTTTTGTCTGGCCAGTGGAGGAACATTGGAACTGCCCAAAAGGCCAAATACGACCATGCAGCCGTCATGGACAAGGAAAGATACGTGAAGGTATGTTTTTGAAGATGTATTTTTCATTCCATACAAAATGTTCTTCAATCTCTTCAATGAAAAGCACATTAAGTTATACATTTTTGTTTGATGATGTTTTTGCAACATAGTATTCAATGGCATTTTGAAAGATTTGCAAATAAAAATGTTTCCCCCTTATTTCAGGCGATGGCTGAGTACAAGGAAAAGGCCAAGAGTAAGAGGAAATCCTCATCAAGCTCCTCCTCTTCCTCCAGCTCTAGCTCAAGTAGCTCCAGCTCCAGCGACGAAGAGTAGACACTAACCCACAGCACAGAGAAGTTACCGGAAATATCTCCAGAAATATTGCCGGGCTATCAGATGGATGTATTATGACAAAATAACCCAGGCACTTTAAACACAGGCAGTTTTTCCGAAAATTATAACTGAAAACCATTCGTTAACACTATGTCTTTGTTCCACACATGTATAAAGTATTTGGAGATCTTGGGACCATTAAGACAATTGGAGAGAACAAAATTAACAAATTAACTTAAAAGCACCTTGTATACTTAGTGTTTAAAATGAGTTTTAATCTTGACGGTTTGATCCCATGACTAAATTCTGTCTGCTCTATCATCTGGTCCATGGCAGTGTCAGCGCTGATTGCTGTAACCATGTGCACATCCGAAAGCTAATGTAAAGTAATTGTGTTTATCCCTGTTCTATTATTAAACCGTTTTTTTAGCTGCTGCTCACATCTGTTCAATTGTTTTAAGTGTTTATTTCTTTCACAAATTATTTTTTGTATTATACCATTTTTGTGTGTAGTTGGTAGTGATGGTTTCCGAGTTAAAAATCCCTCGTATTAAAAAAAAGTTGCATCGTGCAAGTACATGTACTATGAAGTTCTTGGACATCAACTAGAATTCCGTTCAAATCAGGATTGAAACTTATTAAATTATGAATGTACTCTGAAGACTGTTAAGCCCAAAATGAGATAGTGGAGAATATTGTACATGTATACATTTTGAAAAATTGTCAATTCTAAAAATGTCCAACAAGCCATGCATCGAGTATCCCATTGGAAAAAAAACCCACACATACGCATGTCATTTATACCTCGACATTGTAATTGTTACTGTATAATATTAGAGTTTTCGACTTTATTAAATTCGTGTATAAGCATTTATTCAACTAAGTTAGTTTTTCTGAAGTATGCCCTAGTTCAGTTATTACTAGACAAGTTTGTTTACAAGATATGAAAAGAACGTTGATCATAGTTATTGTTGAATATAATTCATTCACATGTACAAAAAGATTGGAACGGCCATCTCTATTCCATAACAACGGGCTAAGTGTCATTTGTCAGTCCGCAAGAGTTGAATTCTTTTAGTTGTAAAAATTATCATGGCTGTTAATATTGAGCAGGTATTTGTTTGACCGAGGGGCTGTTTATGAACAAATTTTTAATGTAACCAATACTTGATCTTGAATAGCAAGGCTAGGAGTTTGATTTTCTCAGCCTTATCTCAAACACCCAAAAGTGGCATTGTGTAACATTTTATTTGCAACGAGATCAGATGCTTGTCTGCTTCCATTGTAAGCGTGATTGAAATGCACTAAAAGTCAATCTTTTTATTTAAACACGGTTATGTTCAGTACAGTACATACACATATGCACAATTTTTAACAGAAGACAGACACATTGAAGAATGCCATGTAATGTTACGGCTGCTGTAATCAACTCCACCTTACTTGTTTTGGAAGTTCAGTGATCGACATTGGAAATTAAAGCATTGGTTTTTATGGAAGTAAACAGTTTAAACAATTCTCTTGTGTGCCTCTTTTCTTTTGTTAGTCAGTTGGGTGCCTATCCCCCCCCCCCAACAAAAAACATAACGTATATTTACTTGCCTTTCCCCTCTTATTCCAAACCTGGACCCTCTTCTCGCATTGAGAGTCCCTGACAAAAGCGACATTGAGAGGCATTGCACATCCATGAATGAGAATTATTTTCCTCTGAAAACTGGATCGTACCACAAGAGGGTGCAAGTCAAAACGTATGTGGATTTTTTGGAAGGGAGGGCTTTGAATAGAAAAATTAAGGCGCAAATTCACAATTCACACTTTTCTCAAAAAGTACAATGTGCATTTGTACATTGTATATCTACTGAGCTGAAATTTTGTCGGGTTAGTTTTTGAATTAATTGCTTAAGATTTGTGTATTGAGGGGCTTTTAATGAGCAAATGGAGACCATTACCTTTGAAATATGTTTCTTTTTTGAATATGAATTTTTCAAACTTCAAATTGCATTGTATTCTGTACTTGTCAAAATACAAACGAGAGAGGACAGTTTGGGATAGCTTACCACCTAAGCATTTTTCCTTCAAGATGGACACTTTCAGATATACTACAATGTGTAGTAATTGACACACTGAAAATCTACAGGAAAGCATGGACTTGTGACGTAATACTGAGATGATGACTGTTAAAGAATAAGTTTATACTCATCCAGTACATATTTGAAATACTTTTCCCATAGATCTGAGAGATTTCCAAGATGGGAAGAAAAGATCCCAACAAGCCCAAGGGGCGTATGTCGTCTTATGCGTTCTTTGTCCAGTTCTGTCGAGAGGAGCACAAAGAGCGCAACCCGGGCCAGTCCGTCAACTTCACCCAGTTCTCCAAGAAGTGCTCAGAGAGATGGAAGGTTGGTATAAACCAATCCAAGTTGCTCACTTTTTGTGATCACTGCATGGGCTGGCTTTCCACCATTACTGGGACACTCCAAAGCTAGCTTTGGTATTTCACACGGTGTATTCCCCTTTAGTGACATGTTCAGAGCTATACAAAGCACAAGTGTGATGGGCGTTCAGACATTTTCCTAAAAAATGGACAGAACACCAGCTGAAGAATAGTCGGACTTAATGGAGTTATAAATTGTACCATGCAGCTGTTTTACAAACATGATTAAAAAATGACCAAAAATTTGAATGATACTGACATTCCCAGCTTGAAATCCAGATGGATTAAAAGAAGAAATCTGTTGCCATCCACATCCCACATATTCATTGACGGGTCTTTTTGCCCATAGACCATGGATGATGGCGAGAAGAAGAGGTTCCTTGAGTGTGCAGACTGCGACAAGATGCGTTATGAACGGGAGATGGCCCGCTACGTGCCACCCAAGGGCACCAAGAAGAGGGGACGCAGAAAGAGAAAGGACCCCAACGCGCCCAAACGCAACCTGTAAGTGGCCTCTTGAAACAGGGTTACAACAGTGAAACTTGACAGAAAGGTGATCAAGTCCCATATGGCATTTAGAATGACCATTCGAATGACAAGTCAAGTGACAAGTCAAATCACAACTTAAATCACAAGTCAAAAGGACAAGTCAAATCACAAGTCAAAAGTGTCAAATCACACTTCAAATCACAGGTCAAATCACAATGAATGAACAGTGACGTCAGAGTGCCTTAGTCACAGTTCATTTTAATAGCTTCATTAGCTTGTCCTTTAGTTAACTTGATTTTGGATGACAAGCCAAATGACAAGTCAATGAGAAGTCAAGTCACAACTCAAATCATAACTCAAATCACAATCCTTTGACACAATATAGTTTAACAGCTTGTTTCGTAGTTAACTTGAGTTTGGATGACTTGTGATTGCCATTTGATGACTTAATTGAGAATTTTTTGTTTGTTTTTACTTTGTATGAGAGAAACACACGTGAACATGTCTGCAAAGAAAAAAAATTGGCCTTGCTTTATAAATCATATGACATTTTTACATCGCATGACATTTTAGTTGGTAAGTGGTTTCTGCTTAGATATTTTCTGTGCTCAACAAAGCTTTGTTCTTTGCGAATTTTTGTGCTGCAGCTTTGTTTCTTTCAAGTTCAGACTCGGCTGCTTTTCACTTAGTAACAAATGACTACACATTTTTTTCTTCAATCTTATCATCAGGTCAGCTTTCTTCCTGTTCAGCAACGATGAGCGATCCAAAGTGAAGGCTGTCCACCCTGACTGGGGCATCGGTAAGATTGCCCAGGTGTTGGCAGAGCAGTGGAGAAATGTGTCGGCATCCCAGCGGGCCAAGTATGACAAGGCTGCTGTACAAGACAAGGAGCGATATGTCAAGGTGGGTCTCCAGTTATCTTTGATGGGTTATCACCGCCGATCTCTCTATACCGACCTGATAGGCTGAAGTCATCGGGACGCCATTTTTGGGGGCCAAAATGTATACAGTGGGCTTCCGTCAATCCCCGATGGGTTATAGCGACTGATCTGTATTCTGACTGGATAGAGCGCATGCGTGCAGGACTAGAGGTGGTTCTGGTATTGATGTGCTCACAGTATCGGGAAAACTCCTTTTTGATTGCGCATGTGGCAGTGGTGTAATTTTTTTTTGGATGCCGACTTATACGGAGGAATTTTTGTGGTTATGAGGAAATGGGACCGAAAGTAACACGGCGACTTTGGCGAAATGGCGACTTACAAAGGCCGACTTAGAAATGAACATGTCAATGGAACTGCATTAGAGACGATCGGGACTTTCATCAGACAGCCAATTTAAGCGATATGACGAGTTATACGATGTCGACTTGGCCGGAGTTTACTGTATTCAAAGATCATGGGTTAACACCCAACGAAAAGAGCAATCATTGCTTGCTGGACAAGGTTTGGTGGTTGCTATCAGTCTGAATGAGCCAGATCAGTATACCAACTGTGTATTCCCACTCAGCCACTCGAATCCACGACCTCCTGCTTACCAGTACAGTGCAGATGTCTTACCACTAAACCAACCAGCTTGCCAGGATCGACCGGCTGGTTCGAATCTGATACAGCAGCAGGTACTGCTCGCGCAACCAATCACTAGTTGTATAATGGAATTTTCATTTTCTGGTAATTGTCTCTTTTTTCAGGCGATGGCAGAGTACAAAGCCAAGCCAGTAAAGAAGAAGAGCTCCTCCAGTTCCTCCTCCTCTTCCTCCTCCAGCTCCAGCTCAAGTAGCTCCAGCTCCAGCGACGAGGAGTAAACCTCAGCACCACCCTAACAAACCACCGATTCTCCGGACTATCATGTCTGATCAGAACAAACAGCCTTCAATTTGATTCAGGACCTCATTTAAGTTCATTTCAATCATCAGTCACATGCAACATGAGTCATTAGCCTTCTTAAGATATGGCAGGTACAAGAGGAGGGGAGGGTGCTAGTTACAGGGGTAAGATTGGATAAACAAGGGTGAAACTTGTCAGGATTTTTTCTGAACTCAGGATTTTTCCTGATTTCAGGATTTTTAAAGCATCCCTTTTGAAATCTGGAATCCCTGAGGTTTTACCGTAAAGGTGTTTTTACCTATGAAAGTTTAAATAGAACAAAAGAAATGGGTATTGTAAGGGGTGCCTTCAGGCAACAAAAAAAAACACTGGGGCCTTCAGCAACCCTCAAACCCCTTGCTGATTATTTCGTGCATTTTCGTTTTCCCCTAAATCTCAACTCCTGGTAATAACAAAAGAGTTTGCCCACTCTACATATATGTAGTGCCCTTCTATTGGGTCCACAGTATCTCAAAAAGGCTAATTCAAAAACAAGGCATACTGGCACTGGGTCGTGCTGTTTTCATATTTTTGTTCAAACACCAGTGAGCATAAACTTATTATGTAGCAGTAGCACTCAACGTGACAATTTCAGTTGCATGTCAACATGAACCACTGGAAAGTGGAAAAAAAATTAAAGTGATTTTGGGGTTATCAAAAAGAAAACAAAATTGGCATGCCTGGATAGGTAGGTGCAGTGGATGGGTGTCACTCACATATTTTTATGTGGTTTGGACTTGTTTTCTACCTCATAAATAAATTCTGCTTTACGAATTCGATCCAAAAATGAGTTGTGGCAAACAAGAAGGTGAAACCAAAATGCCAAGAGCACAGTGATACATGTACCAAGATGGAAGATACTTTGAAACTGAAGTCCTGTAAATTGTAAAGAATCCTCTGAAATGTTGACAATCTTGTAGCAGTTGATGAACCCTGGTACAGCAATATGCCTACAAAAAAAATTGTGGTAAAAAGTAAATGTCAGAAATATTTTTGCGTAATCTCCTGCAGCATTTATAATCTAGACATAAATTCAGGCTTATGGGCCGGTTCACACATTCATTCAAATGTGAAGTGATTTTTGTTGACGTCACAAAATATTCGCTGTGAAAAACGTTCAACTCTTGTAAATTCTCGATGCGAAAGCTTTCCATGATGTCACAAGTTCGCGATCACTTTTGCGCTGAGTAAAAACTGATTTTTAATGTGAATTATTAAATGGCTGTAGTCCTGTAATTATTGTTCACATTGTGTACTGATTTGCTTCAATTCAGTGAACAGAATATGTCCTGTTTGCACATACGAGTCTAGATTAATTAACATGGCACCCACACAAGTTGCATGTTATTGAAATAACCGTAGACCAATTTTTTTGGTAGAAGTGGAAACTTAAAATTTTGGAAGATTGAGTGGACCAACCGTCCTAGTTAAGGTCATGTGTTTAACGTCTGATTATATTTTTCAAAGATTAAGAGAGAAGATTCAAATATTCATCAGCTTGGGACATGCGTCCTTTTACTTGTTTGTGAGATTCTTGTGTGTGTTTTTAAACTGTATGGCTTGTAAATTGCATTTTAATGGGATAGTGATTTCCAACAGTGTTTTGGACCTTAAAGGTTTATTTAAAAATTGGTAGTCTGCAGACCTATGCCCTGGCAAAACAAGCTTTGAACGCCAACTAGTTTGCAACGACTCTGTTGCTGTTATGCTATAAGAGGGTTGACCCTCATTGCATCTTACACTGTATCGTTTCCCTCTGGAGAAATCTCAGTAAATAATTAGGATAAGTTGGGAACAAATTTATATGCAGTGGGCTCATTGTATCAGGTGCTAGTTGCAGACCTCTGATCAACTCCTCCAGAATCTTCTAGCAATGAAGTTATCAGTTAAGTTAACAATGTTGAAAACTTAATAGTGGGAATATTCCAGCAAATTATTCCGATTTACCCATTATAATGCGTAAATTTTCAACAGCAATTGCTGGACTCGCCAATACTGATAACTTCATTGCGGAAAGATTGCGGGGGAAGTTGTTCAGAGTCATGCAGCTTAAAACCCGATACAATGTCCGCAACTTGTCCGCAACTCGTCCTGAATATGAATTGAGACAGGCGTAAACAGGTCTAGAACACTGGTGAAGTACTTACATTCATTTTATTAGTGCCAAAAAAAAATGGTCAGCTCCAGTCAAGTTCTTGTATAACTGATTAACTTCTCTTTTTTGTGTGTCTTGCTTTCTTTACAACCTCTGATATCATTGTTTAAGTTTGTGATTTAAAAAGAATAAAAATCCTGAGACTCTTTGATTGCTGAAAAGGGAATGGCTTGGCCAAGGATGAGGGGATGCATGTAAACAAAGAAGGAAGAACCCGCTACTGAAGTGTGAAAGAACTTGACTGATGGAGTTGTCATTTTAAAAAAATACTGTTTGCATTTGTGTGTATAATAAGCCGTATTATTCCAACTGATTATCTTCACTCTGCTGTGTTAAGTGTTTAGATGCTGCTTCTAATATTCGCGATACATTTTAAGAGTAAACATTTGTCCATGATTTCCAAAATGTCTTCTCATTTTATTTCAAGTAGAGGTGTGTTGTGTCCTTATTTTATTTATATTTTCCCCCAATTTTATTGTAGCTAATACAGAACTGATAGTACGTATTTTCCTCTGAAAGATTATAGTATTCGGACACCACTTTGCTGGCAAGGTGTATAGGAAATTGTGAACATTTGTTGTTTCGTAATAAAATCTGTTTCTCCAGTCGAAATCCCCCCCCCCCGACTTAATATGTGTGGTGAAAAAAAGTGGTGTCAGGATCTAGTATTCTTTCATAATCCCCGTTCGGACAGTGGTAATAAATAGTAAGATTAATAACAAAGTTGTTTTCGAATTCATGAATACCTGAGACAGTTTACCCATTCCTATTGGTCAAGAGCACGTCACGTGGGTGGTTTTAAATTGGCGGTAAAACACCGCTGCGTTCTGTGCCACATCGCGCGTACACACGCCAGGCTAGACGTGGCCAGAGTAGCGCTTCACAAAATATGAGAAGAAAAAAAACATGAAGGAAATTTTCTTTTACGCATTTTGTCAATGTTTGACTTACTTTGAGTTTTTGACCGAAAATGTATGCTTGGTCGGTTTTAAACAAGTACATTTAAAACCGGCTAGGGGCCTGGGCGTGGATCATGTCCCTCACCTTCGGCTCGGGCCGCTATATATCCGCAAGGAGCCCCCTACTAGCCGATTTTAAACGTACTTGTTTATAAATGACCAAACACACCTTTCTTCCCCTTTTTTTTTTTAAAATGAACAGTTCTAAATTAAATATATCTGCGTAAGAAAAAAAAGTAACATCAAAAATGCTGTATTATTGACTTAATGAGCTTGACTCAAATTCACCTGTTGCTCCGATTGAACTTGCTTCTTGTCGAAATTTAAAAGAATTGATGATAATATAAAACGAAGCTCATTTTCACAGTTGCTAACATTGTTCAAGATGCAGTATCAATGTGGAGTAAGTGTTTTGCAAATGTAACATTTTACACAATCACGTCATGTTTGTATATAGCACCATATTCGAATCCTGGAGTCGTTTCCATTTTTTTCCCCATGTATATTTTCTGTCCGCCTACAAGCGTTACAAGTTTTACTGCGACATATTCAACATTGTACAAAAATATCCAGTTGGAATAAAAAAAATCCTAACATTTTGGACTCGCAGTATTATGGAATTACAGGAGTTTTACTGAAGTCATGACGAGTCATCGTAATAAGTCATCACAAGTCGTCGCAAGTCATCGCAAGTCAGCGCAAGTCAGCACAAGTCATCACAAGTCATCACAAGTCATCACAAGTAGATCAGTCTGAAGTAGAGTGACCAGTTATCTAAATGAAGTGTGACAAAAACATTCCTTTGTCATAGTTTATACTTGTGATAGCACTTATGATTGGACTTGCGACCGACTCAATCACAACTCTAGTTATACCTTAAATTGTTCAACTCAATAATCTTTGAAATATAACTTAATTTTGCAAAGGAATATTTGGAAAGAGCATCTCTTATTTATGCATTATATGTAAATTAAATTCAAGCTACATGGATTGTGATTTCTAAACGGTATTTAAGATTAAAAAAACACAATTGGTTAGAATCCTCTTTGCTGTACTTTTAATGAATGCCACTGTATCAAGCATAATCGTTCGTTTTGCCAGTCTGTAGACGGTTTGAGTTGATTCATTAAAAGCTTAAGTTTTTATTTGTCCAAATTATTTATCGTTTTGTGAGTCCTTTTTGGTTTTATTCAGAAATAGACAAAGTGGTAATTTCTTAATAAATCACAGAACGAGGTGTGGAATATTCACACTTTAAATTTTAGTTTCGGCTATAACGTAGCATGGTCATTTTTATTTTGGGGGGGGGGGTACAAATTTCCTGAAAAGGGCACTCGCACATTCGTGCTGAAATGTAGTCATTTTTTTTTCTCCCGACACTTGGCCTCCATAATATGGCTTGTACCATCTTTCCATAAGGGCGCTGTTCAAAACGGACGATCATACACACTATCGGACAATATAACATGTTTTTCAGGAAGCACACGCGCGAAATTACCAAAAAGGCACTCGTTGCCGCAGCTGCTAGTTCAAAAATGCACTCATTTTTGGGAAAAAAGGCACTTGTTTACAAGAAAGGGCAAACAATATTAGGGGGATAAACACTTGTTAACATCTTCTGGGTGGGAACAGGCAAACTAGTTTTAACCCCTTCATGTTATTTTTTAATAACCTTAAATAAAATTTCATTTATCAATATTAAAACATATGGTGATTATAATTAGGCCTATATATATTGGCAAAAAAAGATGCGGGAAAAAATCCCCAAAAGCCTGGAAATTTGTTTTGTCGAAAAATACAATACTATCAGAAATGAATAGTGGCTAATAGTGCACCATTTTTGTACATGCGTTTTTGGGGTGCAGGTCAACTCGGTCCCAAACCAGCCCGGGCGCCGGGCCGAGTCAACTCGGTCCCAGGTCAACTCGGTCCCAGTTCAACTCGGTCAGGGGTGAGTTCGTCCCAAGTACATGCTGCAGTGTGTTGCGCATGAGTACTGCATATATTATGTGACGTGTACGTGTACATTGTACAGTACGCGTCTTCACGTATCACGCACTACACACGTACTGCTTGCATTGCACTGCATGAACTGTGATAGCGTCTATGCGCTGCAGCTGCACTGAAAATTCCTTCGACCAGCGTGAATAGCGTAAGTAAAATCTCATTTTATGGCCCAAAAATCCTCTCAAACTTAAAAAAAAAAAAATGTGCACTAGTAAGATGTATTTTCTACTAATTGCACTCTCTTTCTGTCTGAAAAACTATTTTGAAATTGATGCATATTAGGTCCGAAAACTTATGCACCGAGTTGATTTTTGTCGTAATGACGAACACGCCATGCGATTTTCCCATTGCCACAATTATTGGGCAAAATGGAACCTCAAAACTGAGCACAAATGCCTGAAAATACAGGCGGAAGCTGGTACACTTTTCTAAAAAGACATATAGATTAAATGTGTGATGTATGAGGAATAAATGTGGAGAATTTGAACAGTTTTCACATTGCGAAATTTTAGTTTAGTGGCTTTGTTTTCCGTGACCCCTTTTATTTCTGTTACCCCGACGCCATGCCGATGTACAAATGGACCATATTTTCACCACGGAAAAACTCTCGTACCGCTCAATGTACACTCCACTTTCGGTACACAAACCTATGGGACCATTCTAAAAACATTTCAATCTTCAAGATTACGATATGATTTTTCGATTAATAGCAATATTAGGGTCCAAAATGGTATTTGAAGGGTACTTTCATTCATGAAAAGGCAAGAGGTGTTTTTGGGTGTCGTTTTTCGGGCTTTGTTTGACCTCGATGAAACTGCCATTTTGTAGCATTGCCCTACTACAACTCCATGCCTACACCGCTGTATATCTTCCCCATACTCAACGCTTTCGTGTACAAACCCAATAGGATATGCACTAAATTGATCCTGAACCCAGCGCGGACACTTTGAATATATATTTAGGACCCAAACTCTTTTCGAAAGTGTGAAATAGCGGTGTTTTGGGACACGTTCGAAATCGGTTTTGGTGGCGGGTGGGGCCGTTGAGAGATTTCCTCCATGTTTTTTTCGACGTCAAAAATGCAAAGTCTGTACCGAGGGAACAACATGCTTTGCATGTCGCTTGGCCATGGTCGGTCACACGTGTTGGTATCTAGTGCAGATTGCATCGTATATTGACAATACACATTCACCATGGACATTGAAGGGCTTTTTAAAAAAATGTATCAATCAGGCAATTTCGTTTTGTTTTGGGGGAATTTTAGGGCGCTTTTTTGGCATGACCTCGGCGGCGTTGGATCACGTGCCTCATTTGCATAAAGTGTGTGGATTGGTCATTCATTGGCTTTCCATTGTCACATTTTCAAAAGGTTTTGATCAATAATCTGTGTGGAGTTGTCATGTTTTGTGGGTGGAAATGTTATATTAAACTGGTTTCAAACTTCATGGCAAGCATTGGTTTGCGCAGTTTAGATAATTTTCAAATTATTTCATTTTTTCTGTTAATTGTTGCATCCAAATGCACTTGGTGGTACTAACCTGCACACCTGACAGATGTTATTTGAAATTGAAAATTGTTATCATGACAGCATATCCCTTTGCAGATAATAAGTCCATGACATTTTTCAGATGTCAATTTTTTTGTTGTTGCTTTCATTTAAACAGTGTTTTTTATTTAGTGTTTTCACGTTTTATTTAATTCATAACTTGTTTTTTATAAATTTATAAAAAGCAATTGGAACAAAAGTGGCTGTAGTTTGCCAGGTTGCCAGATGCCAGGTTACTGTTTGGGGAAAACAAATGGTTGCAGTTTCCATTCATGGCCCTTAAGTATCAAAAAAGTATTAATCAGTGTCTCAAATCATGTCTAAAGCTTATGTACAAAATCAGCCATTTGAATAAACTTACTGCATGTTTGGTGACAGAAATTAAAGTTAAAAGAAATACTAAGCCCTTCAGTGCATGGTGTTCTTCAATAAGATTGGTATCTGTCAACTAAAGAGTTAAATTTGAGTATTTGAGCTGCAAGCATTTTTCAACCAGTTTCTTGTTTGAATATTGTAATGAAGACCTGTATGCGCGCTGTGACGGAACATTTATTGTAATTGCGTGCATTTAATGATTTACGGTTCACCATGGACTGTTTTAAAGAGGAACGGACTACACGTTTTTGCTTGATGGACCTGCAACCAAAGTAGGATGGCAACTCTGGCTGTAACTGTAACCACTTTGTTTTTTAATATTAAAACAAACAATAATAATTATAATACAGTGTATTAATAGTGTATATCATTATAAATATCTTTAAACAGGTAACATGTTGGATTTAGAAAGCTTAAATTACATTTGTACATTTGTGTGACATGTTGCGATCTGTTGTCGAAAAAATTCTATGTTTGATTTTTTTAAATTAATATTTAATAGGCCAAAAAAAAAAAACCCATCTGCTTCCAATTACATAGCATTTGAAAATAGGGTAGGTAGGTAGGGAAATTGGTTTTTTGGGGGGGCAGTTTTTTTGTGTACGATCATATGGAGGTGTCTGCGTGTAGTCAAGGGTAAAAGGTAGAAAGTTATGGTTTTCAGGGCTTTTTCCTCAAGCAGAACAATTTTTTTTGGCCTTAATAGTTTTGTTAGAAACTTGTTTGCGTTTACACTGTCTCGGTATCTCATGCACTTCACTTAATTCAAATCTTTAATTTTTCATGGGAGTTTGGTATTTAACTAGTTTAAAACATTGCATATTATATTACTCTGAACCATAGAAAACACTTTTAAGCATTATAAATGCACTTAATATTTTAATGTACATTATAAAAAGACACATTGAAATTACTTCATCTACCCTTTAAAGCATTCCCTTTCCCCTACACATTTTTTTAGTGGAAATTAGACAAAGATGACGCTTATTTAAGAGTAACGTGAACATTTCTGTTTTCAACGATATCCAGATAAACACAATCACCATCTTGCACTTCTAAAAAATGATTTGTTTAAAAAACCTATACTATGGATTATTTGGCATGAAGGTACTGCAGTTACATTGATGAATGCTTGTTTGAATGTTGGATTTAACTAGCCTTTGTTTTTTTTTGTCGAACAGTTGTTGGATTGAATCAGCGTTTACCGACTCAGCTACTTAAGATTGCATCATGGGAAGGAAAGACGTAAACAAGCCCAAGGGACGTATGTCCTCCTATGCCTTCTTTGTCAAGTACTGCCGTGAAGAAGTTAAAAATCAATCGGTGAACTTCACTGATTTCTCCAAGAGTTGCTCTGGAAGATGGAAGGTAATTACTACATTAGCTAAGTCTTGTACTGTTGTTTGGTTTTATTTTAGAAAAAAAAAAGAATTTGTTTTTCAACTTTTTGTGAATGTTTTTTTTGGGGGTGGAAATGTCCCCCCCCCCCCAATTTTTTTTAAACAAAGTGTAACTCTGTCCATGATCTTGCTTTAACTTATATTTCTTTCAATTTTTCAATTGAACAGTGTATGGGTGAAGAGGAGAAACAGAAGTTCCTCGATTGCGCAGATCAGGACAAGCAAAGGTACGAGCGCGAGATGTCCCACTATGTACCTCCTAAGGGTATGAATAAGAAGGGACGCAGAAAGAGGAAAGATCCCAATGCGCCAAAACGCAACCTGTAAGTATATAACATATTGAAGTTTGTGGGCCAGTGTTATCTTATAGTGGAGATGCAAAGCAAGAAATTGTGTGAGTTGATACTGAAATCACTAGCAAGAACTTTGGTATATTTTCTTTCCCATTAGGTCGGCATTTTTCCTGTACAGTAACGACGAGCGTGCGAAGATCAAAGCGTTGAATCCCAGCTATGGCATCGGTGATATCGCTAAGGTTTTGTCTGGCCAGTGGAGGAACATTGGAACTGCCCAAAAGGCCAAATACGACCATGCAGCCGTCATGGACAAGGAGAGATACGTGAAGGTATGTTTTATGAAGACGAGGCTTCCTCTCAACGCAGGAGGATGCAACTTTGCTGCCTGCTTCGCGGGCGAGCAACTCGTGAACACCACACAGATACACACAGATACACAATTGTTTATGGTTTAAATCGAGGATTTCTATTGTTCCTCTTCCCTTTTCCTTTGTTTATACTCAACTTTTTTGCAACAGCTCTCGTTGGTTTTGTACACGTTTTTTAATCGAGGTTGTCCTCGATTTGACTCCTGTCCTCAATTACTTGATGACGCTCGACATGTGTGTCCTCGATTTACACCATAAACCAACCCATACATGCACATACACACTTTCTTCTTTATAGTATAACAGTGATGTAACTTTCCTTTCATACAAAATATTCCTTCAATCTGAAAAGCACAAGTTTAATTAATGACAATATCTAGCTAGAAAGATTGAAACATCGGTATTCATTGTCAGGTAGCAAGTTACTTAAAGTAAAGTTCTTATTTTTTATTACATTGTGGAAACTGTGTGATCTTTTAGCATGCTAAATTAAGACATCTTGTTTAAAGTTTGTGTACTTGCTAAAACGTTTGACATGTGAGAACATGTTCCTTTTTCAAATGGATGCAACGTTCTAAGATATAAATAAACACAAACCTGAACTGTCAAAATTTAAAAAAAAATGATTTGATGAGTTTGCAACATTTGTGTTCACTGGCATTTTGAAAGTTTTGCAAATAGTTTTTCCCCCTTATTTCAGGCGATGGCTGAGTACAAGGCCAAGGGCAAGAACAAGAAGAAGTCCTCATCAAGCTCCTCCTCTTCCTCCAGCTCTAGCTCAAGTAGCTCCAGCTCCAGCGACGAAGAGTAGACACTAACCCACAGCACAGAGAAGTTACTGGAAAAGTGGATCTCTAAACCCCACTTTTTTGTCTCCAGAAATATTGCCGGGCTATCAGATGGATGTATTATGACAAAATAACCCAGGCACTTTAAACACAGGCAGGTTTTCCAAAAATTAAAATTGAAAACCATTCGTTAATTATCTTTGTCCCTGTGCCACACGTGCATAAAGTATTTGGAGCTCTTGGGACCAAAAAGGAAAATTAAAAATAAAAAAAAGAAGAAATTAACTGAAAAGCACCTTGTATACTTAGTGTTTGAAATGAGTTTTAATCTTGACGGTTTGATCCCATGACTAAATTCTGTCTGCTTTATCGCCTTGTCCATGGCATTGTCAGCGCTGATTGCTGTAACCATGTGCACATCCGAAAGCTAATGTAAAGTAAATGTTTTTATCCCTGTTCTATTATTAAACCGTTATTTAGCTGCTGCTCACATCTGTTTAATTGTTTTAAGTGTTTATTTCTTTCACAAATTATTTTTTGTATTATACCATTTTTGTGTGTAGTTGGTAGTGATAGTTTATGAGTTAAAAATCCCTCATATTAAAAAAAAAAATTGTTTGCATAGTGCAAGTTCTATGAGTATGAAGTTCTTGGACTTAAACCACAATTCCATTCAAATCAGGATTTAAACTTGTTGAATTATGAATGTACTCTAAAGACAGTGAAACCCGAAATGAGAATATTGTACATGTACATTACTTTTTCTAAAATTGTCAATTCTAAAAACGTTAGTCCAACATCAAGCCATGCATCGAGTATCCCAAGAAAAAAAAAACCACAAGTGCATGTTATTTGCACCGCAACCTTGTAATTGTAACTGTATGATAGACTTTTTGACTTTCTTTAATTCATGTATTAGCATTTATTCAACTTAGTTAGTTTTTCCAAGTTTGTCCCAGTTTAGTTAAAAGACAAGTTGGTTTACAAGATGTTGAAAGAACGTTGATCATAGTAATTGTTAAAATTCATCCACGTGTTCAAAAAATTGGAACGGCCATCTCCATTCTGGAATAAGTATCTTTTGTCAGTCCGCAAGATTTGAATTCTTTTAGTTGTGAATTTATCATGGCTGTTAATATTGAGCAGTTGGAAAACTTGGTTTAACTGAGTAGTGGTTAATGAACAAATTTTTAATGTAACCAATGCTTGATCTTGAATAGCAAGGCTAGGAGTTTGATTTTCTCGGCCTAATGAAGATTTTATTTGCAACAACAGATGTCTGCTTCCATTGTAAGCGTGATTGAAAATTTGAAATGCACTAAAAGTCAGTCTTTATAACACGGTTATGTTCAGTTCAGTATTACATACACGTATGCACAATTTTTAACGGAAGACAGACACATTGAAGAATGCCATGTAATGTTACGGCTGCTGTAATGAACTCCACCTTACTTGTTTTTGAAGTTCAGTGATCGACATTGGAAATTAAAGCATCAGTTTTTATGGAAGTAAATAGTTTGTCCAATGCTCTTGTGTGCCTCTTTTCTTTTGTTTGTCAGTTGCGTTCCAATCCCCCATCTCCCCCCCCCCCCAAAACAGAAATAATTACATACATCTATTTGCCATTCCCCTTAAATCCAACCCCTGTACCCTCACCTAGCATTGAGTTGCTGACAAAATGAGGTTTATTCAATTAGGCTATTAGTACAGTGATATTGTGGGCAAGGGATGATATGAATGTACATGTACATATTTTCCCCCGACACTTGGTATTTGAACTTCATATTCTCGCCTCGGTGACCTCATGCACACTTTAATTGAATGTATGCAGAATCATTGCATATTCTTTGTGCAGCATGTTATTTTGTGCATTGTTTTAAAGTCGGTATGTGTCGGTGGTATTGAAATCAAACCATACTCTGCATGTGTGCATTAAAAAAAATGATACTAATAAGTTAAACTTTAAAAGTGTTTCGCAAATTCAATTGTATCATGTATGTCAACAAAATACACACGAGAGACATTTTGTACAACTGTACAAGTATTTGTCGTTCAAGGTGGATACTTTCGAATATGTAACATGTGGAAATCGACATACTTGCGTGAACCCATTTTTTATTTTAGCAAAACCATGAAACTCGGCAGGTAAACATGGACTTTTGAAGTAATGCTGAGATGATGACTGTAAAAGAATAATTATATATTAATGCAGTACATGTTTGAATTATTTTCCCATAGATCTGAGAGATTTCCAAGATGGGAAGAAAAGATCCCAACAAGCCCAAGGGGCGTATGTCGTCTTATGCGTTCTTCGTCCAGTTCTGTCGCGAGGAGCACAAAGAGCGCAACCCGGGCCAGTCCGTCAACTTCACCCAGTTCTCCAAGAAGTGCGCAGAGAGATGGAAGGTTGGTATAAACCAATCCAAGTTAATTGCCCACTTTTTGTGATCACTGCATGGGCTGGCTTTCCACCATTACTGGGACGCTCCAAAGCTTGCTTTGGTATTTCACACAATGCACTTGGACTCCCTTACTTGTTGCTATACAAAGCGCACGTGTGATGGGCATTCAGGAATGGAAGCATCCCAGTTATGGCTACCAGAGCTGTCATGGTATGTCAGAATCGGATTGGTTTATTGTAAACCTTAGCCAATAACCAATACTGAGGCGCAGCTCAACAAAAACAAAGAACACTTAGCAACTTTTAAGGATTTACTTAGAAAAAAAAAGCAGCTTAGAACCAGTTACATGTACATACTACCAAAGTAATAAGCTTACTAAAAACAAAATTGGATCCTAACCTGTTTTTGGTAAGCAAGTAATTCTGTGGCTTGCAAACAGAACAATTTAGTAACATTAGTGTCCATAAAGTTATAAGAAACACACAAACTTGTTTTAGAGTTGTGGGGACAATACAAAATGTTCCCCTAGCATAGTGCCTGCCAGGCAATAGAATTGAGGTTTATGAACATTTGCAAAAAACAAAAACAGACTCGATACAAAACCTTCATTTTTCTAAATCATGGACAAAACACCAGCTTGAAAATTGTCAGATTGAATGGCATTGTCAATTGTACCATGCGGCCATTTTTACAAAAAGTGATATCAAGAAATTGAATGATACTGATCGACACTCCGAACTTCAAATCAAGATAGATTAAAACATACAATCGGTTGCCATCCACATCCCACATATTCATTGACGGGTCTTTTTGCCCATAGACCATGGATGATGGCGAGAAGAAGAGGTTCCTTGAGTGTGCAGACTGTGACAAGATGCGTTATGAACGGGAGATGGCCCGCTACGATCCACCCAAGGGCACCAAGAAGAGGGGACGCAGAAAGAGAAAGGACCCCAACGCGCCCAAACGCAACCTGTAAGTGGCCTCTTGAAACAGGTTTACAACAGTGAAACTCGACAGAAAGGTGATCGAGTCCCATATGGCATTTAGAATGACAATTCAAATGACAAGTCAAGTGACAAGTCAAATGACAGGTCAAATCATAAGTCAAATCACAAGTTAAATCACAAATCGAAAGGAGAATTCAAATCATTAGCTTGTCCCTTAATTAACTTGAGTTTGGACGACAAGTCAATTGACAATTCAAATGACAAGTCATGTGACAAGTCAAATGACAAGTCAAATCACAGGTCAAATCACAGGTCAAATCACAAGTCAAATTACAAGTCAAATCACAAGTTAATAATTGCCTTGCTTAAACGTCATATGACATTTTTACATCACATGACATTTTAGTTGTTAGTTTGTTTCTGCTTAGATATTTTCTGTGCTCAGCAAATGTTTGTTCTTTGCGAATTTTTGTGTCTCCTGCTGGTCTCCTTCAAGTTCAGACTCAGTCGTTTTTCACTAATTTTTTCTTCAATTCTTATCGTCAGGTCAACATTTTTCCTGTACAGCAACGATGAGCGACCCAAAGTGAAGGCTGTCCACCCTGACTGGGGCATCGGTAAGATTGCCCAGGTGTTGGCTGAGCAGTGGAGAAATGTGTCGGCATCCCAGCGGGCCAAATATGACAAGGCTGCCCTACAGGACAAAGAGCGATATGCCAAGGTGGGCTGGTCTCCAGTTATCTTTGATGTGTTATCACCGCAGATCTTTCTATACCGACCTGATAGGCTGAGGTCATTGGGACGCCATTTTGGGGGGCCAAATTGTATATAGGGGGCTTCCGTCAATCCCTGGTGGGTTATAGCCACTGATCTGTATTCAGACTGGATAGGCTGAAATCGTGATCTGTGTCATGTAATCTGATTACATGATCATTGTGATCTCAGTCACACGTAACAGCAGCCATATTTGGAGGCCTAATAGTTTAATACTCAAAGCAGCTTCACTTCTTTATGCACGGTGATCTTGGACGCATGACCCATCCAGTCAGTACTTAGAGATCGGTGGTTAACACCCAACTAAAAGAGCAATCATTGCTTGCTGGACAGGGTTTGGTGGTTGCTATCAGTCTGAATGAGCCAGATCAGTATACCAACTGTGTATTCCCACTCAACTACTCGAACCCACTACCTCCTGCGTACTATGCAGATGTCTTACCACTCAACCAACGAGCTTGCCAGGATCGACTGGGTGCTTTGAATCTCATATAGACTATCACAACCAATCTGTACCGAGATAGTCCAACAGGGCGTTGTGAACAGTATATAAGCAGAAGCAGAACCAATCACCAGTTGTATAATGGAATTTTCAATTTCTGGTAATTGTCTCTTTTTTTTTCAGGCGATGGCAGAGTACAAGTCCAAGGCAGTAAAGAAGAAGAGCTCCTCCAGTTCCTCCTCCTCTTCCTCCTCCAGCTCCAGCTCAAGTAGCTCCAGCTCCAGCGATGAGGAGTAAACCTCAGCACCACCCTAAGAAACCACCGATTCTCCGGACTATCACGTCTGATCAGAACAAACAGCCTTCAATTTTATTCAGGACCTCATTTAGGTTCATTTCACTCATCAGTCACATGCAACGTGTTAACCATTAGCCTTCTTAAGATATGGCAGACCATAGACTCAATATGAGGGGGGGGGGTGCTGGTTAGGATAAAGTTGTGGGTAGAATCATTCACTTTGTCCAAAAGAAGCTCTGCATTTTGTCCCGGACATGTGCCTGGGAAATTTTCATTGGGAACTTAGTTAACTTACCAATACTGATTTGCGGGGAAAAGTTGTTCAGAATCCTGCAACATAAACCCGATACAATGTCAGCAACTTGTCCGGAACTTGGCCTGGATATGAATTGAGACGAGCATGAACAGGTCCAGAACACTGTAGTGTAGTCCTTACATTTATTAGTGCCAAGTGTAAAAAAAAAAAAAATGGTCAACTCTAGTCAAGTTCTTTCAACTGATGAACATTCTCTTTTTTTGTGTCTTGCTTTCTTCCACCCTCTGATATGATTGTTCACATTTGTGATTTCAAAGGGGAGTAAAAACAGACAAAAAATTGCCTCACTTTTTTTAATGGTAGAAGGTATTGATTGCTGAAAAGGGAATGGCTATGTGGAGGCACAGGGGATTAACAGAAAGGGAAGGAAATGGCACTGAAGTGTAAAATGAACTTGACTGGACTTGTCGTTTCAAAAAAATACTGTTTGCATTTGTGTGTATAATAAGCCGTATTATTCCAACTGATTATCTTCACTCTGCTGTGTTTAGTGTTTAGATGCTGCTTTTAATATTCGCGATACATTTTTAGAGTAAACGTTTGTCCATGATTTCCAAAATGTCTTCTCACTTTATTTCAAGCAGAGGTGTGTTTTGTCATTTTATTTGTATTTTAATCGCCCCAGTTGTAGCTAATACTGAAATAAATGTACTTGTTTTCCTTGGAAAGAATAATATTCGGACACCACTTTGTTGGCAGTGTAAAAGGTCTAAAATCGGAACTGTCTCTCGGTTTGAGATTTTTTTCCCCCCGAGATTTGCAAGGGCTGACCATCATTCGGGTTATGTGTGTTGACATAAGTCATCACAAGTCATCACAAGTCATCACAAGTTATCACAATAGACAGTCTGAAGTATAGTGACCAGCTATCTAAATGAAGTATGACAAAAACATTCCGTTGTCACATTTCATCCCCTGTTACATGTGATAGAACTTATGATTGGACCTGTGATGGATGTGCGATCGCCTCAGATCACAACTCAATCACAACTCTGGTAATTAACATCATGATAGTTCAACTTAATTTTACTACAGAAAAGTTGGTAAGAGTATCTCCATTTTATGCACTGTGTAGATTATATTCAAACCATTGTGATTTCTAAACAGTGTTTAAGACTAAAAACAAACAAAACAAAACCAAATTGTTCAGAAGCTTATTTTGCTGTATTTTTAATGAATGCCATTGTATCAATCGTAATTATTCATTTTCCCAGTATGTAGCCATGTTGAGTCAATTTATTAAAGCTCAAGTTTTATTTGTCCAAATCAATCGTTTTCTTTCCTTTTGGGTTTTATTAACAAACAAACAGAGTGTTTATTTCATTTGCTTGTTTTTGAAAATATAAAGGAATATAGTTTGCATCGTTTAATATCATGTAATATCGCAGATATGCAACTCATTTTTTATTTCAACATTTTTTGTTTGTGGTCACAGGAATGTGATGCGTGCTCCTTAATCGATAGGATCTGTATCAAAATTCCGATATTTTAATAAAAGATGGTCCGTCGATTGATATCTATGCTTGATATATGCAAGGAAAGCTGGATATTTCATTCAGTACAATGGCTTTGAAATCAAGCATTGACCAGTTTAGGCCAATTCCTGATGCTTTGCAGATTTTTTGCATGTCAAATATTTTTGCTCAACAATATTTCCACTGAAACTAATAATGCTGAAAAAAATCTCGGATTTTCAGGGATGGAGAAATGCAATAACTTTACGAACCAACAGAACTAATATCTGTACTGAAGATTCTGATTCTTTTATTTTTTTCAATCACAGGCGAAAAACACTTGATCGTCGGATTTCCAATATGGAGCCACCTTGAGAAGTTGAAAATAACATGAAACTTGCCTTAAATCATTTTGGGGCAATGCACAGTACAGATACATAGTTATCGATGGCAAAAATCCTACAATGGACTGCATGCACTAACAATAGATGGCGCTTCATTACCTTTGACATGGTGCAGTGACAAGCCTTAAAGATCACAGCCATAGAAACACTAAGTAAATGAACTAGAAGCTTTCTTTATGCGATTTGGCCTTGCATGAGAAAACTGATCGCATAAATGAAATAAGGCCCCTTCTAGACACTGTGCTGTGCTGCCATGCCAAACTAAAAAAACTTGACTTTTTGAATTTGGCACGGCGATAGCACGGCGTATTTGAATCGGTGAATTAAGTTTGGCATGGCACCATCCTTTGGCTCAACAGGGCTGGCGCGCTATCGCCGTTCTAAACGGTAGTGGCACGGCATTGTTATAAACGCCGTGCCATTGCCGTGCCGAACTCAATTCAACTCGAAGTTAGGGCACACATTTTAGGAATGGGCATGCTCACAATACCCTCTCTCGCGTCCGCATCATGGGAAGTAAAATTGGCGAGAATATTTTGATCGCGCTGAAAGTTCACTGAACTGCTTTAACCTGGCCAGTTTTGCATTAAGGTTTGACTATTAAGTTTGGCGTTTAGAGCAACTGCCATGCTGTAGACGAGATATTTGCCTCACTCATTTCAATTAAGTTTCGGCGCGGCAGTAGCACAGCGTCTAGAACTGGCCTAAGAGACAGTACATGTATCTGTTAAAAACGAAGTAAAATTGATTTTTTTTTTTTGCAGTATTAGGTAACAAGGTCAGTGGTGAACATCAGTCAATTGTGAATTTCGACCTTTAAACAACTGACTATAATGACTTAATAACAAAAGTATATTCTTTCACTTGTTTTTCTTTCCTTTCCGTTTAGTTTTCTTCTTGGCAGGTGGACCAGATGTGGAAGAAACAATCTGAGACGTCTTGAGTGCAACTGAGAGGTCAAGATCAGCAGAAGGATCCACAGGTGGCCTGAACAATAGATAAAAATGATGAAATTAATTTGGATAATTCTGGGATGGTTATGAAAAATATAGAGAAACCCCTTCCTCAGTTAGTTTACATAACGTTGAACGAAGACATTGACTGGAGTGGGGTTTGAACCCGCAACCTCCAGATCACTGTAACAGCACTCCACCAAACTGAGCTTTCCAGTCCTATGTTGGCGGTTCACCATTTTGTCAATGTCTTTGTTCAAGGGGCGCTAGTCAGAAGCCATGAACTTGTATTTGCCATACAGCCAGAGATCACGCCCAATGCCAGCAATATTAGCAATGCTGCAAACCTGAGAAATAGCAAACAGGGATCACTCAAAGAGGATATGACTTTTCAAAACAAGCCTTCCAATAAATTGCAAAGGGAAACGACTAGGTTGTGTTTCTCTTGTTGGTTCATCTTTTATCCTGTAATTACCCTGGACTGTTCAAATAAGTAAACTACAAACTCATGAATTTTTTGTTAAGAACAAACAATTTATGATGGTCGTTTTTATTAACTGCGACTGGCTTAAACGTACCTCTTGTATCCACCCAAAACTTCTTCGTTCAGTGTGACCGTCTCAGCCTCTTCACTGCTATCACTGTGATATCCCTCTGCCACTGAAAACAATGAAACAAAATTCCGTATTAAGATTGAGAAATATGAATGCATGCCATTGATGAATGTTTCTTTTACAAAACAGGAAAAGATACAGTTATGTGTAAACTGGTATTGACTGGGATCGTACAGTCTTCAGAACCCGACAATGGCACGCACTGACTCGACAGTTAAAATTGATAATTGTTTCAGTATTTTGCATGTAAGTTGTCATGGTGTGGTTTTGAGAATTTTGTTTGGTTAATTCACTACTTCCTGATGAGTTAGTTTAGTCTGTTTTACATTCAGTTTTTCCCACTTGGCAACTTGAAGCTAAATTCAGTGTATAAAATTGTTCAAACAAGATTTTTTTTACCAAATCAAAACCTTAACATAGTGATTACCAGAGGAAGGTTATTTTTTTCTCAAAAACTAACAATGACCTTACCTCTTGTCTGCGATACACTCGTTTGGTTTCTCCTCGCAGCAACGTCCGATGTCCCATCATCCATGGCATCAACCTCCTCCTCCTCATCAGCATCCTCCATCTCATCCTCATCCTCCTCAACTTCGTTCTCGGCATCGGGGATGAGCCACGTGTTGGCAGCCCCTTCCCCGATCCCTCTGAAGCCAGCATCAAGCAGTGTGGATTTCACATCTCTGGTGAATGGGGCGCTCAGGAAAGAAACTGCCACAGTATGCTATCGGACGTTACCTCTTAGGTTTGTACACACCCAATGCTACAAATTTCAAACAAGCAGCCTAGATAAGCCATTGTATGATGTTTGAGTTCTTTTCCATTCTCACCACAATAGATGGCACTGGGGCTCTTGATTTGAAATTTATCTTTTACATTGACATTAATGAGCAGTACAAAAAAACTGCCATTTGCAGCATCAAATCTGTTTTTACCTGCAAGCCATTGCGGGAAAATTCAGTACCACTGAGTAGATGTTGCCAAACGGTTTTATGGCACTGTATAACCAACCACTGCGCATGACACACTGTACCTCACTGGTTTGTGCATGTATGGCATGATGCACACAAGACTAATGATGTGCACAAGCCACACACAGATCTGTCTTAGTTTCATTTGGGTGCCAGATGCACAGCAGCAAGACTTTCAAGTAAAGTCAAGTCTGTCACGAGCCAATGTGGCCCATTAGGCCGGCGTTTATCTCTGGTTCCCTTGGCATGAAATTACTCCCAAGCTAATGCTGTACCCATTTATACTCCTAGGTGGAGAGAGGCAAGTGGGGATGAAGTAGCTTGCCCAAGGACACAACATATGGCCAGCAGCTGGATTGGAGCCCCAGACCCTCTGATCATGAGTCACAAACCCTAACCACTAGGCCACTCTCCTACATTGGCATTCAAGAGTCTGCTTAATTCTTTCTTTGACAACACTGAGGAAGTATTAGTGCACAGACTCTACAGAAGTCCAGAGTGCAAGGATACAAGTCTTGTACTGGCTCATCAGCTCTGTCGATAACATCTTGAGCCATCTCCACAGACTTGGTAGTGTCAACTCTCTGAGGCTCTGCTACAGACGTTGTTATTCTCCGTCTTGGCAGTGATTCAGCATAGCCACATTTCTTGCCTTCAGACCTAAAAAGAATAATTAATAAAACATTCATTTTTCAAATTACCCGTACCGTCATAAAAATATTAACTATACTCGGAACTCTGGTATAAAGCAGTGTGCCACTGCAACTTGGAAACAATATAGAATTCTATGTCTTTTAGACCTTGTTCAAAACCACATCCTAAAAGCATAACTAATATTGAAAGGCACCCGAGTGCCACTGCCATCCTGCGCCCATTCTAACCTGCATTGCTCACAGGCGAAGATATTGTTCGATATTAATTAAATACACATTCTATGTGCACATAAGAAAAGGAACTCTTACCTCGCTTTTGCATCATTACTCAGTGCTTTCTTGATGAGCTCCGTCACCTCAGCTACCTTAATGACGGCAATTTGTGAACATCTTAAGATCTGATGGGATAAAGTGAGACACGGAAGAATGAATCAATATAGTCACTGAGCATTTTATGATTTTCTCGTTTTTTACTTCTCATGAATACCATTACAAATTGAAAAACGCTGTACAAAGTCTTGTGTGGTTTGAAGTTTCCTCTTTTTTTTCTAAATTCTCAGTTGCATGCCTGCATTCGGAATAAAATAAGTTGTGCCTATTTTGCACTGTGTGTGCAAGAACTAGTTTGCAGGTGCAATGTGTCCCTCCCACTGGGGCTGGTTCCAAAGTGGCCACAAAGTGCCATCTATTGTTGGAATTTGGTTCTTGGTTGGTTCTTCTCCTAAATACTTCGCAGGGGAGTTTTAACAGGAGGCCAGAAACACCGGGGCAAACCCCTTCTCTCAGCGATAAATGTTACTGGGTTCTTTTACGTGCATTGCATTACACAACACACAGGACCTACGGCTTTACATCCCATCCGAAGGACGAAGCAATAATGGTTCAGTGCCTTGCTTAAGGGCACAAGTGTCCAGATCCGGGCTCGAACCCACTTCTGCTGCCTCTGAAACACCAGAGCATGAGTCCAGTGCGGTGCTCTTAACTGCTAGGTCATGACACTCCACTGCATGGAGTCCATTGAATACTTGACCCAGTGAGTTCTTACCTGGTCTTTCAGGAGCAGCATTCCTCCCGTCATCTGGACTGTGCACAGTTCCCTGTGTGCATTCATGGCCATCACCATGTTGCCTTCCATCACGGATTCTTCCTTGAACGTTGGATCAACTAGTAAGTACTTCCTAGAAACAGAAAGGGATTGTATTCAGAGATACATGAAGACAATTAGTTCTCCATTGGTAGGCAAGTTGGGACGAGGACCATTAGTCGACTAGTGGTTGATTTGTGACGCAACTTACGCCCGCGTACTAATAGCTAGCAACGTGCGAACGCTTCTAGTCAGAAAAAACTTTTTGGTCCTAGCTCCCTGTTGTGCATTATGATATAATGGCATCTTCTGAGCAGCAAAAAGTGGCAGCAAAATACCGGTACAATTGGTTCTGGACTACATGTATTGGGCTGCACTCTTGTGCTGGACTATTATCTTACCCCTGTTCAAAGAATGCAAATGAAATACAGACAGGCATGTGGTGAACACTCAGTGGAACGGGGTCTCTGTCCTCGGGTGTGTGCTGCAAAAAAAGAAGAAAATTCACAATTATTCGTTATAGGAAGATACAAGTATGTTGTTTAATAAAATGAAAGAAGTTTGTGCACTTTTGAAACTGCTTGAAACAATCCATGAGAACCTGATGTATAAATACATTTCAGAGGCCCATGACAAGTTTCTGTCGAGAAAAAAAAATGCTTGAAATATCTTTCACTTTTTGACAGTCTAGGAAAAAAATATTTGCTTGAATTTCTTACAATTGTGACCGTTTCTCCAACGACTGTTACATCAGGCCTCCTGAAGTGGGACAGTGCTGCAATAGCTGCAATACTCCCACAGTCTAAGATGCTGCCATCATGATTTAAGACGTGGACATCAACTCGAATCTGCCAGACCTAAAAACAGTACGTTTAGAGATGAAAAAGGTAAGTGAACAATGTTGCAGATATCCATGACTTAATTCTTACAAAATATTGAAAGAACTTAAGCATACTGATGAGAGAAACCAGTACATTCTGAAACTTCCAAAGCTTTTATTCAACGGAAGAGTATATCACATAATATTGATGATCAACTCTGTACTATTTTTTTTCCAAAAACGTTTCTATCACTGAGTGTTGTGGTGGAATGGTTATGGCATCCAACTCATGTGTGGCAGTATGTACGTTTGAATCACAACAATGACCATGATACTTGTGTTCTTGGGCAAGACACTTTACCACTATTAACTCTCTCCACCCCAGGATAAAAATGGGTATCTGTGAGGGTAGAGAACACATTGCGCTGATCTCAAACTGTGGCATAAAACAAATCTCGTGGCCTGATGATTGAGCTACACGAACCAGGTTCATGATGCTTTGTGTTCTTAGGCAAGACACTTTACCACAATTTGCTCTCCCAACCCAGGAGAATAAATGACACGTGTGAGGGTAGAGAACAGATTTGCTGATCTGGCACTGTGGCATAAAACTGATTTCATGGCCTGATGAACGGGGTAGTAATTGTGAAGTGCTTTGAGACATTTGTAATAAGCGCTATATAAGCACCACATTATAGTTTTTATTATCCTCATCAAATTTCACGGACGGGAGGGAGATGGGATGAGGGTAAAGTGCCAATAAGAAGTTGCAAGAAACTAACCTTTTCTCCAGCCACAATGCAGAGTGATTCCATATCTACAGCCCTGGAGTCTTTGAGGCATCTCTCCAACAGTCTGTTCAGCTCCACGCCATATTCAGACAACCTGCCACATCAAAATCCAGAAAACGTTATCTGAGAAATCATGGCTCACACGATTCAGAAGACCTACTCATTTAATGTCTAAAATATCACAGAGTTGGAGTGACGAATTACTAGCCAAGCACTCACACCCACTTGCCCAGCATATTATCAACTTGATCAGCTGATTTTAACCCCTTTTGTCACTGTAGCGCACAAAACTAGTTGGTTTGATTGATTCTTCAGTGTATAAACACAGTGTAATACATTGTAGTGCAGGTGCCAATAGATTGACTTAACACATCTGTGCACAGAGTCTTGCAAGGGACAAATTTCATAGCACTGCTTAACAGTTACCAGAAATGTTTTGCTAACCACAGCTGAAAATTGTGCTAATAAGCTAGAAAATGTTTACTCAGCATAGTTGTATGCCAGAAAATGTTACTTGCCAAATTGTTTATGCTAGAAAATGTTACTTGGCATAGTTTTAAATGAAAAACAGCACAGGATCATATTTTAACACTATTCGGTATCAAATTTTTTTTTTCTGTCATGCTTCTTTTGCAAACCTTCTCTGTGCTCCATACAGGTGCCATGCTAACTAACTCCATGAATGTTGCCTCTGGCATGCTTCAGTACAGAAGTAGAAATACAGAATGATGTTCTTACCGTCCTGGCTCAAAGCCAGGCGATGCCATCGGAGACAGCTCCAAGTTCAAGTAGAGCTGGCCCTCTGTTGGCCTAGCATTCCTGGGTTCCACTGCCTCACAGGACACCTGTGCAAGGACTCTGTCAATCAGAGAGTAAAAGTTGATTCGAAAATTAACCCTAAACTCCCCGGGTATTTTTGCATTAAATGCTTCCCTGAATCGTCCACACACAAACTCTTTGCATTATTGGCAGTATATATTTAAAAATTAACTTCATTTTTTTTTTAATTTACCTTGTCTGCCCAAGTTGAACCTCACAACATCCTCTTTCTAAGCCGAATGTTATCTTTATGTTTCTGTAGTCATATGTGTCCCGTCCATCAATTCTCTGTAATTATTTGAAAGAAAACAGTTATTACTTCAGGACAAATTATGACCAACTTTGACACAAATTTATTTTGCACAGTGGTGGCTTTTTTGAATAATTAAGTATTTGATTATTCAAACTTGGATTCAATTGAATATTTGAATATTAAAAAATGTGCTGATCAAATTTTACATGCACCAGCTGGGGGGGGGGGGGGGACGACTAAAGTAGAGTTAACATTAAACAATTGGCGATCGTGTAGTTATGGGACCCTCTTTTAGTTTCTATCACATTGGAGTCAAAGGTGTTTTTTTATCATTTAAATATGACCTTTTCAACATAAAGCCAACTTCTCTCAATTCTTATGACACCTTTTTGTGTAATTTTGAACAGTTTCTACTTTTCTAGGGGTAGAAATTACGATTTTCATACGGGGATTACGGAAGTTACAGTTGGTGCCGTGCGATTCAGCGCGCCTTCCGCGTTCACGGTACATCGCGGATCGCCATGATCGCTAGTCCGAGTAACTTGGAGTGAAGTTGGACCCAACTTATGGCCTTTTTAACATTCCGACCTGGTCTGGCGATACTACCGCCAGACCATGTCCGAATCTTAAAAAGGCGATAAGTAATTGGGTCGAAGTTTAATACTCGGATTACTGACTGTAGACCAATTAATGTTATGTGCACCAAATAATAAAAAGATGAATAGTAAAACCCAATGTGTTCGTTGGTTATGGAGGGATAAAACTTCGATGGGCTTTTCTAAGTTCTAATTCTATTTTCTAAATTGTCATTGAAATGTTCATTTAAATTTGTCACGAAATGGGTAAAATGGCTTAAGCATGTCCCGTTGATAAATCTCATTATTTTGTGCTGGTGATTTCTGAAATAATCTCACCTTTCCGGACCTGATCGCTGCAAGTAAAAAGTCTCTCTCAACATTGGACAATGGTGTTTCCTTCATTATTATAAATTCACTGTTTTGAAATCAAATATTTAGTTCACAATCTCGATCATCACCGCCGCGCCACATGCGTTTCTCAGTTTTTCCACCACCGGCGGCTCGTTCATGCGCGCGTCACACACGCGCGATAGACTAACATACGTGAGTATTGACACAAAACAGCCGCATGATGTGACACTTTGGTGGGAATTTCCCTTGCGATTTTTTCTTTCCATTTTCGAAAGGAATGTAAACACTTACAACTCATGTGTTTCAATTAATATTTATCTTCCGTTTATTTATTTTTATGCACTCAGATTCCAACAGAGTTAGACAACTCCCATATGTTAAATGTACGGACTTTGCATATTTTTTGTTTATCAACGAAGTTCATTTAATCATTTTACATGGTTTCTTGTACCAAGGATGGAGGAAGAACTTCGAAGAATCATTTACATAACCAAACATGTAGAGATTAGTGTGAAAAAAAACACCATATTTTGGAATGGGAAAAAAATGACACTAGTAAATACATTACAGTGGTAATACTAAATCTTTCATTCTCTCAGCCGAACACGCTTTATACACCTCATACATTCTCCCTAGCTATTACATGTACATTATTACTTCCTGTTTGACACTTGGCCCCGCCACGACACCTCCATGCCGCAGGATAGATGTAATGTGTACATTGCTATTTTGAGCTAGGATGGTGCATGATTTGGGCAAACTTTCAAAAACCTTTTCTTTATGCCAGTTTTCGGGAAAAAAAATTGATGCGGGGCAAAGCACCAGTGCATTTGATTTTATTTATTCGGAACTTCGGAAGGACTTAAAACTTCTTATTTTTCATATAAAGTGTTTTGTTTTTGTTTTTGTTTGTTTTGTTTTGTATTTGTTTGTTTCTTAGTTATTTCCAAACAAACCATAGTCGCATCACCAGCCTTCACAATAAAAGCTAGCTTGGTGCTGCAGTATGGGCGCCTGTAAATTTAATGTAATTTACATTTTCTTTCTTTTAGTCAACTTTATCATTTTGTCAAACGTAAGACCAAAAAGATGTTTTTGTTTCTTTTTATTTATTATTATGATTATTATTAATAATAATAATTCTTTTAAAACTATTATCAATGTTTTTGTCATATTTTATTGCTGTATTATTATGTGTTTTCATAAGAAAATGTCAATTTCCAATAGTTATGTTATATGTATGGCGTCCATTTAAAAATCAAAATGAAAGTGGTTTATAAGTTGCTACGCGGCGCGGCATGAAGTTATTTTTAGGAAGGATGAATAGGCAAATACACTGACATTCTTGCTATTGTACCCGATCGGAACTGCGAACAATAGTAAGTAACGCTCTGATAACTACGAGGAATTTGTGGTCCTGGGAATTTGGAAAAAGTTTGAAACAGAAGGAAATCTAGTTCTATTCGAGCCCATTTTTTTAAACAACCAACGTTCAATGTCAAGAAAAATGATAACGTCATCATATCTTCAGAACGTTTTTTTTTTCGCCTCTTATATGAAAATTTAAAACAACCGATATCATGAATGAAAAAAATGGGAAGAAAAGAAACCGCCAGCCCCGGCGCGGCTTGATGAATAGACACACAGGAAACCCGCGAAAAGATTCGAGCCAATCACAGGCCAGAATCGACATTACTCACGCTGTAATACTTTATTTTTAGACATGATTGACAGTTCCGCAAAGAACGGGGCTCTGATTGGCCAATCGCACATACCATTCATTGAAGTCGAACATTCCAGGGAGTATGGAGAATTTAAGAATGAGTAAGATTTGGTCACGATGTAATCAGCAAACTAAACGTATCGAAATACTAAAAACACCTGAATAACTTTTAATTTATAATGTTTTATTAGAACTTACAAACTTATCATTTTGCTGATGGCAAACTGATTAATTTTTCATATCTTTTTGCAGTATTTACATTAGGCTCTCCTATATTGTGACTGAAGAATTTCTCGCAGCTGTTGACACTAAACGCTGCCCCGGCTAGGCCGCGCCATGCCAACTGTCAGCTGATTATAACCGGCCAACTCTATTCTCATCCGCCACAAACGCTGTAGTCCTTTACAAATTTACTTCAAAAATTCACTTTCGGTAATCTATCACAAAAATATCACTCTGTGATAGATAGTATTATTAAATATAAGATTAAGATTAAATCAGGGTGATTTTGATTTGGATTGGTAGTTTCAAATGTTAGATTGTTGCTTGGCGTAAGGATATGTCGTAACCTTGAGAGTAACCGCAGCTGACTGTGTGACCAGCTGTTTCCCGCGCCGCCACGATACGGATAATGACTACACATACCCTTCAACCACGCCGGTTCAGCTGAGACAAAATAAAAACACTGTGGATTTTACCTCACCAATTTTGCACTATTTCGGATCAGAAAAGGACGGCATTTTCTGGAAAATATGGCCTATTACATGCGCAAGATGGAGAAGGCATATGTGGACCCAAGCGATATTTTGCCAAGCCCGATTGTGCCGACAGTTGGAAGGTACGTGACCATTTAAATCCCGTGTTGTCTTTTGTCAAAAAAATAGTATTTCGATCAGCCACGTGATTCGGTATTTACGTTTGTAAAAAGAAGTAAATTGACAGTAAAATCCCTCTTTTTGCATGAATTGTAATAGTTAACCAACTATCTAAATCTTGATGAGTGCTTAAATCCGGTTTTTGTGAGCGGGTATTTAATTTTAGTCTCAAATTTACAAAGAATACATTTGTGGGTCTTTCCACGTGCTCACGTTGGGATGCGTGTTGCATGTGTATAAAGGTTTCGATACTCGCGCCCGCCTGCACATTTTTATTCCGGCCAGCTGATAACTATTGTCTCGACTGAAATTTTGTTCCTACGGTAACAAAAATAATTTACTAGGTGATTGATCACAAGTATGGTTGCAAATCTGATTTTCAAATTCTGTGTCGTCTGTATTTAAAGGGACTATGGGTGATTTAAGGTCTTGTGTTTTGCGCTTACTTGCTGTTGTGTCGTCAAGCTGGGTGCCACGCCTTTAGTTTTGTAGCTGCCCACACAAATTGCTCAATCCTTCGGTTGTGTATATTTTTTACTGCCATTTTTCTGTCATATTGTGCCATGAAAATTTAATGTATTCCTCAGATTAACGTTTATTATTAATATGCACGAAAACCCCTCTCGATGACCGTGGTTTTGTTTTGAACTGTCATTGTAAATGAGCAGTTTGCCGCACACGTGTGTCATGACATACTGCACGTAAGCAAGCGAGGCGAGCTAGGGCAGGATGCTGTGTTTAGCCGGTCTGTCGCTAAGTGGAAAGCGTGGGCGTACGGTATGCAAATGTTGGACCTGGATCGCCCTGGACTTGGATGTTACCGTTATATTCACTTTCTTTTGTTTGTTTATCCTGGTCAGCTGACTGCTGGATTTCTTAGGGACGGGCATGTGGACCCACCCAGGCGTAACTATATACAGCCTACATCTTGGCCTTATGCTTGGCTGACATGTTTATGTCCGCAAATCCTAAAGGAATGTGTAGGCGGACAAGGGAGGCTTTTCGCAGACCGGAAGAAAATGAAATAGATGACCTTTTGAGTGAAGAGATCATAATTAATTGACTAGAACATGTTTCAAACATGTTTTAATGTAGACCCGTATATTAGTCTTAATGCAATGCGAAAGGGCCTACATCTTTTTATAAAAAAAATTGTTGATTGATAATGATAATTGATATTATTTTTTATTTTTTTCAATTTTAAAATTTTAATTAAAAAAAAATGCGTACCAAAATATTTTCCCGTAGGGCTATTTAATAGCATTACTATACTAGCATCACCTTGCTACTCTGTCTGGGATTTAATTGTCTTAATTAACCCAATTTTCAGACGATTTAACCTGCTTTTAGGTAGGAATATTTTTGATCATCCGTAAAATAGGATTAATTTAAAGCATTTTTCCCCAGAATTCGCGGGTGAGAAAAAACGTGGGTTACTGCAATCAATCCCCGCGTGATTTAAAAACCAGGGGCCTGTTAAATTTTGCATTTTGTACAATTTTTGGGGGGGTTGCATTAACTTGCAATGTCTCGTCCTCTGTGTGAACCTACCTTCAGCGAGAGTGGAGCAAGCCAGACGGGGGCATGTCTGCAGTCTCGTCTGGGTCGGGTAGTTCTGTAACATATGGCGCGTGTGGCTGTAGTACGTCTGTGTCATCCCTACGTTGGTTGTACGCACTAGGCGACGAGGTGTGACTTGGTGTGATCGCATTTCATAGTCAGCTGAGTGTTGAATTTTGGGGGAAATTTTGGGCCACGGCTTGTTTTCATTGTCTGCCCGACTGACCATGCGAGAAACCAAAACGTCAGGTATCTTTGTGTTGTCACGGTTTACTCAAGTCAGCTGCAACATTGAACATCTGCACATTGTTTTGTTACATATATTTTGTATATATTTGTATTAATTAGAAAAGTTTTAATTTATTCATATCAATCATAATTTAAAGTGGGATTTTTGCCCTTATCTTTTTGTCATGTCCTGTAGTTTTCTCGTAAAGCATTTAAACATGTATATTTTGGCTTTATAAAAGTAGTGATTGTTGATTGCATGGAGAAAGAAAAACACATGATTGTCAATTGGCTCATCTGTACATCAAAGAAAATAATCCATTGTGGATTTGTTTAATTGAAAATCTCCATCAAACAGATATAATCCGAAAGTCTAACGCATCTTTCTTTTTAAAAATTTCATATGAAATAAAAATTCACATTGACGACACACGAGACAGACAAGTGACATTGATGACACATGCGTACTGCGGAAGCCTAGTCGGTGTTGCTAAGCCTTCTTCAAAGTCAAATTTCCTCTTTTGGGAAATCAAAAATTACTCTCCATGACACTGCATATCTGAAAGTCACATTTTTTGGGGGTCAAAGTTTTTAGGACTTGCACTGGCTTGTGTAAGGTTTTACATATACATGTATTTTGAATTGCTGATGAAGGTGATGTACAATGTAAGGAGCAGTTCTCAGTGATGTTGCGGAACAACTTCGGATAAAATTTATGCCTCAGAATACACCTTGTCCTTAGGTTTTTCAACATAAAAGTAAAATTTAGGGTCGGCAGAAATGTGAAGTTCAGATACACAAACTAGAAAATAATCTGTTTCACTTTTAAATGAATTTATGATTTCAAAAGATAAATTGGTTAGAATGCATATTTTTGTGGGTTTTTTTTGTTTTATTTGTGCATACATTGTAGTTTTGCATCCCCCATATTGCAACACCTTTTTATGGAGTGAGGATAATGTTACATAGTAACTCCTTTGTAGAAAGAAAAGTACAAATCTAATTTGTGATATCAGCTCCTAAATTAAGTCAACATTAAAATACCAATTAAAAAAAATGTATGTTCCAATTAAATCTGCATGTGCCTTTTAGAAGAAAAAAAAAATCTGGAATCAGCTGTTACCATAACCAAAGTCCATAAATAGCTATCTAAAGACATCAAGATTTGCCAGACACAACACACAATGTACATGTACATGTACATGTATAGTTTCCATAGCATGGCATTGTGTAATAATAAGCTTAAGACATGTTACATCCAACACAACAAAGCCCTTGGCACTCAGCCAAGTCTGGCACTGTGCCAAGTCACTGGCTGTGGACCATTCCATGTGTCAGATGTGGAGGGGTGGTCTTAGCACTTGCTGCTCCATTTTAACAAACTTGCAGTACCAGAATGAAATGCATTTGTGATTTTGATAATCATTTTTAAAAACTCTTTTATTTTTTTATTTTTAAATAGAACTATTTCCAATATAAGAAATATTTTTGAGTTCTCATAACTTCTCAAATTGGAAAAAAAAAAATGTAATAAATTTTGAAGCCTCAATTAAATAAGACCAGAATTCCCATTTACTAATCTCATTTTTAAAAAAATAGTGATTTGTTTTACGTTTAGGCTGTCATCCACTGCATTCTTCATTTGGCACTTAATCTAGCATAGTTTTTTATTTACATGTTTACTTTTTTTGGGAGGGGATTACATGATAAATTATTGCGATAAGAATAGGGGAGCTTTTTTACTCCACACAATTTCCCCCGCGTATTTGGCTTGTTGCAGGTTTTAAGCTGCATAGGGATTTCCTTTTGGACTAGAAGCTGTATTTCCTTTCCACTACCTCCTATTGTGAGCCCCACATGTTCCTCGATATTTCAACTAAAGCTCTTTTGATTGTTAAATACTCATTTGGTATCAAAAGTGAAACTGAGTCAGGCAAAACATTTGTCTTTTTTAAGTAGCAGTTGCAGGAAATTGTTGAACAGCTTAAGCTTTCTTGTTGACTGTTGAGAAGGAAAATGTAGGAAAGAAAAAATCACAAACCCATCATTTCTAAGAATTGGGTTTTGATAAAATGTAGTCCCTGAATTTCTTTCAAGTTTGTTTAGCATAGAGTTACCATTTTGGAAACCATTTTAATTTATTTTGAAAATTCACATAAATCACACGTTTGCTGTTTTACACTACATGTATGTTATCTGACGTTTCACCAAATATTGCTGTAAGATTCAGTTATTTTGCCCCAGTAAAATCAAACCTAATTGATTCTGAAAAAGACAATCTCCTAATATTAAAGAGTGTAAAATGTTTATCCCCCCTGTGGTTAAAGTGGTATAATCTATTGAATTATTCATCACTGTAGGTGGAAGCAGGTGTTTTTGTTGCATAGCATGCTCTATGCATGCAGGCCCTTGTGAATTTTGAAGTTGACTACAAAATCAGCTGATGGTTTTGGGTTTCTTATTATTTTGAAGACAATTTTTTAACCTTTAAAGGACAGTTTATTTGTTTCATGAAAAAAAAATCAGTTAATTTTAGCTGCATTCGACCATCTCGGCCATTAAGAAAATAAACATTCCAAAACAGTGTCAGATTATATGCTGGTACTTAGTTGCACATACAGTCTAAATTAATTCAAACTAAATTTAATGCTGAGTTCAATTTTAAAAAAAAATTGAAAAAAATCCCTGGTTTTTCCCCTGAAAATAATTGTGCAGTGAATGAAGGGGCCTGTTGGTTTTCCATCAGGCAGGCACTGACGGAGAGAAGTGTATAAAATGCCTCGTGATTCATGTCCAGTAGGCCAGAAATGACGTCTCCAAATGCATAGAACCAGGCCTTACAAGCTCGTTTGTCATCTTTGGCAATTAGCCTGTGCACAGCCAATATGACGTTTTACGTCTGCGGTCTGTAAGTGTCCTGTGGCCTCCTGGTATCTGGTTTAATTGATGTAAACAAAATGAGGTCACGAGAGGTTGATTTGCTGTCACTTCACTCACTTGTTTTGGTAAACGATTACCCAGTTTTCATTTGTTTGTGATTAATATGCAGATGATATTCTGCTACGATTTGTTATCATCAATATGGTGTCCTGAATTTTTTCTAAGATTTTAATTCTCGGCAGATAGAGCATTTGTGAACAGATAAATGGAACTGCATGCTCCTAAACTACGGAATGTATTTTTTTAAACTTTGTTTTATGTACTGTTAGACACTCTCCTATTTTTTACTTTTTACTCTCCTATTTGATTATGATTTGATTCTCTATTTTTGGACAAGAAACTGCAAAATTTGGAATTTTGATAAAAGAAAATTTCTTCAGAGAAATTCTCCCAAGAGATGCAAGTGTTACCGTTGGAGTATTTTGGTAGCTCATGCAAATTTGCAAACAAAAGAAAATCAATGCGCAAGACTATTGTCTGGTTAAATTTGTCATGAGTGAGCAAAACAAAGAGAAACCGAAACAAAGAGACTCATGACCACACTAACACAAAACAAAAGTAAGGCTCTCCTAAAAGACGGGGCAGGTGCAAGAAGTGCGTATTGATTTTCATCCCGAGGCGAGAGTACGCTCTTTAGACACGTGGTTGCTTCCTGAAGACGATGATGACAGGAGCTGCGGTGGTGTGGTAATGGGTTTGTTGGGGGGGGGGGGGCACACTAGAGGAAGCTGCGTTGAGGGCGATGGGGGATCACTCGGTGAGGAAGTCACTCCTTAATTGCCCGGACAAAGGGATTTCTGGTGAAGCTGTTGGCGGTTTTTGTGGCCAGGCTGATTTTCAGGCTGCGGTTTGAAATTTGGCTGTCTTGCTGAACTGATTTTGTGGTTGCACTCTTCACATTCATGAACCCTAGAAACTAAAGTACTTGATAAAAAACACTTTCATCATAAGTCTCATCATTTGTTTCAATTGAACTTCATTAAAAATGAAACGGCATTGTTTTTAATAAAGGTATCATCTCCATTTTGTTGAATTCTCTCTCTAAGGAATTGTGGTTGAATGGCACTAAAACAGTCTTTTAATAGTCTGAAATGAAGATTAAATCTCAACCAGAAGCACTAGGGGCCTATACCAAATTACTTCGAATGTACAATATTTTAGAAAGTACTTGTAGATAAAATGGTTAGGCAAGATACCATTCTGTAGTTTTAGGCTCAGCCATAAGCCTTTGTGAAACAACTTGCATATAGCACTACCCCTGGAATTCATGCATTTTTTTTTTTTCATTTAGTATTCATGTATATTTACCTACAACACACAGCAGTATCTGTAATAAAACACGGAGCGGAAACGGCCCCACTCAGCGGTTGATAACATACCGTTTGCTTGAACAGACGAGATAACTAAAGCCCAGCTGGGCCGGGTTACAAAGGTTGTGTTGTGGTGCGGAAAACTCAAATGTTCCCCTGCTAAAGCTTTCCAGGTCACAGCTAAAAAAAAAAAAAAAAATTAGCGTGGGCGTGTACGTCTGTGTATGTACACAAAAGACCGATTGCCTTATCCGAACTTCAACAGAGAATGAATGTTAAGCTAGGGCATATCAATACCCTACATAAAGCAATTGTATTTGGACATTGCTGGTCGAGTGCAATACAAACTTCACCGATTTTGTGACGGAAATACTTTTTTTTAAAGGAGACAAAAGTTTGATAAACATTGACCCGTTTATTTTCCATGGAATGTGCATGGAGATATGGTGTGGTGTTTTTGTGTTCAAGCATTTCCAATGTGAACATTTGGGTACTTTTTGGGATACTTTTGCAAAATCTTGCTGGTTGGAATTTGTCTTTAAACGATTCATTAGCCAAACAGCACTCTTTTGGCCTCCCCCCCCCCCCCTCAAAAAAAGAAAATCCCCCAAAGAATAAACATCCTCCATAAAAGAAAAAAAGATAGACATTTGAAAAATGCAAGTTTTCGTGGTATAATGTGATTAGAGTTTGTCCTTTTTGTCTATTAAGGCCTGCAGAATTGTCACTTATGCTGTGTTAGAGTCGGTTATTTTTAGCCTAATTTATCCATAAGATGGAATTTTGAGGCAGGGAGATGTAAATCAAACTAAGTTTTGCCCTTCAAGTTATCGTTGGCCAATTCAGCATTAGATTACTGATTGTTTGTGCTATATAACATCTTGGCAGCTGTGACCTTTCTCACAACATGAACCTACAAGGAAGATTACCCTCCCCACACGTGCTCTGACAGCTGTAAAGACCGTTATTGTATCTCGCTTCCCTCTTGTCACAGGTGTTCTCCCAACAGCCAGAAGGAGCAGGAGAAACGCATCCGACGGGAGATTGCCAATAGCAACGAGAGACGACGCATGCAGAGCATCAACTCAGGATTCCAGTCGCTACGCACGCTGCTGCCAAACCATGATGGCGAAAAGCTCAGCAAGGTATGCAGTACAGACGGTTCTTATATCTGCCGTTGTTAACAATTCTCTGACATACTTATTTGTTTGTTTGTTAGTCATGCTTTAAACTTCTAAATGTTACATCTATCTTTGAATCTGATATTCATCAACAATTGTTCTCTTTTTCATTTTTCCACTCCAGGCGGCCATTTTGCAGCAGACGTCGGACTTCATCTACCGCCTGGAGCAAGAGAAGACGCAACTGCTCAATCAGGTGATTCACTTCAAGCGCATCATGCGCAAGTACGACCGAGAAGATTCGGACTCGCCGTCCCCAAAACGCCGGAAGCGTCAGGACAGTATGATGGATGAGGGCATCGGCAGCCCCGAAAACTTTGAAGACACAAATGTGAGATATTTTGTTCTATTTTTTTTTTACAGTTTGTTTAATTGTTTTTTGAGAGGGTACAATTATTGCCTTGGTAAAATGTTGTTACATGACTTTTTTGAAGAATACATCGGATGACACATTTCAACTCTGGAAAAGCCGTTAGATTTTGTAAGACATTTGCACATTTTTACAAATTTGGTTCAGATATTTAAAAAATATTTAAAGGGCATCGGCAGCCCCGAAAACTTTGAAGACACAAATGTGAGATATTTTGTTCCATTTTTTTTTTACAGTTTGTTTAATTGTTTTTTGAGAGGGTACAATTATTGCCTTGGTAAAATGTTGTTACATGACTTTTTTGAAGAATACATCGGATGACACATTTCAACTCTGGAAAAGCCGTTAGATTTTGTAAGACATTTGCACATTTTTACAAATTTGGTTCAGATATTTAAAAAAATCTATTTTTTAGGGGTTAAGTTTTTATAAGGATGCATGCAACATTTTGTGGTAAAATTTAAGGAAAAGGACACAAACCTGGTGTTTTCATGACAGTCCAAATGACGGTCACATTCTCAGTGTGATTTTGTAGAGAATATGTTGACATATGAAACTATTCTGCACCAAATGAGATTTGTGCTGTAATGAGTCATATGAACGACCATGTCGGGTCACAGCTCATTAATCCCATGTGATATAAGTTATCCAATGCAACATTCAAGAGTCAATTACATGAACAGTATAATGTGACGCTTGGAATGACGAGACTCTATTCCAAAGTATTCTGCATTCTTAAAACGTCATCCGGGCCATGGGGAAATGCATGTGCCAGCACATTGGTGTAGCATCATTAGATATGTATGATCCGATGATGACATGTGCGACGGATCAGTTTATAGGAAATTACTGCGTAACGACAAGTGGCGCCGGCCCATGCTGTAGTATTTTGCCAATGGGGCTGTCAACATAAACCATACCAGTTCAATGTCGTCTGCCAGTTGATGGTGTCTTCACACCCAAGATATGTCATCATGACTTTGCTAACAAAATTCTGAATTTGCAATCATCATTTTTGCGTTTATCAAGTAAGCACAGAATTCTTAGTATCACTTAATATGTGCATGCAAGCCAAAAGGTAATTTGTGAAATTGTCTTTACTTTCGGTATTCAGATCTGCTAAATTTGGCCAATAGGTGGTGATATTGATCACACATGTATGTTTATTGAGCTCTTTTGAATTGTATAAATTCCCACTAGCTTTCAGTAGACACCAAGAAAACCTAAACCATATACTTGTGGAAAAAAAGTTTTGAAGCAAACTCTTTATTATCAAAATCTTTGTTAGGTTGATGAATTGAAACGGGAACTGGTGGATCTGCGTTGCCAGCTGGACAGAGAGAGGAGGTACCGCATGATTCTGGAGGAACAGAACAGGTCCCTGGAGTCGCAACTGTACCCAGAGAAACTGAAGGAGTTGGCCCAGCAGGTACAGCTTTTATTTTCTGTTTTGTAAAACCTTGTCTCAATTTTCTCCTTTTGATGGTGTCGGATTGAAAACTGCAAGTAAAGAGAACACCTTTTAGGTCTTGCTGATGCTACGTCACATTTTGGTGTAACTGTATCAGCCAGTTACATTATGTAATGTTCTTCACTGAGACTTGGTCCTTGACATTTGGAATTGATACTTTTAGAAAATAACCATATGAAGGAGTAGAAGAGTCCAAAGTTTACTAATTCTTGTATCTCTGATGTTCATTCCATTGAGTAACTCATTCGCAAACCCAAGTTAATTCTTTCAGAGGTTCATTTATTTGTATCATGGATGAGATCCTTATTTTGGTTTTTTTTGTGACCATTGCTTGGTAGATCAAGCTCCAGGAGCAGAGGGCCTATGACGAAAGGAAGATCCTTGAGCAGCCACCACCCCAACCCCGTCCGGTCATCATGCAGTACCCAATCCCCCCTCCCCAGTCCCACATCATCAGCCCAGCCACCACGCTGACGACCTCACGGCAAAACCTGGAGACCATCGTACAAGCCATCCGGCACCTGGAGGGCGACAAGACGACGCCGGGAAACACGCCGCAGCAGACGCCCAGCCACACGCCCACCCCGGAGGATGAGGCGCGGAAGGTGCGCGAGGATGAAGAGACGCTAAGCGGCAACGAGGACACGTACAGGAAAGAGCACAGCGAGCGTTCGGTGATCGTCGACGATCAAGAGAGCATGCGAAACTTCAGCAACAGAGTAACTGTGGAACTCCTTCATCCAATCGACAGGCTCAAGACGCGACCCAGCATCATCGTGTCGTGAGAGTCATTTGTAGGTTGATATTTATTCCTAACATTTAAACCGTCTACTAACAACTTAAGTATTAATCTCTAATGATGCTAGTGTATAGAGTAGTTTGATATTTATTGGTGTATACTAGTCAAGGTACGTTGTTTAGATTCTATAAGTAGATTATAAGTGGTAAGTTTCTGTAGCTGATCCAGGGTGACATTTCTGGTGCGTTTTACAAGTACACATACGCACGTTTGTAAAGTTGTCTTATCAGTGATGTGCTTTGGTCATCGTTTTGCTGCTAAGTATCCAGATAACTTTACATGAAAAAAATACAACTTATTCTAATTTGGATTACCGTCATGACCAGATACTATTTGAAAAAATGTTATTTCTGCAGTTTTAATCAAAAATGCTGGTACGCTTCTAGGTTTCCCATTGGCTAGTCAGTATATGTTGAGTTGCCGATTGGCTGTTATGTCAGCTGTTTAAATGTTGACTTGCCCAGGTGAAGATACGTGATATGTCCAGTCATTGTGGCCGCGACGATACTTGATTCATAAAATTTCTCCACCTCCGCAGTCACCTCCTGACCCCATTCTTGGACCAGATCCCCAAGTGAGTCACACAAAAATGTTCATCGTTGGCAGGATGGAATGACTTAGTCATAATTCTGTCTGGTACCTGTCTTGGGAAAGAGGGGGAAGCGAATAGGAGAGGGGGTCGAAGTTTGGCACAGTGCAATGTTGGGCAAAGTGGAAAGTCAAATCATGCCAAGATGGTTTGCGGATATGATGCAGCGGTGATGCAGCGTTTGTGGAAATGGGTGTCTGGAAAGCACCCAGCACACAAGTCAAAAACTGTTAAATCTAAAGTGATCACGTGTGTGACTGACCTACTTTTATTGCATGAAACATCTACAATCTCTCTCTCTCTCAAAAAAAGAAACGGCCGAACAAACAACAAACAAACAAACAAACATAACTCTTGACTCAATTTCATCAGCAGTTTCATTCTCAGTTGGAGAAAGCCATCCTTCGGAAATTCTATATTGCATACAAATTGACAGTGAGCATGCTATATTTTACCAGGAAATACGCCAAAAGAAATACACGGTGCTTACTTGTATGTCAATAAACGGATGTTTTTTTTGTACACAAAGTAGGGGAAAAACCTGTTGCAGGTTTTGTTATGGATGCAGTGTTTGCTTTGTTCTCACGCTGGCCAAAGTTTACCATGAAGTTAGTCTGGTATCAGGTGATTGTGAGAGTATGTTCAGCATGTGTCAGCTTTGAATCGCAGCCCATTAGAGCTGAATCATCTGGCACATGTCTAGACGGCTTATTAATCATAAACTAGATGCAGGTTAGACTGGGTCATTGCCCTGGGGTAGGGGGAGGGGCAGGTCAGAAAAGATTCTTCCACCTCTAGTTTTTGAAAATTGTCAAAATGCAAAAATGTTCATGCACAAGACAACAACATTTTCCCTTCTCTGATCAGCTTTTAAAAAAATGATTGCGTGCAAGACGTGAATGACACTCATGAGCAGTTGGGTTTTTCCGAAGTTATACAATTTTTTGTGTGAATGACACATTAAAATCGCTTCACGGAGTTGGATAGCAGCTTTATTGTTAATGGGTTTGTGGAAACTCCCAACACCTCACAGCGCTGCAACCCTTGTAGTTGTACTAAATTTAGACACACTGAAGGTTATACTCCATGGGATCTCCCATGTCAGTGGTTTGATATGCCCCATGCAATGTTCTCACAGACATTTCTATAGCTAACAGAAACGTGCCCTTGACTACGGAAATATTATCTTGCCCCTCCGAAGACAGAAAACTCAAGGTCTGTGTAAATATGTAATTGCAAGTCATGTATGTGTGGGACGGCCTGGACGGCACTTTGTTCTTGAACAGTTGCCAAGTCCAGCCGGATCAGCTGACGATATGAAATTGCCCAGCTGATATCATGTGATTGCAGTGTTGGCATCGCGCCAAACAGGTCAGGCGCGGAGTCTCTGGCTGTGTCTGGGTTTAAGGAACTTTACTACGGCTGGTGATGTGAAGAGGTCAGACAAACTTGACACTGTTGAATTACGCAAATTCCAGGGGGCTGGCGGTGGAATTTTAAACCGAGTGCATTGTCTGCAGACATGTACAGCTGTCTGACACAGGTTTTTACACACTGTAGTCATGGACAGTTGTTGCATGGAAGCAATGTCACTTCACGGCAAAATAACCACGTGTATGAGGCCTGTTTGTCCTCAAGGGAAGATTGTTCATGAAGAAATATTCATAATTGCAAGAAATATTCATAATTGCATGCGAATAATAAAAAAATTGCATGCGAAAAAAATTAAAAAATAAATAAATTTCAATGTGAAAACAAAACAACCATGATCCGGATTAAACGTAATCTAGGTATCAATTGAAAATTTGGAGAGAAAAAAAAAAAAAAAAAAAATTCAAATTAGCCACACAAAAAAATTGTAAATGAATTAATTTAATAAAAAAGGAATTTAAAGTTAAAAAAAAGACAAAAGCAAGATACAAACTACCCTGAGAAGTGATTCTTTGTTTCGCATGTTGCATGATCTTATGTAATGGAATTTTTTGATGGGAACAGAGGCTAAAAATAGCCGTCTCATAGCATTTTCATTTGTACTGCCAGTTAGTGCGGAGCGATGAAGCGTTACGTTAGATGTGCCGCGCGTGAATACCCCAGGCATACCTTAAAGAAATTGTGTTTGGGTGGGGGTCAGAGTTCAACCTTCATGTTGAAAGTTATGCATGAGAAATGTCTCGTGAGTATTCCGTTGGATCACGGATCCTGGAAGCGTGCCAGCTCACTGTATATAATAACATCATGCAGAGAGCCTCTTTTTATTTTAAAGGTGTTTCTGGACATAGTTAAAGACTAGGTTTCCCACCGTCATCATGGCATACCTGTTTTCATTGAAAACACTGACTTTCAATTAAATATGAAATAATAACATGTACACCTGGGAAAGGAAACAGGGAAAAAAGTCTCCAGTTTTCTTTCGGCAATGAAGAAACTTTTTTTACCCAACTTAAAAAAAAATGAAAAAAAGAAAAGAAAAAAAAATGAAAAAAAAATGAAAAACAAAAATGAAACTGCCCAAAAAAATATATAAAAAAATCATTATACAGTTTATAACTGACAGTTTCATAAAGGCGATCTAAAAAGTTATATGTCTGTTTTGTGGCCTAAAAAGTGGCATTTCGGTCAAGTTTTCTACTGTATCATTGTGATTATCTGTGCTGTACAATTTGTCTTTTGTATACAATTTGTGTACTTCGTAGTTAAGCATAGTTGAGTGTAAAAAGCAGATTTAGCATGGGTACAACTCCATGGAAACAGTCCAAATAAAAAAATTAAAAAGCATAAAATATTTATTGATTTTAACATGAGTAAAACATAAATATGAGAAGTATTTGACATACGTGTATTTTTATACGGAAAGAAGAAAATAAAAGCTTTTTTAACAAAATTGTTTATTTGAATGTATGCGTGTAAGCATTTTCATACTTAAGATACTTAAGTAGTTGATTCCCCCGAACACACCCACAAGTTGATATTATCTGCACCATGAGATGGTCTTCAAACAAAATCCTTAGTTTTCACTTTTGCTTCTCCAAATCCCACTCCAAATTTTTCACTTTTTGCTTCTCCAAAATCCCACTACAAATTTGCATTTTTGTTGCATTCGTTGGGTTGAATTGCAGTACATTGGCTTAATAGCAATTGTATTTTACTTCGGAAAACTGCAAAGATTTGTCAAACAAAACATTAATTTTTATTAATTGGGGACCGTTACTGAATATTCCTGTGAATGCTTAGCATTTGTAGTCTGAAAAAAAAATGAATGAGTTTTTTGTAAAAAAAAATTTAATGAAAATGTTACAAACAAATCTTGTGTGATGTCCATGCTTTGATGCAAGTATGTACCCAGCTAAGCCTGCTTAGATGTTTAACGTTAAGATGGTATCATCGTGTCTTTATAAAGTGATGTTCACTTCAGTCCTTGAATTTTGTACTTTCTTGCTAGAAGTGCCATAACATTGGACTCTGTTATTGTGGTTGGAGGTCTCCCCCACAGGTTTCCCTAGAAGATGAGTTTGTGATAATTTTTGCTTATTTTTCCCCAAAAATTTGAAGCTCACGTATTGTGGGGAAATGACACCTAACATTGAGTTTGTTGAGGCAGTGCATGTAACAAAAACAAACTTCAGAAGCATCCTTTATTTCGAAACAATACCCTTTTATCTTTTTCTTCAAGCTTTATGCATAGTTGCATCCGTTTTCCTTGTTTTTGAATAATTTATTTATTTGTTCTGAATTTCCTTTTTTGCAAACATCAAAAAGATCTTATTGATTAGAGCCATGAATTTCCTCCATTGAAACCCAATCGGTTCTCTTGTAAAAAAAAATGGTTGGTTACTAAATTTGGTGAAAGCATCACAAAGGGTCGTTCTAAACTTGTCACATTTCTCGAATGTCTTAGGTGTTTCAGACGAATGTGCAATGTATGTGTGGCATGTTATGAACGTGTTTCGAAGAAAAAAAAGTGTGGAATGTACAAAGGATGTTTATACAGTGTATGGTTAGTCAGTTACTTGCTGTTTGTGTTTTGAATAGTAATTTGCATATAAATTTGCATATTTATGAATGAGCAGCTGCCTGTTATACCTCAGTCCTCCAATAAGAAATCACTAACTTAATTAATTTGTAATACATTGTATTTAAAAAGCAAACAATGACGTATGTTGTGTACATTGTTATTGATCCCAAAAACACATATTTGACCAAATATAAATGGAAAGATTTTGTTGTATAGGTAATTACTAAAATTTGTAAAGAAATTTTGTTTAATTTCTCTTAAGAATAAGTCCATTTCTTGCTCTTAAATCCTATTAAAAAAAGCTCTGTGATGTTTATGTTTTGCTTTCTTTGCAGTTATATACCTCTGCACAAATATTCTCAGATTTTTCCTGTTAACCATTATATCTTGAGCAAGTTATATATATATATTTTTTTTTGTGTTTACTTTGTACATTTTTTGTACAATTTAACCTCTTCAAGCAATTATTTACTGTTGAGAAAGGTTGTATGTAATCATTAGCTTCGAACCAGTTTTGACGTTGACTGAAGAGGTGTCAGTCACAACGAGTTAAGTTTAAGCTGGCCAGACACTGGCTTTTGAAATACGTGTATGCATTGCTCCCACAAATTCAACTTAGGCCTAACTAGAAAAATCTTTCTATCATTACATTTTCTCCGATGAATCACTTGAACCTAATTTTTTTTTGCTGTGGCATTTGGTGGGCGACATTAAGATTTGTATGGCACATTCAATGCAGATAATCAATCTATGATTACAGTGCTATAGTTACTAGAAACTGGGGGAAGATTAGGCAATTTTCAATGCAGTAGCAATGTTGTCAATGCAACAGTGTGGTGGCGCCCTCTCGTGATCAAAAACGGGCAGGGTGTTGACCACCTGGATTGAGTGGAAACAATGCAAATCCCTGTAGTTTTGAAAAGTAAAATGTCTGTAAAAAAATTACTTAATTACTGCTAACCATTATGAGGGCGTAAGGGACATGAGTTGGTGTTTTCTCCCTGGTTTTGTTTCGAGGGACTTGTTGCAAAATAGAGTCAAAATGTCTACCTCACCGTATTAGTAGACATTTGGAACCTGTGAGTTCAGCAATCTCACTTTAATTAGCAATGTAAACATTTTCACATTGAATCTTTTGTCAAAGAGAAAGCATCCATCTTGGCCTTGCCCTCCTGACTCCTACTGTCTACCCAGATTGTGAATTGCTTAGGAGTGGGACATTACATCAAAGGCACCAGTCTATTTTATGACAAGCCACTTTTTTTTTAGGAAGCGTCCATCTTGGCCTATCTCCTGACTCCTATATGCACCCAGGTTGTGAATGGCTAAGGAGTCGGCAATTATGTCATAGGCACCAGCCTAGTTTTTGACGAGCTGCTTTTTTGCATAAACCAACGTGGCTTCTCCCAGGTATACATGTGTCTGCAGTGCGACAGCACTTTCAAAAGCAAGGACGGTAAATATTTTTAACAGGCAGATACGGAAAAGGATTTACACCAATTTGGGAAATCAAATGATGTAGCGCCTTCAGCACCAGTACTGGTGGACAGGTTTAAATTAAATTAATCCACTTACAAACTGTTTAGTTTGTTTAACGTCCATTGATATTGGTCATTGCTTGATACGTGTAGTCTTGTAACTGTACTTTGTGATAATTATCCCAGCACAGTGGGTAATCATCGTTATGTCTTGGTGAAATAAGAGTTGTATTTTTATTTGTGGCATATGATGCTCCTTATTGTGTCAGATTTGTAAATAGACCATCTATAAAAAAAAAAAACACCAGTTTTTTTATTGCCTATTCTGTATTGTGTCCGTCTTTATAAATATAGTACCCAAGTTTGTGAAGGTTAATCCCGATTTACCATATATTATAAGCTATGGTACTGTAATGGCAAGACTTTGGGGAAAAAATGGATTAACAACCCTTGCGCAAACAGACATGAAGATTAATTAATCCAGTTGTGAAATTTTTCAAATTGTTAACGACTATGTCACAACATCACATATTTTCTTTTAGTGAAGACCTAAATTACACGACAAAATTTGTTTTCTTGTATTGCCAAATACAGTACCATGGCTTTTAATACAGGATTTATGTTGTGCAAGTATTCTGATACTTCAAAATAGCCAATTATAATTTCTCAAATGTATCAAACTTGCATATAATGAGAGGAAATGTCCCCTAAATCTGATGACCTCAATAAAATATATATATATATTCTGTGAACTGTTAATCCCCATATCCTTGTAGTAGAGAGAATGCTTTATTTTAACAGAAAAATAATCGATAATTTTTAACCTCCCCCCCCCCCACCCCCTCCAAACATATCTCGACCTTCAGAAAATTGAAAATATTTTGGAAATTTAGGTCTGATGTATGCATTCGACTAAAATTAATGCGCCACAGAGGGCGCCATAACGGTCCCACAGCGCCGGAATGCGGATAACGAATCGGTCTGTACACACACTCGGCCAAGTCCGCGAGAACTGCCAGGCAATATTTTTGTATTAAAGTGGCTTGGAAATCGCGTTACGATGAATACAGAGGACAGATTTAGGGACTAGTCTCGTACGTCACCTCATGACTGTAATGCTTAATATCCAATTGAATTTTTCAATAAGGAAACGCGGTTTAAATATCAAATGGGACATTGTCCTCCACTTAGGCTCATTATTCATATTCTTCAGGGCCAGAGAACTATAATTATGTGGATCCAAGGGGTGGTTCTTGAATAGTGGCTCCTCCCTTCCCCCCCCCCCCCCGACTGACCAAGTAAATTATCGCGATAACTGAAGAAAAATCCGACATTTTCTTTAAGCTCCCTGAATAAATTTAATCATTCAATATTGCCAATCTTTATTAATTGCTTCAGCACGGCATTTGGTCTGTATAAGTGTTGACTGCGACGCCTCACCCCCATGAAAAAGTTGGACTGGAAAACTTCAATCCCCCCCCCCCATTGGAAAATCCTTAACCCCGCTACTGCGTAGGAATTTCTTATTGCAGGCGTAATACAAGCCCAATATCGATTTAAGAGGAATTCGTGACCACCTGTTTTGTACAACGCTTGCACGGAAAGCAATATTCATCCGCAACGCCGAGTCACGCCACTCTTTGGAGAAAGCCTGTGCCACGTGACTGAGGCAAATCACAATAATATGATGCATAATCCATTAGTGAAATTTTGTTAGTAAAAATTGAGATATAAAGACATTTCAATCGTCAGTGTCAAAGCATTTGTTTCAGCACTGCATACGCGTACTTATTTGTGAAGTGAGTGATGCGGCTATACCGAAAACTCAATCAGCCAATCAGCATCGTGCAAAGTTCCAGGCGAGCAGACGAATCATTCTGCTCGTGATACGTGTATCTATGTAGGCCTTTTGTTGTGCTTTATTATCATGTTAAATATTACGTACGAACAATGTGAAGGTAACAGTCATTGCAGCAGCCATGTTGGAATTGGCACGTTCGGAACTTGCATGGTGTGAACCTCAGCTTGAGGAACTGCGACTGCCGTTTTGTTGTACTGTGTTGGAGTAGCCCAGGTGGACTCCCTTTCCTCCCTACGTCGTAATGCAATGAAGGCTTCGTCCAACCTGGGCTATGTGTTGGAGTATCATTTTCGAGGACCACGCGACGTGCATGTGTCGGTATAGGCGGCGGACATTATGTTGAAACAACTTTGCAAACATTTGGAAATACTTGAGTGACTAGCCGGACTGGAGTGGTTCGTGGGTACTGTGTTAACTGACCCCGAACGAAGACATGCAACTGCTGCACTGCAGGGAAAGTATCTAGGCCCTATAGGTGAGTGCATTTGGTTCATTTACTTCTGACAACCAAGTAAGCATGTACATAACATGGTAAGCTGTAGCTGTGTTGCTTAATTTTGCGTAAAGAAACAAACAACTTAGGCATATAAACAGTTCGTGTGGCGTTAGTTAGTTTTAGGACCCTCCTTTTTTTTCGTCATTGCTATTTTTTTAACGGAAGTCGACCATAACGCATGCGTCAGTAATTGTTGTCAACCGAATGGTTCTCGGACTTGACTTCCCTTCAAAAATACTTTAGAACCATGGATCATAATATTTTTTTTAATCGTGTGTGCGAGTTTCGAATGTAAGGCCGGGTTGCCCCCCCCCCCCCCGAAAAATCTTTCAGGAGTGTCCACATGTTTTGTTTATGTGAGGATGCGTGAATTCTCGGGTTGAATCACTTGATATGCTGCCCTCTTTTTTCCCTCGTAAATAAATTTTCAGAATTTTTTTTTTTCGAAAACCAAATACCAATATGCTGACTTTCCCTTTTGGGGGTACGTATTTTTTGAAGAGCGCCCTCTTGCCATTTAGTGAAGAGCAGCGTCTCCAAGGAACTCTATCTTGTTGTATGACCATGGCACAAATATAGCGCCCTCTTCCGTGTTTCCTTGTGAAACAAAAATCAGAAAGTGGCGGTTTTTTAAATACACTGGATAACTCTTGGTAAATAATCTTTTATATTTTACAAAAAACAGCAAAGAGAAACGATAAAGTGACATAAAAGTAAACAGCTCATATAAACATGTATACAGGTATTAATAGGTTAGTGTTGTAAAAAACTAATACATTTACATTTTAACCAAGTCACAAACGGAATTAACGGATTCCCCATTAATTCGAGGCATGGATTTGCACATTTTCATGCTGAAATTCATTACCTATTTAAGGTTCATCCCGAGGTGATACAGACCTTGCCACATGGACCGCACACCTTACTTGCTCAGAACTGGTGGGCAACACCGACCTGAAATAGATTCTTAAGAGCTCGCCATGCTTGCCAAGACATTTAAAAGCTTCTCTGTCTGCACCTGTTTCACATGCATATGTGTGTGTAAGGAGCATGGTTGAGGACCAGAATGGGGGGGGGGGGGCAGGGCAGGGTTCGACATTTACATGAATTTGGAAGCACTGTCTGGGGATTAAATTAACGGGCTCAAATTAACTGTGACCAATGTTATTCCAGTTCCGTCTCACATCATTGAATTCGATCATGTCCCAATGATTACACTGTATTGAAACGTTACGAGATGAGAAGAGTGCAACCAAATTAATTTGTAGAACATAACAATAAGAAAACACTTTTAAAGAAGTTTATATTTTTTTTAAGTGAAACGATTATTGCGAGGACTTGATTAATGATGTTAAGAATTCAAATTTGGAGAGTTTTAGCAAAATTCTAAATTTAATCATTACTTTAATTGCTAAAAAGAAATTCGATAGCATTTTGAAGTTTTTTGGGGGGTGGGGTGGGGGTTTGAATTTGAATTTGAAATTGAAATCATGATTTATTATTAACTCGACCATAGCAGCCAAGAGCTAAATTGCGGTCAGATTACATACTAAAAAATACAGTAATTTAAAGAATTAAACAATGGCATATAAAAAAGTAATAGGAGAGCGTAATTTCTGTATTAAAAAAAGACTAAGAACGTGTCACGTTAATGTATCAGAAATAAATCGACTTGGACTAGAGTAGCATTACATTGTGGAACATTAACATTAAAATCGTTCACCTAAAGTACAAAATTATAAATGAATATGGTTGTCACATTTAATCATATCATTTAAAGAAGTATAATTTTGGGTGGGTGGTGGGATGGGTAGATTCATCATAAACAAATAGCACTCTCGATTTCTCAATTATCAAAATTTTCAAAGACTTTGATCATCTTCAGTAAGCCTGGAAAATGACAGTTTTGTCTAGCAGCTACAGACAGCTACTCTTGCTATTTCGGTGCGCCCTTATAAAGTCATAATCCTAGCCTGCTTCCAATCAAATATAGTTGTTTATTTTTATTAAAGGATCGTGAAAAATAAAAAATAATTTATTCCACATTTGTAAGTCAGAGTTAATGGTGTTTTTTGGGGGGGGGGGGGTGAGTGGATTGCCTTGTTTATGTTATATCAAAGGGATCGTGCAAAAATACAAAATAATTTATTTCACATTTGTAAGTCAGAGTTAATGGGTTTTTTAATTGAGGTGATTGTCACGAAGTATTTAATATTCTGCCACTCATGCAAAAATCATTATGACGAAGCTGTTACTTGTATACTACTGCTGGATACCTGAAACCTCTGAACGGCTATTTGCTGTGCTATTTATTTGGCTAGAAATGCTGACAGAACTGGCACATGCTGTCAAAGTTGATTAACTTGACGACTCTGTGTACTCTGAACCCTTTTAATATGTCTACAAAACAAACCAGTTTGGGTTTAGAATGAATTACCTCTTAACTGCTTAATGGTAGATGTATAATTCAAGTATTTCATCATTCAGTTAAAAGGGATTTCAGACAAGGGAGAGCTAGAAAAAAAAGGCAATAAGAGGATGACGCGTTTACGGTTTTTCCTTCTTTTTTTTGTCCGGGGAGGGGCAGTCATTTTATGTCTGAAAATAAAGAATGCTAGCGAATTCGTTATTTTGATAATTATCATCTTTATTTCTCAATTATTTACACACATTTTAACTCTCCTAATTACACGGCGTCGGCAAAAAGAAAGCAAAAGAAAGTGTATTGCTGATTTAAAATTAAAATATAGGCCTGATATTCAATTAAATTAAAATATTGTCTCATGAACAATGTAAATATGGACGTTGGAAAATATGGACAAAGATAAAAAGCTACGAAAGGTATATCGGGGGGTTTGTTTTGTATTTTTTGGGCTGTTTTGTCCTTCATAAAAAAATATATCGTGAACCTATTTTTTCTGTGACAAAAATACAAAATCTCTCAGGGAATACATCGCGCATGCACGGGCGAAGCGAGGATTTTTTTTCTAGAAGGGGAAAAGCACTCCAGAAGCGAAGGGAGAAATCACAGGCCGTAGAAATATTGAGAGGGATGCATGCTATGGACATCACTCGACACTCTGTTAAAAATCGTCCATGTTGTACTAAAATATGCATTAAATTAACAATTATTATGTAAACCGTACCGCAACACCACAAAAGGGTGCAGGACAACATTTCTTTGTAAGATTAATGATAAAGTATTGAATATCTGCATGTTGCGATTTCAAAGACACCTGTCTGTACTATTGGATGTGTAAATAAAATAATTTCACTCTCAAGACAAAATTTATCTGGTCGGGTTGAATTTTTGCAAACCACGAACCACAATGCACACTTGTTTTATTTATAGCTAACGCAAAATGTCTTTCCTCGTTCCCTTGTAAGTCCATGGGCGTCAATCGGT